GCCATTTCCAACACAGAGTCGCCTGGATAGAGTTGACAATGGAGTGCAACCGTTGTGACTGCGACGAAAACTCGGCGGATCACGCGATTGATACTTGGCACGGTCGAGTTCCCGTCACGCAGATTGGAATGAACTTGTCGCTGCTGATCGTCCTAGCTACGATACTCAGCAGCGACGAGTCCTGCATCTCGCAGAAGGAGAGAAGGAGGCGGTGGAACGTGAAAGGAAATGCTATTCACTTTTGCATCAGTCCGCTGCGGCAGAGCCTCTCAGAGTACCCTGGAGGTAGCATTACATACGATTGTCCCAGCCCGTGTAGGAATTCTCCAGTCTCTCGAGTTCTATCTCGAGTGGGGATTGGACGTTTGGGCGAGAGTACAGGGGAGTCGAACATACCCCGCGCGTGTCCTCAGCGCGAGCATCTCGTAGGAGGTTTGACCGCCAGCCTAAAAAAATTTAATCGCATAGTCGCTTTATTCAATACATGGGGCGTCTTATCTATTAGGTCAGGAAGATTTTAAATAAGTTATTGATGTTGAAAAGGTTGCTGTTCTATATATAATTTTGTTTTCTCTGATCACTGCTATTGATAGTTATTTTTATTGTGAGACATAATTAATATCGGCCATCACATGGAATGTATATTTTTTACCTTAAGTGTAATTGTTGAATTGCTTGTTACAGAAACTGAAAATGGATACTTCTATGACTGGCAATGAAATACGAAAGACCTTTATTGATTTTTTTATTAAAAAGGGTCATAAATATGTACATTCCTCGTCTACCATACCCTTAGATGATCCGACATTACTGTTTGCAAATGCAGGGATGAATCAATTTAAACCAATTTTCTTAGGTTCCGTAGATCCAAATTCTGACATGGCTCAGTATATTCGAGTAGTTAACACCCAAAAATGTATTAGAGCAGGTGGAAAACACAATGATTTGGATGACGTAGGAAAAGATGTATATCATCATACATTTTTTGAAATGATGGGAAACTGGTCATTTGGTGACTACTTTAAAAAAGAAATATGTGCTTGGGCTTGGGAACTGTTAACTGATGTTTTTAAATTATCTAGAGAGAGATTGTATGTAACATATTTTGGAGGAGACCCTTCATCTGGTCTTGAACCTGATCTCGAATGCAAAAACATTTGGTTAAACTTGGGAGTCCCAGAGGCACACATTTTGCCTGGAAGCATGAAGGATAATTTTTGGGAAATGGGTGAAACAGGTCCTTGTGGCCCGTGTTCAGAACTACACTATGATCGAATTGGAGAACGAGAAGCTGCCCATCTTGTAAACATGGATGATCCAGACGTGTTGGAAATTTGGAATCTAGTGTTTATCCAATTCAATAGGGAAACAGATGGTTCCCTGAAATTATTACCAAAAAAACATATAGATTGTGGTTTAGGTCTTGAAAGGTTAGTATCTGTAATTCAAAACAAACGAGCTAATTACGATACCGATTTCTTCATGCCAATATTCAAAGCTATTGAAAACGCTACTGGTGTGAGACCATATTCTGGAAAGGTTGGCATTGATGATGATGATGGAATAGACATGGCGTATCGTGTCTTGGCTGACCATGCTAGAACTCTAACAATTGCTTTATCAGATGGTGGTTGCCCTGATAACACAGGTAGAGGATACGTTCTTCGCAGAATTTTGAGAAGAGCTGTGCGATATGCGTCAGAAAAATTAAATGCCAAGCCTGGATTTTTTGGATCTTTGGTTTATACTGTAGTTGAATTACTAGGTGATGTTTTCCCAGAAATTAAAAAGGATCCAGATTCCATTGTGCATGTCATAAATGAAGAAGAAGTGCAATTTTTAAAAACCCTATTGCGAGGAAGAAATTTACTTTACAGAACAATAGAGAAGCTCAATAATTCGAAAACCTTACCTGGTGACGTGGCATGGCGTTTATATGATACTTACGGATTTCCTATTGATTTGACTCAATTAATGTGTGAAGAAAAGGGTCTTAATGTAGACATGGAAGGTTATGAAAAATCCAGAAAAGAATCTCAATTAGTTTCACAAGGAAAAGCCGCAGGCCAGGAAGACTTGATAGCATTAGATGTACACGCTATTAGTCATCTACAGGATACTGGAATTCCTGCTACAGATGATTCTCCAAAATATAATTATTTACCATCATCTACTGACAAAGATGCACTCTATACATTTGCTCCGTGTACAGCAAAAATTGTCGCATTAAGGAAAAATAAGGAGTTTGTAAGTGAAATAAGTTCGGGACAGGAATGTGGTGTAATACTAGATCGCACTAGCTTTTATGCTGAACAAGGAGGCCAAATCTTCGATGAAGGTTATATGGTAAAAATTGATGACGAAACTGTTGAATTTACAGTAAAAAATGTTCAAGTAAAAGGAGGCTATGTTCTCCACGCAGGAAAGGTCGAGGGAATTTTAAAAGTAGGAGATACTCTATCCCTGCACATTGATACAGAAAGACGAAGACTTGTTATGAATAATCACACTGGAACCCATGTTCTTAATAACGTTCTAAGAAAAGTTCTTGGCAATGATTCAGATCAACGTGGATCGCTAGTAATGCCAGACAGGCTTCGATTTGATTTTACTAATAAAGGTCCCATGACAATAAAACAGATCAAAGATACGGAAAACGAAATAAAAGAAATCATTGCGAAAAATAAAACAGTATACGCAAACTACACAAGCTTGTCTGAAGCAAAAAAAATTAACGGACTGCGGGCAATGTTCGATGAACATTATCCTGATCCAGTTAGAGTCGTATCAGTAGGAGTACCCGTGGAAGACCTTATAAAAAATCCAGACGCTCCTACAGGATTCGAAACATCTGTTGAATTTTGTGGTGGATCCCACTTACACCGGACTAGCCATATTGGGGAATATGTCATTGTGAGTGAAGAAGGTATTGCAAAAGGAATCAGAAGAATTGTTGCAGTGACTGGACCAGAAGCGATAAAAGCTATCAACAAATTAAGTGTTCTTGAAAACGAGGTTAATAATGTTGCCAATTTTATAAAAGAACAAAATGAAAGTATTTCTCATAAAGAAGTATCTAAGAAAATAGTGGATTTGACGAACGAGATATCCCAAGCCCAAATATCATATTGGAAAAAAGATGAATTAAGAAATATGCTGAAGAACTTAAAAAAACAACTAGATGATAAAGAAAAAGCCGAAAAAGCTATAATTATTACTCAAGTCACAGAAAAAGCAAAAGAGCTATGTCTTGAACGCAAAGAATCAAAATATATTGTATCCGAATTAAAGGCGTTTGGAAATACCAAAGCTTTAGATGGTGCTTTAAAACAAGTGAAACAATTTTGCCCAAACTCAGCTGCGATGTTCTTTTCTGTTGATAAAGACGCTAATAAGATTTATTGCTTGGCAGCTGTGCCCAAAAGTGATGTAGAAAAGGGATTGTTAGCTTCAGAATGGGTGCAATCCGTTGTAGACATTATAGGTGGCAAAGGTGGTGGCAAAGCTGAGTCAGCTCAAGCATCTGGGAACAATCCTAATAGTTTAAATGAAGCTATCCAAATTGCAAATGAATATGCTAAGTCTAAGTTAAATTAAATAAACGTACAACACGTGCATAAATATATATTATGTGAATATTGTTTTGTCAAAATATAAATAAACTGTGATTAAAATAACCCTTGTTTTAAATGACTCAGTCAAGTTGCTCAATGCAGTCAAAACATCATTCCTTAAATTTTATGTATTTTAGTTTAAACGTTCGAATTGTGCCGAAATTTTTACCCCATGAGCTAAGTAAATCGTCTCTTCGTAACAAAGTGAGACTATAAAACTTGCATAGGTTCCGTTATGATAGTGTTCGCTCACGCGGCACGGACCCACAGGCCCCCTCAGTCATCCAATCCCGTTTCTGCGGGATAACTCGGAGCACCGTGGTATGTGAGGAATGTAAATCTTCACGACTACCTCCAACTAGAATCGATGCGTAAGTATCTGAACACAGCTTTAGAACGTTTCTAAGACTGTGAGACAGGATAATAGTCTTATCGTGGCCACCTCTAATTACTTAACCAGTCCAAACTCGCCATCGTCTTAAACATGTCTTATCGGATCCTCCCGATCCACTCTCGGTGCTTTTAGGCTCTCCAAGCACAGGTCACCCTTCTCGTCGAACTCGTCGAGTAGTAATCGAAGAGTCCAACGTGCAACTGAGTTATTCAGTGGGTCGCGTTTCCGATCCGATGGTAAATTTTGCGAAGCATTGCTCTTGCTAGGGCTAGTGTTAGCAACGCCTCCAGGTTTGAGCCCCGAGAGTTTACCTAAACGTTAGGGTTACGCTGACATAGTCTCTCAAGGCTAGAAAAAAAAAATACGCCAATGCCCATGTGCACCTTACAAATTCCAGGCGTCTTCATTCGTCCTCAGTTCTGTCATGCTGTATTCAACATTCTACGAAGTCTAACACTGTTATTTAGGCGTCCACTGTGTCACGCCGATGAAAAAGGCAGAGCATGGAAGGGTCATTTATGTGTTGGCTAGCTGGTCTACTAGCGACACCCGTTATCTTTGTCATCATCATAGATATATAATATATATATGTACATATTTTTTAGATCAATTTTAATTAAGTCGTGGTTATTTTTGCACCTATTATATATCGCTATTATGAGCAGACATTAAAATTTTCAATAGGATCTTGCGTTTTATTTGTGGTTGGTCTCGTCGTAAATACACACCAAAGAGCTCTGCTCCATTCATTAAGAGTTAATCAAATTGCAATGTAAGTAATTTTTAAGTGCTGCAGACAGGTAGACGAGCTCACAACGCTCCTCTTGTTGAGGAGTAACTAATGACAATAGAGATCATATTTATATTTACTCCATTGTTGTAATACAAGCACCATCTTAAGACCCCTAAAAAGAAAATGCCACTTGCCACACGATTAACGGTGATTGATCAACTTTACCTAGCTTATCATTTTTACAAAAAAAAAAAAAAAATTTGAACACTGTTTTAATAATTATTTATTGAACTTCGTAAACGAACATTGTTTAAATATTATAGTTTAAAAACAAATATATCTTACACAACTGATAAAATACTAATGATATCTACATAAAATTATATGACAGCTAAGTATTGTTACAAAATATTCATAAAATATGTAATAATTATTTGGTTGGTCTTTTACTACCAGCACCAATTCCATTGGTGAATGATATTTTTATTGGCGAGCTGGTGCAGAGTAATTTCAATGTGACAATAATTTACATTATCCACTATATTATCTAACATCATTTATACAATTAAATCATTCTTGTCCAAATCCTTCAGTTTCTTCTATTGCGTAGTTCAGTTTCTCGCACAGCTGTTCGTAACTTTTATACGGAGGGAGGTCGAGTCTGTTGAAACAAGTATGCGACCGCGGCAGCCATGTGTCTTTGCCAACCTGAAAAAACACAGCCACAGTCCATGACAAAAAGTCTATGAGTTAAATCCAATACAAATATTGTTTGATGGCTGGAGGTAATCCGTATGCCTTATCCCGGCGCTTCACTTAATCTATTTGATTGAAGTATGGATTGATTTTGGCATTATCAGGTAAACATTGCCACAAAATAACAAGCATTATACAAGTAAAATTCAAATCTAAAGGATGCTATCATATTTAACGTAACAGTAGCAATTTGATTTCAATATGAAATCTCCAGTACTTTTGGAATCCGTTACAATTATTTATTAGTATTATTTTTATACTTATTATTGTGATACTAAAATACCTTTTCTATACAAAATCTTTGGGGTCCATTAGAGCCCATTAATTCCGCAAAACCACCTACTGGAACTCTGCATGTACCCGTCACAAACTGAAGTAATCGTGCTCGTTTTTCATTATCCATTTGCCTTACAAACTGAAAAAAGATATATTGAAAAGATTATATTGTACAATTCATTCAATGTGGTAATACTTTTTCACTGGCATCTAAAATGATATATTTGTATAAATATTCGTGCTGTTTTATTTAGACAAAATCAAAGAGAGAAATGTGTTCTTGCATAGGCAATGGGACAAAATATAATGCACAAAAGTAAAGACTGCTTCTTTAAATATAATAGAACACTGTACTTATTGAAATACGTTACTTTCCTCGGTTTAATTTTACCAATTAGTGTGAGAGTTAAGTTAGCAAATAATAATACAAATACGAGTACAACAGACTGAATATGTTTAAGTGTAAGTACGAAGTGACCGTGGTTGGATAGTATTTTCCGATAATAGCCGAACAGAATAATATTTTTTTTATGATTGAAAGATTACTGGTGGCCTGGAGGCCTTTCCAGTTTCACTAGGGCAGGTGGGCAAAGGCTCAGCCAGGAGCGGTGGGATTTACTAACAGCTGCCCGAGCGCCTCCGAAGGAGGCCTAACAACTCAAGAGCAATTGCTTCGCGAATTAATTTACTACAGGATCGGAATCGCGACCCGCTGAGAAGATCCGACGAGAAACTTAGTGGGCTGATGCATGGGTTAGGTTGCACGTCGACCTCTTTGTCGAGTTCGATGAGTACGGTTACTGGGGTCCCTAAGCCTGCTCCTAGTGTTAGAGCTGAAGACGTCTAACGCAAAGGTTACTGGATCTGATGGAACCGAATATCATATCCTTTGAAGTCGGTCGAAAAAATGGCGGGTGAAAGTGCGGGATTGAAGATTAGGACATCGGGAATGGAATAATTCTTCTACAACTACGGTAACACCATCCTCGCATTTCCCTGTTTATTGTAAACGTTCGACTCTTACCACTCTAGTCTAATATTGAAATCTAGCCATATCCAGCCACACTGCGTAACTTTCACTAGTATGAATCGGAATCCAATGTATCGGATTTTGTTCACAATTTGATAGGTATTCTTATTGAGAGCAGAACTTTTTATTCTTTTTCGAAAATAAATAATTATGTAGCAGAGTAAGTTACACTTCTAGGTCAGTGAAGTTATTGTCTTTTGAATTGTATCAGCCTATATAGGCTGTGATTGATTGACATTTTAACCAGTCGCTTCAGTTCATTTACTTGTATGAAATAGATGTGGTTTTTTTTTACATTTTTATAATAATTATCATTTATCCATATATATATATATATATATAAATGAATTGCTGTTCGTTAGTCTCGCTAAAACTCGAGAACGGCTGGACCGATTTGGCTAATTTTGGACTTGAATTATTTGTGAAAGTCCAGAGAAGGTTTAAAAGGTAGATAAATATGAAAATGCTCGGAATTAAATAAAAAATTACAATTTTGTTTTTTCTGTGATGTGTCCCCCTGTCGGACGAATTCCTTTTGTTTGTTTTAAGTTTATTTTATACAAAACTTTAGGTCTTTTATTTATCGATTGAGGCTCTACGAAGTCTGCCGGGTCAGCTAGTTATTATTTAAAAATAAAAATTTATTAGAAGATGGGTTTAAAGAACAATTTCAAATTTCTCTAGTAAGTCATTCATTAATGAAGTCATGTATTTTGAATTATTCGCTTCAAAGGTTTCAACACCTAGAGGAATATAAATATATTATGTGCGTTAAAGAAACGTACCTGCCAAAACCACATAACTTGTTTGCTGGTTCGCGTGTAATGTCTATAAATCGTGTTCCGTTGCCAGTCGTCGACATCGACCTCCTGCATGCCGCACAGCATCAATTCCAATTCGCGTTCGTCGAAGTACTTCAACCACTCGAGGGGCACCACCTGACGACATTTTGTATTTTTATTTCTCACTAGTTACTAAGCTCAAAATGGATTACGAATCACGTGCGTGCGTGCGTGCGTGTGTGTGTGTGTGTGTGTGTGTGTGTGTGTGTGTGTGTGTGTGTGTGTGTGTGTGTGTGTGTGTGTGTGTGTGTGTGTGTGTGTGTGTGTGTGTGTGTGTGTGTGTGTGTGTGTGTGTGTGTGTGTGTGTGTGTGTGTGTGTGTGTGTGTGTGTGTGTGTGTTTAACGTTTTTCCTTAACTCCTTGACTAACGATGTCAAAAGAGCCCATTATTTCGCCTTTTCAATGTGCTTAGTGCGAGTATTTTAACGTTCTCGATCGCGTAAAAGTTAACTCAAATTTGTATGCATTTGGAACTGCACCCCTAGCGGCAAACTTTCCGGCTCCATACAAATTTGAGTTAGCTTTTACGTGATCGATAACGTTAAAAAACTCGCACTAAACACACAGACATCTAGCATAATATACTTATACATTATAAGAGCATAGTAAAATGCAAATGTACAAGCATGGACGGCCACCCTGTTTAATTTACACACTTTTTTTATCTTTTGTAAAGTTATGTTTGACAAACTAATTTGAATTGGTCGCCTGCGAAACAAGGTAATAGGAATGTCGATTTCGATAGAAAACCCAGTTTTTCCTTCTGTGCTCATACTCGATATCCTCTTATAACAAAAAATAAACTGTTGTAGACTTTAGATTAGAACTACTTTTACGGTTTAATGTCGCATTATTTATTATTATTATTATATCAGTTCCGATATTTCGATTACTTTACAGTTTTCGTGGTCACCAGACGCCTGCCTGTCTGTAGTAAGCTGTAAACTACACAATGAAAGAATTATAATAGTCGTACACTATAATAATACAAAACAAATGTATAGAGAATTTGTTGGAATGATTTTTTATTTGTAACCTTGAAACGTAACACCCTGTACGTGGTAAGAGTAAATTTAGTTTCATAATATCGGTTGTAATATTGACTGCAATGCTCAACAAGGAAATCTATAAATATTTACGCTGGTCATTATTTTAAAGAATTGATTCCTTACAAAAGAAGCATATATTATTTGAAAGAACATAATATGTATATTACAGAATATTACTTTTGGAATTCGCTCGATTTTGTTCGACTCTGATTCGGTGATTGGTTTTTCGAGTGATGCAGGAAAACTTCAGAAGCGGTCTCTTTGGAAATTGTTCATCGTAACTTGAAATTTGACCTCAAGTGAAAACTTCATCATATTTGTAGGCTTGCTTTCATCGAATCATTAATGTTTTATTTACACATTAAACTTAAACACAACTTGGCTACTTAGTGTTTTTTAAAACATTACATGACATGCCAGTTTTGATACAACGCTGTGAGGATGAGCAGATCAAAAATAGCGCGTAGTTTATTAATATTATTTTTAAAGTAAATTACCTCATTAAATCCATCGAGGAAGGCCGTTGTTTGTTCTTCGATGCCCCTCGTCATGCGCCATTGTGTGACTAGTTGTAAATACTGTTCTTTATTTGTCTGGAAATTACGTGTTATTAATGAATACACGCATCGCACGACAACGCCGCCAGACTAGACCACCTCTACAGCTCCCTTACGTGTTATCTTTCTAATTGAAATAGTTAATTTAGAGTTGGAGGAAAACACAGTGCCGCTTCAAAACAGTTGAAACTGGAATCATTTGTTTCCAAAATCAAAATCTTAGTCTTCGCGGTTCTGTTTGATAATAACTTGTTTTTTTTTCCTTACCTACAGCTAATAAAACCTTAAAAAAGTTAGTATACCTTCACCGAACGTATAAGTGATCTGACGGGGCTTAGCCCGGGAGACTGCTAACATCTGATCTAGCTCTGATCCAGCGAGAAACTTGTCTTGATTATTAAGTAAACTATTTTAATTTTAAATTAAAAATCAACTTACTTCAGTAACGCGTTCCTTGTCGCCGCCCGGTTTCAGTTCGTGGTGTATAACTTGACCGAGAACTTCAAAATCAACGCTGTACCACATCTCGAGACCGCAGTCGTCGATGTTGTTGTCCTTGATCCATACAAGCGAGTTGTAGAACTCTGGATCGATCGACTCGATGTCTTTCATCGTCAACTTCTTATTCAACATTCGCTTGTAGAAGGGCATCGTGAACCCGGAATATATGAATCTGCCATGATACAGTGCCATCGCTATGAATCTTCCGATAAATTTAAAATACAGCAGATGGTCGGGGTTCACGTAGCTAGCGGGATTGATCTGGAGGCTGTAGTTGTTCTTGTTCGCGTACTCGAACAGACAATACATGGGATTCAAAACTTCGTGCGACAAAAGGAAAAACCACTCTCGACTGACTCCACCGTAGTCCAGTCCTTCCTCTCCGCGGAATATTATGTAAAGCCGTCGGCGGAGTTCGTAAGCAGGTAGCCTCATTATCTGAAATTTAAAAAAAACAACTAAATATAAACACTGCAACCTCGAAAACTTTATTTATCAAGGAAAAAAATATTAATTTTATTCGAATTTCAAAGTTCATCGAATAAATTGTAATAATATGTTATGTTACCATGACATTTAGATTGAAAATATTTTAGACAAAATCATTGGGCAACACACAGGGGTACGATATCATTGTATTACGATCCAAATTACGCACCTGATGGTAGGAGTCTTCGAAGAGTGTCTGCCGCGAGAGTGTAATCTTGATGTGGCTGGGTAGCGCGTTACTCTGGCAGAGATAGCGGAACTGGCTGAGCTTCCAGCGGAAGGATCGTTCGTAGGCGCGGGGCACGCCGTACGCTCCCTGCGGGCCCTGCGGCGCGCCCGGCCGCGGGTCCTGGAACGTGGTGGTGCGCGTGTTGTGGTCCACGAAGTACCGCGTGCCTTCCTCTGTGAACCGGATCTCCCAGCCAGCTGGCAGAACTTCTTCCACGCCGCTCACCTCTTGCCCCTGCGACCGAATACAATGAAATGCGAAAGTTTCAATCCATCTTTGTTTAACTCTCAGACACAGCCCACTGAGTTTCTCGCCGGATCTTCTTAGTGGGTCGCGTTTCCGATCCGGTGGTAGATTCTGCGAAGCACGGCTCTTGCTAGGGTTCGTGTTAGCAACGTCGTCAGGTTCGAGCCCCGTGAGCTCACCTACTAGTTAAGGTTACGCTGATATAGCCTCTCAAGACTCTCAGCTTAGGTAGGAAAAAAACCCATCTTTGTTACCTACCGCACAAAATCTCTAATCCAACAAATATATGGAATATATACCTACACTCTTAATATTTTACACGAATATGTTACCGAACTTAGGATTGAGAGCGTCGGAACAAAAATATACTGATGCAAGGCTAATCTCATTTTAAAGGCCAAGTTCCACTATGGTTCGCTCAGCTAGCTATAAAAGTGAGTAAGAGATACAGTAAAGTACAATAGAATGTAGCAATAGAGTACGATACAGTAGAGTAAAGTTATGAACATGACTTAAATAAATATTATCGTCCGGAATGAAGTACACCTAGGATACTAAAGAAGTTTTTTTCCAGATTTCATACCTCCTGGTACACCAGTTTAGGCTGTGCCTTATGTGTCATTTCAATATACCGATTTATTGTTATAAAAGTGTATGACGAGCATGCCTATAATTCAGAACCTTTAGTAGAACCACCCCGCCTATTTCTGCCGTGAAGCAGTAATGCGTTTCGGTTTGAAGGGTGGGGCAGCCGTTGTAACTATACTGAGATCTTAGAACTTATATCTCAAGGTGGGTGGCGCATTTACGTCGTAGATGCCTATGAGCTCCAGTAACCACTTTTAACACCAGGTGGGCTGTGAGCTCGTCCACACACCTAAGCAATAAATAAAAAAAAGTGGAGTTATAAATTGTGCCTTGTGATCTATGACCGACCTGGGTTCGTGGGTCCTCCCATTGTGTGGTGCGGTTCTTGTGGTTAACGTAGTAGACACGTCCGTCGGGCTGCACACGACGCTCCCACCCGGCGGGCAGTGCGCCCAGACCGTCATCCGGGGCAGGAGTAGACCCACCACCTGCGCCCGCCACTCCTAATAATAAATAGACATAGGGTGTGTGAAGGTCATCATTTTATTACCTATACAAGCAGCCCGCTCCGGCTCCGCTCGGGTCTTTAACAAAAATTTCAACGATATTTGAGGTTGTTTTACTTTTTTTAAATAAAAGACCACCTATTGCGGCATAACTATAATAGTTAGACGTATGCTGTCGCCACACTTTTTGTAAATAATAATGTGTTCTACAAGTCATAGTAGGTACATTATTTTATTCTATCATCAATAGTTTTCGCAGGGCACGCGTTGTAAAAAATGTTTTAGGTACTAATTTTTTTACACCTTGGGTTACATTATTGGAGTTTTAGTAAGAATTCCTAATTTTTTTCAAAAAAGATTATAGCCTATGTCACTCAGGAATATTGTAGCGTCCAAACAGTCAAAGATTTTTTTCAAATCGGTTCAGTAGTTTCGGAGCCTATTCAATACAAACAAACAAACAAATCTTTCCTCTTTATAATATTAGTATAGAAGTATAGATGAAAATGGAAGCGAACGGTTGCTAATCAAAAGACGCGACTCGGCCTTGTCGAACTACTACTACGAGTATTACCTCCCCATTAGCTAATTAGTTTTCTGGTTTGGTAATGGGTGGAGTTAGGTAACCTTATGAATAAGCAAAAAAAGAGGCGATGTTACGAGCCTATATCTGTCGTGTAGAAATTGTGCGTTCCGTTGTAATATTGTCATCATACCGGAACATGCTATTAGTAATTCAACCCATGCCTCAGGATGACCCTATTCGTTGTGGTGAAGGTAGACTCCGGTAACCGAACGTGGTCAATGAGTTGTTTCTTGCGCTATGATAGCTTTTTACTCTTAATAAAAATATTATCGACACTAACATTTTATTACGTTTTGTCTTGGGCTCTATTTAGAAAATTAAAAAACGCTTTAAGCTAATGGCATGGCTGTGTGGTAAAAAAAAGCATCACCTCATCTCTTCCCGAGAGAGTCGTAAAAGAGGACTAAGATTCACCGGATTATGGGCAGCATAGTTCTCAGAGTATTATACCAAAGTACCACGATTGCCAACCAGCGTTTAGTGTTTGACTGGTGTTTTGACGTATTGTAAATCCACACCCTCCTGCCTATTTGCAGCAAAGCAGTCATACGTCTTGATATGAAGGGTGGGAGAGTAGTTATACAAAACAATTTAGACCTTGACCTCAAAGTGGGTGGTGGAAGTCATGTTGTAATGTCTACGGTCTTCGGTAACCACCCTCGGACGGGGAATTCGTCATCCATCGGCGCAATCAAAAGTAAAAACATTCCAAGGAAAAACTTATTCAATTAACTAGCTATTGATCAGATATAACGAATTATTTTGATGTAATATGTACGTACCTGCTGCATACGTCACTTCAGAACAAGCATAAAGGAATTATAAAGATAAGGTAGTTGTTATTTTCAGATAAAACAAATAAGCCGTTAAAGATAGACACATGTAAGATGACAAGTTGAAAACGTTGGTTTCTATATTCAAGTTTACAAACTGCAACGTTGATATAATTTAAAATTGTTTAATAATTTATGCGTGTTTAGGAAAATTATTCTAGTTCTACTTAATCTCGATGCCACAATTTTCACAAGATAAAATCTAATTTAAACTATTGTCAATACACATATCAAAATTGACCATAGCATTATCTAGATAATCTGCTAGTCTGAAAATAGGAAATGAGCTGAAGTCCGGTTCGGCGGACTCGTGTGCTGCAGAGACAGACGGCTTCCACAGGCTTACGATTGTGGATTCACAAAAAATATTATGTACTTCCGATATCGATAAATGTGTTATTCTTTGTTTAATGAGTTAATTTTCTTAGTTCCATGGTATTTATTTATTATTTATGTTATCTTTTCAGCTTTCGCAACTGTGGTCTTACACCTTGTATTTTTTATTTATTAATTAGATGGGTGGAAGAGCTCACAGCCCACCTGGTATTAAGCGGTTACTGGAGCCCGTGGACATCTACAACGTAAATGCGCCACCCACCTTGAGATATAAGTTCTAAGGTCTCAGTATAGTTACAACGGCTGCCCCACCCTTCAAACCGAAACGCATTACTGCTTCACGGCAGAAATAGGCAGAGCGGTGGTACCTACCCGTGCGGACTCACAAGAGGTCCTACCACCAGTAAAAATTCATCAAAGCAATGATATTCGATATTTTAAAAAAAGCAGTGAAATAAATGAATATTTTTCCTATTAAAGTACCTATCATAGGATATGAATAGTGAAATAGTTATGTCCCAATATTGAATAATACAAGTAGAATTTATCTACTAACTATCTACTGCACATATGTAAAGAAAGAATTAACATTAGAGATTTTATGGAAATAAAATGAACCTGTTTGTGATTCGTGTTCGGCTCCGTCGGGCTGGTGCGTCGGCTGCACGTGCGGGTAGAGGAAGCGCTGGTTGCCCTGCGCGACCACGTGGCGCCGCTCGCCACGCCAGTGCTGGAAGCGCGCCAGCCGCTCGGTGTCGGGGCGCTGCCACGTGGTCGTGCGCGTGTTGTGGTCCACGTAGTACACGCGCCCGCGAGCGTCGCGCCGTACCTCCCAACCTGCCGGCAACGGTTGCGGACGTTCCCACGATGTGGACCGAGTGTTGTGATCCACATAGTACCTATAAACATACACAAGCATTTTATTAATAACTAGCGACCCGCCCTCGCTTCGCTTCGGAAACATTACATTTTATTACCCGCAGTTATTGTCGTACCGCGGGTGAAGCCGCGGGGCGAAGCTAGTCTAAGTTACTCCTTATATCATCAGCTACCTATCAGTGAAAGTCCCGTCAAAATCGGTCCAGCCGTTCCAGAGATTAGCCGGAAAAAACAGACAGAAAGACAGACTGACAGACAGACAAAAATTGTAAAAAATGTTATTTTGGTGTTTGTACCGTATATATATTCATATGCATGTAGTAAAAAGAGACTATTTCAATATTACAAAAAGACACTCCAATTTTATTTATATGTATAGACTAGCTGTCTGCTTCGCTGGGTATTTAAAATTAATATTATTATTTCTCAACCCCACAAAGATTCTCTACATCAACTCCCCCGAAACTGGTGTAGGAAGTCCAACACTTATATAAATATTAGCCTATCCATTAGGTACATGTATTTTCTACATGGATACTAAGTTTCAAGTCAATCGGATGCATGGTTCAGTAGTTATAATGGAACGTCTGTAAAAACCACTGCAGATTTATATATTAGTATAGATAATGACACGACATATCGGTAGCAGATAGTTACGTATTATCGTTTACACCAAATAATTTTTAATCAGTTTATACTCCAATGAATTTAAAGAAAGTACATACTTATTCCTTTTTTTTTTTTACTTTCCTAACTTCTCGAACACTGACCAAACAGTATATTGTAAATCGAATTGAAAGATCTACCAGCTAGTATGAGACGCGTTAAATATTTATGAGTTGGAATACTTACCGTCTACCATAACCATCATATCTCATTTCCCACCCAGGAGGCAAAGGCTCCTCAGCAGCATTAGGGTAAGCAGTATTAGCAGATGTTGGCTGTGTTGATGTTGGATCCTGTGTACCAGGCAGGCGTGACTGCTGTGAGGGGCCTGCAGTTTCTGATGATGACTGTGTTGCAGTACTCGGTAAATGTATAGACCCATTGCTCATTGGTGGAGGTCCTGGAGGTGGCTTTAAAAATGAAAAAAATAATTTATACAGAACTAACTTTTTCTTCTTAGTTGTATTGACCATATAAACACTATACTTTGATGAAATGTGCAAAATATATCTTTACTCTTTAATGAAAATTCTTTACAATCTCAACATTTTAAAATGTAATTTAAAACTAAAATATAAATAGATCAAAAGATAAACCTTTTTAAAATAGAATGGGAAAGCTTAAATTAGTCATGAAGAATTTAATGGAAATTATTATAATTCATGAATAAATGTTATTACTCAACCAGGCAGCCTTGTTGTAGTAGATGGATTGTTTCTATTTTAAATTTTTTGTATGATACAAATAATAGAAACATCAACTTACTCCAAGTGTTAGTGATCGCATCATGGATCTAACAGTCTCAGGATTGTTGCGCATTCTGATTCTGGCTCGCACCCCTTCATTAAGGGGAGCTGCAGTATTTGCTGTTTCACCAAGTAATTCACGTGTTTGTGTCAACACTCCAGGGTCAATTCTTAAGCCATCTAGAAGCAACACCAGTTCTGCTGTTTTTACCTCAGCATTTCCACTAGTATTCTCTTGAGAAGATGTTTTCATTAAATCTAAAAAAGTGCAAACATTACAACAAGTTTTGTTTTACTTGTTTACTGAATTTATATGAAGCACAATTTCACAAATTTTGAATATTGTAATGTCTTTCTTTTACATTTTTATTATATTGAAAAATTGTACTTATTTTAAAATGAATTCTCAGTGAAGAGAGTTTTATAAGGCTATATTAAATAATCTTCAATTAATCTTAATTTCAACAGAAACTGGTTCAGTTTAACTCACCTAATGTAAGTTCTAAATTCTCACATTTCCCATTACAGTAAAACAAAACTTTTAATAGGTTCACTTTTTTTTCACCAATCACATTGTCTTTCCTAAAGCTATGATAATCTGCAAGACGGAACAGTAATTGCGATTGTGGCGTCACCAAAATAGTAAGATCTTCTTTCCATTTTGGATGCAAGGTGTTCCTTATTACTTCAGTCTTTCTCAATATTTTATCATCAATTATAACTTGCAGGTATGGATTTGGTTTGAACAAGCCTGAATTTTTTATATTTGCTGATTCCACTAAAATATACAATGTGTGTTAGAAGATTTCATAATTTCATTTAATATCATTTGCAAAAATATTTCAAGATTAATTTTCAATCAGTTTAGATCAAAATGTATTTGAACTTACCTGTTAAGCTCAGTTGATGATATGTGGACACAGAAATTGGAGCAGTGAGTGAAGATATATTTTCATTCATAGTGTATGCTCTTAGTTAAACCTTTTGAATGAAGCATAATATTGTTTTATTTAGGCTGTGATCTCATCTTAATACTGGACATTTCTGGGAAAGAAAAATAAAATACGGAGTTTTACTTTTCACATTTTATTCAGTATCATGAATAATTGAAGTTAATGTTTTAGAAAATTTTAATTAACGGGCTATAGGTGTTAAGAATACTTGTCCCATAAGGCAGTAATTATAGTTTAAAGGTAACATTGATTATTATTTTGTACATTGTATTGAAAATTTAACCATATGTATGAAGTATTGTATGGAATTATTATTTGGTTTGTCTTTATTATTTAGGTTGATGATCAAAAAATCAAAATAGAATAAAGTTTAAAATTTTATTACGATTTTAATGTAATTTAATGTAAATAAGTTTGAAATTAAATGGGCTTCTATGCTGTTTTTTTGTGAGTGAAAAATACTGTAACAGAACACTGTCATTAATGTTGCTATTACCAAACCAAAAATAGTAAATTTTTTTTTTGCTTCCAATTAACACTACTAAATTACCGATCCCGATCTGAAAGCATTTGCCAATAAGTTGATTAAGTGTTTTACTGGACAATTGATTATTATCTGTCAATGACTTAAATAACCAGCTTAAACGAGAAGACACTTATTTATTGTTTATACGTCTTGTAACGATAAACAAACACGAAGTGCACAATACAAACATACCTCCTGAAACAGTTATAGTATTAATGTTACACAACAATGAATTATTACCATATGAAGCGAGTTCGTCCGAAGCTAAGAATCCTTCGAATTATCTTATTATCGTATTCTTATCACTGTGAAAGGAAACGTAAATAACGCCACATTCTCTTTATCACATTACTTATTGAAATCTAGCGCAGAAGGCACATAAATACACGTACACGAAAATCTGAATGTATACAGAAAATTTTAGTATTTTTTAAAATTTATTAAATGATATCCTGAGTAAATAATTTTTCACATTCCCTGAAATTAGTCACAGTATGTCACGCACCTGTCACGGTCGATCGATTATATTAATGATGTCCATTAATTTATCTCAACCAATATACCTAGTAATTTCTAATCTACCACGTCCTACCGCAGAGTATGTCTGTACATAATACCTATAAATTAGAGGTTACTGAAAACTATTAAATCGATTTTCTACAATTTCCACTAGTTTTCTATCAAATTTATCTACTTATACTAAAAAGATAAATAAATAGTGAAACTGACTAATCACTTATGTGACGGAGCATCTTGACAGTAAGTCGAGCGCCTACCTACGCCTTACCACCTTTTACTGGTGGTAAGGTGTCCTATGAACCTGCATGGGTAGGTACCACTAGATGCCTATTTCTGCCGTGAAGCAGTAAAAACCCAAAGAGGACGCCCGCTGAATATTAACGACGTAACAGGTGACCCTGCTAAGTTCAGTCCTGGGAAGCTCGCACAAACACCGTTATATAATCGCCTTATAAAAGTCGGAGACCAGAATGGAAGACAACGACCACACGTGGGGTAGACCAGGGGCTCTACCAGAGCCCAAGATAGCTCATCACATAACTTGTTTCTGTTACGATCAGCTCAAGTTACGGATGATGCCAAAAGTTGAGACTTCGATCTCACGTCTCAAAGTGCGAGTTGATGTTCAGCTGATGTGCAGCGTACTTTTTTGTTAATTTTTAACTATTTTGTCTTGCAATAGAAGGACGAGAAGCGAGACAAGCAATACAATACGTAGTGCAAAAGCAATCCTAAATCTAAAGCGAGAGTAAAATTAGTGTTAGTGTGGTATCAGTGGAATAGATAAATACTAGTGCGTATTATATACTATTGAGTATGGAACCATTTGTGTGTTTGTTTCTCAGAACTGTCAATGAACAACGCTCAAGAGAAAGCTTGCTCATAATTTTATCCTATACTGTTAATGTGTACTATTAATAGTGGGTTTTACAGTATATAATGTAATGGGTTGCCAGTCGCAACCGCCATTCGAGCAGCAGAGGACCGGACGAGATGGAAACAGCTCACGAGACAGGCAACGGTCAAGTTTCAGGGACACGACCTTCAGCAATGAAGAAAGCGACGAAGAAGAAGAAGAAGAATGTAATTTCATATTAATCATCATAATAATTCATCAAAACATATTAAGACATTCTGTTTAGATATTTCGGGAAAAAGGCTACCGACAAAATCTTTTCGGAACTATTTAAATAAAATAGTTTTATTCCGCAGTGAGTAAAACACTATTGTAAATTCGTTAAATATTTAATAATTAAGTGATTTTAGAGAGGAAGTCACAAGGAATGACGTTTTTAATAATGAATAAATGTTTTGTAGGTGTTTTTTTTTATCACGCGGTCCCTTGATAAGTTTAAAATTTGAATCACTCTCAAGTGAAAGTGATTCAAATGGTGCGGCGCACCTTCCTTGGGGTGCGCTGCGGTAGTGTGTTACGGACTTTAGAGTAAGCAAAACAATTAAAATAGATTGTAATAGTCTAAGAAAAACACATACTCAAAATACGATAACATTTAGCATGCTAGAAATGGGCAGATGGCACTGTACTACGCCATATCTTTATGTTTTGCGACAAACGACAACTTTATAAAATCAGTGTAGCAACTTTAAAAATCATCATATCGTTTACTTGGCAAATTCGAAGGACGAACTTGTCTTAGATTTCACCCATCTGGCAGCACTGCGCACAATCGGGCACTCTCAAAAGTACTGCCATCAGATATTTTAGTAATGGCTCAAATAACTCATCTGTTTCATTATCATATATATTTTCAATAAATATATCACTTGATAATGAAATAATTGATTGATTTAAACTCGGAGCACTCGATAAATCATCGTCATCACTATCATCTGGATAAGATGATTCAATTAAAAAGTATATAATTTTCTTAGAACTCATTTAAAAAAAATACTCAAAACGTAAAAAAATGTTAATGAAATAATCGAAATCCAAATTACTTAAAATAACCGTAAATAGTTTTCAATTAGGTAATTATTATTGTTTACCACATTATTTATACATTAATGAGGTTGCTAACTCCATGAATATTTTTTTTTCAACACTGAACTTAGCGCACTCTGCTGATGAATTTGAAAACTAATTCATGTTCCAATTAAGCTTCAGCATAATTCGGCATTGTGTGCCACCGAGTCGCATTATGCTCTGTAATTGGAAAACTATCTACTTTCCACTGCTAGTTGAGATAAAGGATTTTAGTTTAATTTTATCTATCTATCTATCTCTAGTTTAATTTTACTGTGACCAAGCCTGTGGCAATGACATCAGTGACATTTTAAACAGTGTGACCATCTTTTAACTGCAGATCCTGCAATAATTTAGTTGAAAACCTGCCAAATCCTGCCAAGGTCTGTGGTAAAAATGCCTAATTAATGCCAACTTTATTAACCGTTGTAATAAATCAAGAAAAGTATAAATACGGGAGTTTTTGGCGAGAACTTAAAGCGGACATTGTGCTATGCAGCTTTAACTTCTAACAATCTGCAGAATTACTCTAAAATCAACAAATATTTGAAGTATATTGAGGGTTTTTGAGTTGTGTTTATGTGAGAAATATAAGCTGTGTAGTTCACGCTGAGCTGCAGCATAGTCTTTCATAGCGGACAGACGGGTTACTAATTTGCAGTTACAGGCATTACAAAGGGCTTCTTCTGGATCGTCTTTAGCTTTGGAGATCCACAATAAAAGTAAAGGATCTTGTTCCCACTCCGCTCTATACGCCCTTTCATATTTTCGCTTCATCATCACCACCAATAATAATAAGTATCGCCCAAAAAATAGCACTAACAAGATATTGTCACCTTAAAAACTAATCTATCTATAAACATGTACTATGACTGATTAAATTGAAATATAAACCGTAAACTCGTGTTTATAAATACCCGTTTCAAGATTATCAACTTTCTATGCAAAGTTTTAAAGTTGTTAATTGAATGTGATACGAACATAGCACGAGAAGTATAGGGAAATCCCCTACATGCTCACGAAGTATCTTCAGGGTTGTCTTTTTTTACATTTTATTGTGTTGCCATAAGGAAATTTCTTTTCTTTATCCCAATACTGCCAAAAAACTGCCAGAAAAGAGTTCAATCCTGCCAAAATGGCAGGATCCTGCCACATATGGTCACACTGATTTCAAAGTAATTCCATTGCCAATGGACTTTGTATCCGGCTAATAAATAAATTAAATTAAAAAAAAGTAATTCCATTTATTTTACTCAAAATTTGGGTATGGCAATCTTACTACAACTTAACTTTGCCATTTTTGTTTTTGGACTTAAATATCATTAATATTTAAGAAAACAATAGATATTTGATTACATTTCAACTATGCATAAAATACACTATAAAGCTGATTGATTGCTTTTTATATTCTAATAGAAATTTTTTAAGAAGGACCTTTTCAAACTTTTTTAGCCGCCAAAAAGTGGCAAAGTTGCCAGGTTTCACGGTACGCAAAATAATGACCGACATCGGCGACATCTAATAATTCAGACTAGTTCGGTCAGACAATCTGAAAATTTACTTAAAATAATAATTTTTAGTTATAAATACATACAATACATGTAAAAATAATATAAAATAAGGTCAACTAACCGGTAACATAAGTCAATATAAATTGCATCCTTATTGTGAGCTTTCAAAGTAATTTTAGCTGGAAGTTCGCTTCGCTTAATGTACAGGTACGTCCACATGATTCCTTGCTACTTCCACGAATAAATAATTCAATAAAAATGCACTCTCTAAGAGTGTAATGTCGCGTTTGTTTCCCGGATTTACACAATGAACACGAAACATAAAAAAAAATTGCGTGAAAGTCTAGAGCTTTTTCCAATAAAGAGAATCCTTTTTTAATTATTACATTATGGTTAACGAATAGAACTAGTAATTTTTTTGTGTAAGAGTAACCACAATATGGATTCGAACACGTCATCTCTTCAAGTACTCCAGGTACCTCATGCAACAATGTCTTCCACAAATTTGTAATATTGGCTTGACAATTATTAGTCTGACATAGCACAGCTTTTCGAACCTTTGTCAGATATCTTCTCTGCAATTTCCCATCATTTGTTCCAATGTATAATGGATGCAGTAGTGATAGTCTCTTCTCATAAATTTTTCTCCATTATGATAAAGCTAAATCGTTTTTTAACAATATGTAGTCATCAACATGAGTATGGGGTCAGTATTTTTTCATTCTATATTTATTTATATAAATCCATAAAAAAATGGAAGAATTATCTCCAAACTAATTTATTTTATTTTTCAATTATTATTATTATTATTTTTTTACTTTTAGCCATTCTTGACTATAATACTAAATTGTGTATTTATATATTATTATTTTACATGTATACTAAATTGTGTGTAATTATGTGTATGTATGTATTTTACCATTTTATACACAGGTATATTAAATTGTAGTATGTTTATTTATGCATACAAAGTCATATGTAATTTATATAAGTACCTATATTTAACATTATGTGTATTCTATAATACTGAGATGTTATTTTAAGGAAGATTTTTGTTTTGATTTTGTTCTTTTTTCTTTTGTTGTTGTTGTTGTTTGTTATTCTTTTGTTAATGTACCTACCATACATTATCTCTGCATCACCCTATGGTCGACTGGAAGATAATGCCCATGGCATTAAGTTTGCCTGTGTACAAGTTTTGTTTTGTGCTTAAAGTATAAATAAATAAATAAATTTATTATATAATATTTATAATATTTATATTTACACATTTATAATACCTAATCAGTAATTAAATTTAAATCTTATCTGTTCTTAGTGTAAAAAGTGTAAAAGTTAATTGAGTCGTCTATTATCAAAGGCGGCAATCTGTACATTTGGACAAAAAATTTTTATTGATATGTCAATACAGATTTATTTGAATATCATCGTCTCCTTCAAAGAATACGGTTCAAAACCTGCATTAAATAAAGGTTAATAGTTAACCTGTTATTTATCTAAGATGTCGTTCCGAAGAGTTTTGTGACTGCCAATGGAATACAAANATATCATCGTCTCCTTCAAAGAATACGGTTCAAAACCTGCATTAAATAAAGGTTAATAGTTAACCTGTTATTTATCTAAGATGTCGTTCCGAAGAGTTTTGTGACTGCCAATGGAATACAAAGTCAATAATTCGTTTTTCTGATTTACCAATCATTGTCCAAAAGTCAGATTGCCGCCTTTGATAATAGACGACTCAATTATTGTACAATTTTTTTATTTATTTAATTATTATTGCAAAAAAATGAAAATAATCGATGAAGTGGAGTTATCATATGCCGGTATAGTAGAATTTTATTTTTTCATGGAAATATTTGACAAATTTGTTATTTTATAACTAAAAATAACAAATAACAAATGAATTAAAAGTGTGACGAGTTACAGTGAAAATTTTTTTTTTTTCGAAAATTCACCTTTAATTGATTGTCAGTTATTATTGTACATATATTTATTGTACTCGTAGTGCTGACTGCTTTAAAAAATGATGACTACGTTCGTTATATTACTGTATAGACATTGTTGCTTCCATTGTTGTAAGAAAATTTACCAACTAAGTTAGGTGTTTTTTTTTTTTTTTTTATTGCACAGATGGATGGACGAGCTCACAGCCCACCTGGTGTTAAGTGGTTACTGGAGCCCATAGACATCTACAACGTAAATGCGCCACTCACCTCGAGATATAAGTTCTAAGGTCTCAGTATAGTTACAACGGCTACCCCACCCTTCGAACCGAAACGCTTCACGGCGGAAATAGGCGGGGTGGTGGTACCTACCCGTGCGGACTCACAAGAGGTCCTACCACCAGTGATTACGCAAATTATAATTTTGCGGGTTTGGTTTTTATTACACGATGTTATTCCTTCACCGTGGAAGTCAATCGTGAAATTTGTTGAGTACGTATTTCATTAGAAAAATTGGTACCCGCCTGCGGGATTCGTACACCGGTGCATCGCTATATACGAATGCACCGGACGTATTATCCTTTAGGCCACGACGACTTCAAAGGTTAAAGGTTAATATTAATAATTTTTTTTATCTGATTATTAATTTTTTTTGTTTTTTTTCTCTTACAGGCAGCTTTCGAGTAACTTATTATGCCACCTGTAGCAGCTGTGCCGGTTGATTTAGCTGTGAAAGTATTAAAAAAATACATTGCTCATTTCGCCAATGATGAATTTCCACAATGGAAGTCAGAAATCTGGAAAAAAATTGCAAACGATCCTGAGCTGGAGGGTAAATGGTCTATTGGTAGCGTAAGAACGAATGTTAGAGAAGATAGAAGAGGCATTTTGAGTGAAGCCAGAAGACAGTGTGGTATCACTGTAAATATCATATCTAATAAAAAATCAAACGTAAATGAAAATTGTGACATCTCCAAAGAGTCACATGAAGATTGTGACGAGGATAATTTGAATGAAGAATCAGATTCTGAGAACGATGATATTCATAAGCATGAACGTTTTACCGTAGAAATTTCCCGGGATCTATGGAATGAAATACACAGCCTTGAGCCTCTGGTTTACAAAGGTCGAAAATATGTTGGGTTTAAACCCAAGGTGTGGACCAATGCAGTATCTAATGCTTTTTGGAAGCAGCACCATTTAAAGTGTGCTTTCGTGTTTAAAAGAGGCAGAATTACACAACATGGAAGAAGTTATGCGACTATAATCGGACGCTGTCGAGCTAAAGATTGTCACAATCCAGTGAAAGGAATAATTAAAGACTGTCCAGGAGAGGTCGGGCCCGTATATATTGAAATGTTTTGTCGTGATACTCGTTTCGTAAAACACGAAGATGTCAAAAGACCCCTTAACGGAACAGAACGTCTGAAAGTGCAAGCAGAACTTTTGAAAACTCATGCTTCTGCTTGGAGGAAGGAGAAAGCCAAAGATAATATAGATCCGGGAGATACTGGTTCGCCGTTTGTATATAATCTGAATACTCTGCATCAAGCAAAGAAAGAAACTAACATCAAGAAACTTGGTATTAAAACTGATGACATGCGAGACATGATTTTAGCGATTAGAAACATGTATGTTGATCCGTCTTATGTTAATTCTATTTTGGCGATTGGTGATACACCATTTTATGTATTTTATGCAACTCCAACTGCAATATATTTCTTGAACTTATAAATAATTATCATTTCAACAAAAACAGATTTTGTCTGCATTACATTTACATTTTTTGAACTACGTAATGAATTTAGGAATTTTTAATTTTATTATAAAATACAAGTATCATAACTATCTCCTATTGCATGGTAATGAATAGTATCATTTTAATACGAAAGTTGTTCTCCTAAAATATTCTTAGAATAATTAGAAATCACTGAAATTTCTATATGCTTGTTAATATTCAATATCATTAAAAAAAACTGAATTTATCAAAACCGCGCTAATTGTACTTTAACGACTAATTGGCCGTCTTCACTGACATTTTTTTGTTGAAGTTTTCAATATTTTTTTTATCTACATAAGAAATAATTAGACAGTATAAACGCACTTGTTGAAAAAACGTTAGTAAATACGGCCATTGCCAGCTGACTGACAAAACCGGCGCATGCGCAATGTAGGCGTGAGGTGATGGTTTGCTTATTAGAATCAGTTAAAAAATAATTAATAATTGGGAATTTAATTGTTTTTATGATCGAAAAATCACCGATAGTCGAACAAACGATAATTGATCAAAATTAATTAATCAGCGATAAAAATAAAGATATCTAGTAGGGAGGGGGGAGGCAACATAAGGGTGATGATTTGTTTAATTAGTTATAAATAAATAAAAGACGAACAAACAATTTTTACATTCGAACATTAACGAACAAATAATTTAAAATAAAAAAAATCCGAAAATCAAAAAAAGTGGGACCAACTTCAGTGAGGGAATAATCTGTCAGAAATTATTGATTTTCGCAAAGGGTAAAGAGCATAATCTGTAGTAAAGAGTAGAGCAGAATATGATTATAAGTGTAGGTATTGCGTTTGTACTTAAGTACCAAACCACTTAATTTCAGGTGGGCTTGAGTTCGTCCACCCATTTCCCCCCGACAAATCCCTCCTGAGCAGTGATCTCGAGACACTGCCCGGTATGGGTGACGCAGTCATTCTGGCAGGCGATCTAAATTGCCACCACACTAGCCTGTGGAACTGCCATCGGACGAATGTGAACGGTAGGCGTCTCTACGCGTTCATAGACGACCTCACATTCGAAATAGTCAGCCCCCCGACCCCAACGTGCTATCCGAACAGCACCACGCGTCGTCCAAGCACAATAGATCTGGCGCTGCTTAGGAACGTAACTCTGCGCTTGCGCTCCATCGAAGCACTGTCAGAGCTCGACTCAGACCACCGACCTGTCGTCATGCAGCTCGGTCGCCTGCTCAACCATGACCCAGTCACGTTGACCATGATGGATTGGAAGAAGCTGGGCACGTGCTTAGCTGATGCCGCTCCACCAATCCCCTGCGGCCCGGATTCAACTCCATCCCCCGAGGACACAGTCGAATCCATAAACATATTTACCGAGCACATCTCTTCCGTGATCATAAAGTCTTCCAAACAAGTCGATGTGGAGGATTGCTTCCACCGCATCAGACTTTCCCCCGAGCTTAGGGATCAGTCGACGTCGCCCCAAACACGTCATTTCGGATCCTCCCAACCCACTAACGGTGCTTTTAGGTACCTCAAGCACCGGTCATCGTTCTCGTCGAACCCGTCGCTTGCGACGAAGGGCTCGACGAGTAAATTAACCCTCAGACACAGCCCATTGAGTTTCTCGCCGGATCTTCTCAGTGGGTCGCGTTTCCGATCCAGTGGTAGATTCTGCGAAGCATGGCTCTTGCTAGGGTCCGTGTTAGCAACGTCATCGGGCTTGAGACCCGTAAGCTCACCTACTGTTAAGGCTACGCTGATATAGCCTCCCAAGGCTATCAGCTTAGGTAGAAAAAAAATACCACCTATTCAAGCAATAAAAAATAAAAAACCTATGCACTGTCTCTATTTATTCGGCTCACTGAATTTGGACCCCTTTTTTTGATTTTCTTTCTTTTTTTTTTTTTAATAATGTGTTCGTCGTTTGTTCGCTAATGTTTGAATGTAAAAATTGTTCGTCGTTTATTTATTTATAATTAATTAAACAAATTATCACCCTTAAGTTGCCCTCCCCCCCCCCTTACTGGATATCTTTATTTTTATCGCTGATTAATTAATTTTAATCAATTATCGTTTATTCGACGACTATCGGTGATTCTTCGATCATAAAAACAATTAAATTCCCAATTATTAATTATTTTTTAACTGATTCTAATAAGCAAACCATCACCTCACGCCTACATTGCGCATGCGCCGGTTTTGTCAGTCAGCTGGCAATGGCCGTATTTACTAACGTTTTTTCAACAAGTGCGTTTATACTGTCTAATTATTTCTTATGTAGATAAAAAAAATATTGAAAACTTCAACAAGCTACAACAATACTTCAACAAAAAAATGTCAGTGAAGACGGCCAATTAGTCGTTAAAGTACGATTAGAGTGGTTTTAATAAATTAAGTTATTTTTAATGATATTGAATATTAACAAGCATATAGAAATTTCAGTGATTTCTAATTATTCTAAGAATATTTTAGGAGTACAGCTTTCACGTTAAAATAATACTATTCATTACCATGCAATGATACTTGTATTTTATAATAAAATTAATAATTCTTAAATTCATTACGTAGTTCAAAAAATGAAAATGTAATGCACACAAAATCTGTTTTTGTTGAAATGATAATTATTTATAAGTCCAAGAAATATATTGCAGGGACATTTAGTAGAAATTCATTTAATATGGAAGAATAAACTTAGTATATATATACTCTATCAACAGGATTTTATTTTTAAAAAACCTGAGTATGTGTCACTTAGCACTCAATTGCAGCGGTATAAACGCATTTTTCAACAAAACGCTAGTAAATACGCTTATTGCCAGTTGACTGATAAAACCGGCGTATGCGCAATGTAGGCGTGAGGTGATGGTTTGCTTATTAGAATCAGTTAAAAAATAATAAATAATTGGGAATTTAATTTTTATGATCGAACAATCACCGATAGTCGTCGAACAAACGATAATTGATCAAAATGAATTAATCTGAGCGATAAAAATAAAGATATCTAGTAAGAGGGGCCAACTTAAGGGTGATCATTTGTTTCATTAATTATAAACTAGATGATAACCGAGCCTTGCTAGGGTTTTTTTTTTTAAGTGAAAACTTCTTTAGTATCGTGATTTCAAACCGGATGCAACGGAAAAAACGACAGGTAAGAGACACAAATACAAAAATGTGTACGATGAAGCCAGCAAAGAATGAGACAGAAATATACATACTATTTAATACAGCGCCATCTGTGAGATTTTTTAATACTAACGTGTGTATGAAAGCTCTTGTAGTGAATTTTAATTTAGGATTATACGTGAAATTAAAATATCAATTCACAGAGGGAGCTACCTTACAATTATTTACTAATGACAAAATTTTACATATACTTAAGNATTATTAAAAAAAAAAAAAGAAAGAAAATCAAAAAAAGGGGTCCAAATTCAGTGAGCCGAATAAATAGAGACAGTGCATAGGTTTTTTATTTTTTATTGCTTGAATAGGTGGTATTTTTTTTCTACCTAAGCTGATAGCCTTGGGAGGCTATATCAGCGTAGCCTTAACAGTAGGTGAGCTTACGGGTCTCAAGCCCGATGACGTTGCTAACACGGACCCTAGCAAGAGCCATGCTTCGCAGAATCTACCACTGGATCGGAAACGCGACCCACTGAGAAGATCCGGCGAGAAACTCAATGGGCTGTGTCTGAGGGTTAATTTACTCGTCGAGCCCTTCGTCGCAAGCGACGGGTTCGACGAGAACGATGACCGGTGCTTGAGGTACCTAAAAGCACCGTTAGTGGGTTGGGAGGATCCGAAATGACGTGTTTGGGGCGACGTCGACTGATCCCTAAGCTCGGGGGAAAGTCTGATAAATAAATAAACGACGAACAATTTTTATACTCGACATAACTTCTCGGGATCATCCAAAAAGTCCACTGAAAAATCTTAGTAAATGACCACCATTTTACTGAGATTAGATTTCATCTCATATCATCTCATTTAATTTCATCCTAGTTGATTAATGTCTCAAATTAATCATTTTCATTTCATTTCACTCCATAATATCATTTTTCATAAAATTAAGAATATAGATTAAAATAAGACATGACTTAAAGGTCTCAGTTACCAGGTCATAAAATCTCTTAAAAAAATTGTTTTGTTATATTTTGAGACTTTTTGGCGGGAGCGCGAGGAGTGAAGTTGTGTGATTTGTTTTATTTTGTCTATTTAGTATTTTTCAGGTTTAAATGTGTAATAACGGTAGTTTATTAACTATTTAATATCTGTGAAAGTGCACAAATGTGGGAAAATTAAACAAAGCCGCTGGACATAGCTTCTCGGGATACTCCAAATGTCCACTGAAAAAATCTCAGTAAATGACCACCATTTTCCTGAGATTACATATCGTCCCATATCATCTCATTTAATTCATCGCAGCTAATTAATGTCCCAAATTAATCATCTTCATTTCATGTCATTTCACTCCATTATATCATTTTTCATAAAAATAAGACATGACTTAAAGGTCTTAGTTACCAGGTCATAAAATCCCATAAAAATTTTTGTTGTTTTTTTTTCTTTACTTAGTTCGAATACATTGTAACATTGGAATAGATTTCGAGTTTTATTATTATCTTATTTTTATTTGAACCGTTTAAAAAGGAAAGAATATTTTTTGGATTACCTAACCTTCAGAAAATCTCAAAGGCAAGTTCCGAAGTGAATTAATTGATTGCAAGATGGATCCAAATTTTTACGCTATTACATACATATTGCATTCAAGGGTTGAGCAAAAAAAATTGTATGTCATTTTTAAATCAATTCAAAATGCTCATACATACTATCGACTTGATATGTAATTAGAAATCCTGTTCATGTATGGAAATTACGTTAAATCCAACAAAAAGACTTGATATAAATACGGAAAATTTGAACTTGTATGTATTAGAGATTTTTAATTAGACTAGCTGTACCCGTCGGCCTCGCTGAACATTTAAAATTGACATTATTATTTCTCACCCCCACAAAGATTCTCATCATTAAAGCCCCCGCAACTGGTGTAGGGAGTCCAACACTCATATAAATATTAGCCTATCCATTAAGTATATGTATTTTCTACATGAAAGCCAAGTTTCAAGTCAATCGGATGCACGGTTCAGTAGTTATAACGGAACATCCATAAAATCCCATTAGATTTATATATTAGTATAGAAGACCTAGAAAATCATGATTTATTTTCAGTGTCGAGAGAAACAATGAGTCCCGTGGAAAGTGGTCCTGTTGCTGTTTTGCACCATGTTGATGATTATGTAGAATTATTATATGATGATATACCTGAAAAAATTAAAGGATCAGCACTCATTCTACAACTTGCTAGAAACCCTGATAATCTTTTAGAGTTGGCTAGAAATGGTAAACTATAATATGTTTTTTATTTAACAAATGAATATCTTTGAACGAAATAATTTTTGGTTATTTATATCAAACACATCACAGAAAGAGTATAGCATATTTCTTAAAAAGTTTACAATTATATCGTATACATTTTAGAAGCATTACTTAGTGCCCTGTCCAGAGTCCTGAGAGAAGAATGGAAACGAAGCATTGAACTAAGTACCAATATTGTATACACATTTTTTTGTTTCTCAACCTACAATGAATTTCATCCAGTTATTATACAATACAAAATAGGATCATTGTGTATGGATGTAATAGATTATGAATTAAAAAGATATGATCAATGGAAAGAAAAAGTTGAAGGAAAAAAATCTATACTAACCCCTGATAAAGTAAGTAAATACTACTAAAAAATACAAAATAATTTAAATGAATACCAAATACTTAAAAACCAGTCATAATCTTGTTTATTTAAATAAAATTTACTTTTCAGAGCGAACTCCCAAAAAGTAGGATTCCCGAACCAAAGCGGCGACCTAAATCAGGCACTTGGGCTGTTGCAGATGTGAATTTGCAGAAATCTAGATCTCTAGTATCTAGCTATCATGAAGAGCTGTGTAGTGCTTCAGATGAGTGCCTTTCTAAAAGTGATGAAGAACAGTTGAAAAGAAAGCTTAAAACTTTGTCAAAGCGACAAGAGCAACTTTTAAGAGTTGCATTTTACATGTTACTCAATATTGCAGATAATGTAAAGGTTGAAGAGAAGATGCATAAAAAGGAAATAGTTGGTCTTTTAATTGGTGCCATGGAAAGGCATTCAAATATTGATTTACTTATACTTATTGTGTCCTTCCTTCAAAAGCTTTCAATTTTTGTCGAAAACAAAAATAGCATGGCTTCTCGAGCCATTATAGAAAAGTTAGCACCCTTATTGGATTCATCAAATGCTGATCTTGTAAATGTAACTTTAAAGTTATTATTTAACCTTACTTTTGACACAAAATTACGCAATAAAATGATTAAACTTGGACTATTACCAAAGTTCATCCAATTTACTAGTAAGTGATTTAAATTAACTTGACTTGTAAAAGATTTTTCTTCTCCACCATAAGATTTATTAATTGAACAATTTTTTGTTAGGTGATGAAAAACATATAAATTTAGCAATGAAAATACTCTACCATTTGAGTATGGATGATCGCGTTAAGTTAATGTTTACACAGTCAGACTGTGTAAAATTGGTAAGCACATATCTAATCACTTGACTCTAACTTTAAAATTATATATATTTGAAATTATAATTAGCCAATCATAATAAAATTACATTTCATATAACCAGTGCTATGGTACAACATTTTCCCAGACCTATTATTGCATTTACAAAGGATATGTAATAAAATTCGTCTATTTTAATCTGTTCAAGGAAGAAACGTATAGTAATATTGTAATGTATTAGTGATGGTTCTTATTCTACTTTTAATAAAAATGATTACTATGTGTAGGTGTATAAAACATAGATACATCACAGAAATGACATGTAAGTCAGCATGTGCTTTAGCTTGTAATTCAGCAAAAAAAATTAAACAATATATGCATCTGTAGTTAACGGACATGCTGCTGTTGAATGTCAATGCAGAATCGGGAGGCTCTACAGATGTTTTGTTGGCATTATGTGTAAACCTTGCTTGGTGTGAGCGAGCAGCGCACCAAATGGCTGCTGAAGGCCGACTTCGTGAACTATTGGCACGTGCTTTCCGGTATTGCAATTCTGTACTCATGAAACTTGTTCGGAACCTTTCCCATCATCCACAAAACAAACCACTTTTTTTGGTGAGTCTCAAATTAATGAACTTGCATTTGTATTTTATCTTACATAAAACTTAACTAATATGCTGGTAGGAATTCGTCGGAGATATCGCGGGAGCCGTAACTAGTGGCGAAACTAGTGAGGAGTTTCACATTGAATGCATGGGGACTCTCAGCAACATACTCAATCCAGAAAATATAGATATATATGCTGTAGTAGAAAGATATAATCTGATACCTTGCATCATGAAAATTTTGGATCCAGGTATGATTTTAAAAACACTGAATAGAAACAGCTTTTACTTTCAATAAGACAGGTCTTAATTAAAATTGCTCCACTATTGCATATCTATCTTGTTTTGCTAAAGAGCTTATTTGTAATTTTTGTTAAAACCAAGTCTATAACACGGTTACTGTTTTGTATGTTTCGACGATCGTGTAGAGAGCGGGAGCAGTGAAGAGTTATTACTGGAGGGCGTGGTGATGGCGGGCGCAGTGGCGGCTGAGTCGCGGGCGGCGGGCGCGCTGGTGCGTGCGGGCGCGGGGCCGGCGCTCGTGGTCGCGCTGCGCACGCATCAGGCCGACGACGAACACGTGTTGCAAACTGTCTTCGCCTTCCGACAGCTGCTCTCGCATCCCAAAGCGGCCGAACACCTCGTCTCGCAGACAGGTCCAAATTTTTATTATGTATACTAGATAATGACATAGACTAGATACTAGATGACTAGATACTAGATGACTAGATACTAGATGACTAGATACTAGAGAGACTAGATACTAAACAATTATGTCCAATCCGAACTGATACCTTTTTTTTTACGCTGGAGAATCCGTTTACGGCTACCTGGTCGGTACAGACCGGGTTATGTCGGACTCCGGCGCCTCCAGAGAAGAAGAGGGAGAAGAGGAAGACCAAAGTCCTACTACTGCTCTCGTAATGAGAATTTGAACCATTGGGTTTAGATTAGTAGTTTAGATTAGTAACTAATATTAACGCTCTTAAACATATACCAAACGAATTATAATGGTAATAACGGAATTTTCCTAACTATTAACAAGTTCTTAGTGATCATTCATGGGCTTACAGAAGCTCCTGCATATCTCATTGATCTGATGCAAGATAAGAATGCTGAAATCAGGAAAATGTGTGACTCTTGCCTCGATATTATATCACAAATGCAGAACGAATGGGCGGCCCGAATAAAGGTATGCATGGTATACATAAATTAAAATATGTTTATATAATAAGTGTCTTATGCGTTCATAATCCGATTCTGATGAAACTTGTATAGTTGTTGAAAGTATTCTAGCAAAGATTGCAGTTATAGTACCATCGATCATTGAATTGCGTACATACTATCTACTATATATATATATATAGCTGCCTGCTGATGCAACTTACCCCTACGGCTCTAAGATGGGTACTGAAGCTATTTGAGAGAGCACGATAAATACGAACTTTTCCGACAAATTACAAAGGAAAATCTTTTCTCACTGTATCTGTATACACATGCATCATAGACAAATTACGTACATATATGTGGTATTTTTACTGTTTTGAACAATAAAGATTAAATAGATAAATAGAGTATCAGTTAAATACACTGTGATAACATGTAACTGTAACTATACTTGAGACCTTAGAACTTATATCTCAAGGTGAGTAGCGCATTTACGATGTAGATGTCTATGGGTTTTGGTAACCACTTAACACCAGGTGGGCTGTGAGCTCGTCCACTCATCTAGGCAATAAAATAAAAAAAAGGTGGAGAGGTTCCGGTGCCACAATGGACAGTGGCTCTCCGTGGTGGAGACATTAGGGGCGGAGGGAGGTGCGGGGGATGCGGCCGACGATTTGCCTCCCTACCTTTCCGCCGAGTACCTTACCACGCACCGGCTTGCCACCTCCGGTAAGTACTTGCTCATTGGTCTTGGTAATCACCGAGATAATTGGGTAACTGACTAATTTCGTTTTTTAACCGACTTTAAAAAAGGAGGAGGTTCTCAATTCGACTATGTTTTTTACCTCATAACTTTTTACTGGGTGAATCGATTTTGATGATTCTTTTTTTATTGGAAAGCTGACGCTTCCCGTGTTGTTCCATTACATTTTAGTCCAGTTCTGATAATGGTATACATGAGAAAACCATGTAAGTCTTAAATTTGCATTAAGTACGTGCGCGACAAACAGATGAATAAGTCAATAACTCAATATCACGCCAACTGATTTCGATGATTACTGTTTTTAGTGTACATTAATTTGTTTTGGAATATCTTTTTTTTTTCTATTTGAAGTCGGTTTTTGTTAAAGCATGTCTATTTACAATTATTTATATTAAAACAAATTAGGCAGGTTTAATTCTACTAATATTATAAATGTCAAAGTTTGTGAAGATGTTTGAAGGCTTGTCACTCAATCATGTGTAAACGGTTGAATGGTTATGCCAAAAATTTGTCACAGAGATACACCATTTCCTGAATAAAAGAATTAAAAGACAATAATACTTTTTATTCTGGTAATGTTTTTTCTCTTGATAATAGTTCAATTTCAATCTAAAACCTTAGTTTTGAACTTATCACTAACATGGCGTTAACAAAATGTTTCTGTGGGATAACAATTCAAGTTTAGTGCTATTTTAATTCGGTTTTAATTCGACAATTTATGGTACGCGATTTTGTGACTAGATGGTGTTGGCGTCGATTTACATCGTTCCATGTTTTCATTATCGTGACATATATAGTGAGAGGATCAGTGGATTAATATTGAAGCCTCTAAAGGTGTGATGTGATAATATTGAAAATAACTTGGCTTACTTTACGAAATACAAATTATTTTATGAATAGCTATTATTAACAATGACCATTTATTAATCCCATGGCCAAATGCTGAAAATGGTAGGAATTCATCTAGGCTTTCCTTGCATTTCACTTGGTCAGCTATACAATATCGACTGTGACTTGCTCAAAATAATAGATCGTAGTGGATCTGCAAAAACACAATTAATTTAATGTCCATGTTTTTTACTCAACCAACCATATAATCTGTTGAATGAATTTGGATAAAATTACTTCTTGGGTAAGTTACTTTTTGCGTGGGCAAAGCCGGGAACAGAAGCTAGTAAATAATAAAATTAAACAACTTAAATCGGCTAAAGAAAATTTGTAGGGTTTGATTTTCCTGTCATATTTTAATACAATCTAGCCTAGAATTACTAAAAAGAAATATACTCGAGAGCAATGAATGCGGGTCACGTAAAGAAACCTATTGTTACGCCGGTAAGAGTGGTCACTGGTGGTAGGACCTCTTGTGAGTCCGCACGGGTAGGTACCACCACCCCGCCTATTTCTGCCGTGAAGCAGTAATGCGTTTCGGTTTGAAGGGTGGGGTAGCCGTTGTAACTATACCGAGACCTTAGAACTTATATCTCAAGGTGGGTGGCGCATTTACATTGTAGATGTCTATGGGCTCCAGTAACCACTTAACACCAGGTGGGCTGTGAGTTCGTCCACACATCTAAGCATTAAAAAAAAAAAAAAGAGTAACGCCATCGGCGAATAGTCGAACAAATATCGAAGGATCTAGTAGCACCTAAAACTCTTAAGAAGTACAACGCCATCTTTTGTCAGATAGCGGAAACAATACTAGATATGTGTGGAATATTTTCGATAATTCTAGGGATGAGGTATCGACTATAAAAGCGTTGCAGGGGTGGCACGCAGTCAGTCAGTAATCTGAACTACTCGAAACGAAACAGCGAACGGATCACCTGAAGCGAAACTGAAGAAGCGAATTGAGAGTTTTAAAGTGTTTGTTGAGTGTTCTAAGCCTTTAATACAGTGTTAACTTGCAATTCGGTTGAATTTTTATTTATCGCGAACCCCAGCGCGTAAAACTATAAATCTTGGAAACTAAGAATGCCAGCTTAATAAAATAAACGGTGTTTAATAGGCAATGCAATACCCCTTAAATGAAAGTAATAAAATTTATAAGTCACTACATGTTATTTATTAAAAATTACATAAAGAACAAAAAACTGCTGATCTCGCCTTAAAACACAAACAGGAAACATGACATGTAATGTTCATCTCGTGTAGGTAGACATTCACAATGAAACCTGTATGAGGTCGGGCATGGTCATGCATAAAAATAACATCTTCAGCCAAATTGATCATAAATGGCCCGACGTGTTCATTAAGGATTTCTTCCAATCTTCTATCTTACGCTAGTTAAAGGGCCATTTTCTATGAACACCAGTTCTGTGCGACTCTCAGATGAAATTCCGGCCGACACAAGTACAGACCCACCACCGTAGGCTACTTTTTCGATTATGCATGCTTGCTTGAATCGTGCTTGTAGAGCATAAATTTTGATTCTTCAGAGAGCATAACTTTCGACCAATCTTCAATAGTCTAATTTAAACGGTTCTGGGACATCTTAGTCTTGAAATTCAATCACCACGCTCCAGTTTAGAGCCATTTGCAGGTCTAAGTGGTTTCAAGTTAGCTTAAACAACTCGTCGTCTTACTGTCCATGCGCTTAGGTTACCTGAGGTCCTCTGAGGCATCGAGACTGATTTTTAAGTTTAGTTCCTGTAAGAAAGCGTTTACGACGCATGGTGTTCACCAAGTATCGATCATCTCGTGCTGTGGTACACCTAGTTCTGCTTGTTCCTGGTCTGCGTAGGTTAGAGCCAGTTTCCTCGTAACGTCGGAGAACTCTTTGTACTGTTGACAGCGACATCGACAGTTCTGGCTATATCCCGCTGACTCCGGCCGGGTTCCAGCATTTCGTAAGGATTCTGGTGCATTCTTCAGTTGCAAGCGACATGATTACAGGTTAAATAATAAATATTGAACATTATCATTAGGTATGGTTTATATACCCACTTAAATGACAGATTAGAAACAAAATAAAAATAATTTCGTAGTTTCATCTTCGAAAGTCTCCTTTTAAACCTACCCACCAAAAGGTTTAAATAAACCTTAATTTAATGAGTATTTAATTGTCTACTAAACACAATTTATTTCATTAAGCTACCATTCTTAGTTTCCGATATTTATAGGTTTTTAAGTGACCCGGATTCATTGCTCTCGAGTGTATAAGTAGTTCTGAGATAAGTGTTTAAATATTTAGTGGTGATTGAGAGGAGACTCTTATCCGACCCAGGCGACGAGATAACGCAAATCCGCCGTCGCTCGATACATGTCTTGTCGGATCCCCCGTACCCCCTTTCGGTGCTTTTAAGCCCCTCAAGCACCAGTCATCATCCTCGTCGAACTCTGCAATTAAGATGGAGAATTCGACGAGCGAACTCACACATTGACACAGCTCACTGAATTTCTCGCTGGATCTTCTCAGTGGGTCGCGATTCCGAGTCGGGGTTATTTCTACTGAGCACTGCTGCTCTGGCTAGGCTAGTGTTAGCAAATTCTCTCAGGTTGAGTCCGTGAGCTCACCTATCCGTCCGGGCCTAGCTGGAATGACCAGTTAGGCTACTGCAGAGACTTATGGCACAAAATTGATATAGTCTAGTCAACAAGTTCAAAAACGTGTTAAATAGACATAAAGCTCCTAAAAATATGTACGATAGCTCATTGGATGCGGAATGATGTCTACAAAAATGTTTTTTAAGGGCTTATTAGCACATAAAAAATTGCGATTGTTATAAACAAAATAAGATTTAAAAAAAAAGGAATTTAGTTTTTCCTTAATAATTTCTAAAAAAATGATATTTAAGAAATTTTGAAAAAAGACCCTGAAAGAGGAGGAAATTTCCAATAAAAAAATCCCAACTCCCGGAATTCTATCTCTATTATTTATAAAAAAAAATTAACGCTGAATATAGATAGCGCTCCGCGAGGTCGTTACGGCATAGGCGCGCCGTCTAAAAAGCCGGTATATCACCTAAAATAATTTTTTTATAGTATTAAATAACAATTAAAAAATTTGAATAAATTATGGTGTAATCTAAACACTTGAAGGAAAAAAACCTCTGTGAAAAAAAATTTTTATATCGATTTTTCAAAAATTTACACCATTGTTAATTAACTAACTTTTTTCCAATCTCTGTTTTTATAAATTACGGTATAAAAGTTTCAATAATTCATCTATAATTTTTTCCCTTCGTGGAGCTCTTATCATTTAAGTACTTAATAAAGAAATGCAAAAAAAAATTTTTTATCTTTATTATTTTGATAATTATAATTTTTTTTAATTAACAAAAAATTAAATTTCTAAAATTTTTTATGAAAAATAGTTTTTTTCCGTGATATCTTAATATTGCTGTTTTTTGCATCTACCATAGGTATTAATTAACATTTAAAAAAATAAATTACGCTATTTGTTGAGAAATTGTTTATAAACAAATAAAATTTTGGGATTTTTGAAAAAAAAAATTTTACCGTCTTATTGTATAGGTGAAATAATGATTTTTTTTTAAAAAAATTTTTCTTAAATAAATGTTTTAATTGTTTAAAATCGTTTTTTTCATATTTCAATTGTTTAAATAATTAGTTAAGAAATTATTTTTTTCTTAAAAATCATCATTGACTCTTTTCAGCGGATTGAGAAACAAATACATTTTTTTATAAATAATTTCATTGTTTATTAACTTAACAATTTGTTATAAAAAAATTAATATTTATCGTTATATTTTTTTTCGAAAACTACAAAAAATTACAAAAACAACCATACATAACAAAACATAGAAAAAAAATTTTTGTATTTTTTATAGCATTTTTAGATATTATATGATAATGAAATTACAGCCGTTACATAATTTGTGAAGTTATAAATTGTTATAACTTTTAAACTATAAGAGATACGGTAAAGGACACTCAGGTCATTTTTATAAAGGATTTATTTATCTTTAAAATAAATTCAAAATCGATCCTGTAACTATTGTTTATCAGTTATAAGCATTTGTTTATAAAAATTTAAGATTTTTTTGATATTTTTTGAAATTTCATAGCTTATAATTTGATGAATAATATAGATACAGCTACGGACCCAAAAACTTTTTTGTTCTATGATAAAATATCTTTCTAATTACGTATAAATCATAGAAATATATAATTTTGTTTAAATAATACACTAGTTTTAATTTATACTTACCTCATTTACATTCTGCTATCGATCAGTTTTCATTTATTTCTTAACTAATTATTTAAACAATTGAAATATGAAAAAAACGATTTTAAACAATTAAAACATTTATTTAAGAAAAATTTTTTTAAAAAAAAATCATTATTTCACCTATACAATAAGACGGTAAAATTTTTTTTTTCAAAAATCCCAAAATTTTATTTGTTTATAAACAATTTCTCAACAAATAGCGTAATTTATTTTTTTAAATGTTAATTAATACCTATGGTAGATGCAAAAAACAGCAATATTAAGATATCACGGAAAAAAACTATTTTTCATAAAAAAATTTAGAAATTTAATTTTTTGTTAATTAAAAAAAATTATAATTATCAAAATAATAAAGATAAAAAATTTTTTTTTGCATTTCTTTATTAAGTACTTAAATGATAAGAGCTCCACGAAGGGAAAAAATTATAGATGAATTATTGAAACTTTTATACCGTAATTTATAAAAACAGAGATTGGAAAAAAGTTAGTTAATTAACAATGGTGTAAATTTTTGAAAAATCGATATAAAAATTTTTTTTCACCGAGGTTTTTTTCGTTCAAGTGTTTAGATTACACCATAATTTATTCAAATTTTTTAATTGTTATTTAATACTATAAAAAAATTATTTTAGGTGATATACCGGCTTTTTAGACGGCGCGCCTATGCCGTAACGACATCGCGGAGCGCTATATTCAGCGTTAAAAAAAATTTATAAATAATAGAGATAGAATTCCGGGAGTTAGGACTTTTTTATTGGAAATTTCCTCCTCTTTCAGGGTCTTTTTTCAAAATTCCTTAAATATAATTTTTTTAGAAATTATTAAAGAAAAACCAAATTCCTTTTTTTTTAAATCTTATTTTGTTTATAACACTCGCAATTTTTTATGTACTAATAAGCCCTTAAAAAACATTTTTGTAGACATCATTCCGTATACAATGAGCTATCGTACATATTTTTAGGAGCTTTATGTCTATTTAACACGTTTTTGAACTTGTTGACTAGACTAATATGGCAGTTATGAAGATTGACGCGAGCACGAAATTAAAAAGTTTGTAATATTCTATTTGCTCAGACATTTATTTTTGTTAATCGTCTGTATTTGTGGTTAACTTTTGTGAGAAAAAATATACCACATATAAGAAGAGGTAGTTGTATTTCACCTTGATAATAAATCGAGTCATTAATTTAATCCATATACTACACGAGATAGGTCCAGGAGAACATCTAATTTTAAAGACAAAACTTAATAGGGTTTAATACACGTTTAGCCATGACTTGACGGTAAACCTGAAGTATGTTGTCATAAACAGATCTGTGAACTAATTGCCGTAGATTTTTACGAGTGAGAAGACAAACTGGCAATGTAAGCCAGGCAGAAAGGAGGGAAAACGACGAGTGTGCTACGGTCGTTTAGTTTTTGTTGCAAGGCTACTTACTACACAGTAGCGAGCTAGCTAGAACTTGCATTTTTATTGTATTCTAGAAGTTTTGTACCAGTAACATATCTTTTTATGGTAATTTAATTAAAATCTTATTATATTTTCAGACTCACAAACGTCAATTAACGACGACTCAGATAGCCTGTCGGGTGAGGTTGATCTTAATCGCGTCGAAGCCAGGTGAATAAAATTGATTAACACTGTAAAATACTATACATACTAACATAACCAACTTAAAGTGGTCCGTTAAGTTAATTTGTACGTTTAAGATAATATCTGGAAACACTGTACTGTTTTTATAAATTATTCATTAATGTTAATAATAGATAATTACTCTATCCCTAATATAACGTGGCTCTATTGTTATACGTGAAAGTGCTAAGATCAAAGTAAGAATATTCGCAAATCAAGTTTTCAAATGACATTTCTGACAGTGTTTTGGCAGCGGTTTGAAGTGAAGGCACACGCCTTTGCTCCTGTCGTTGTCCGTGAGCGTGAGCTTATGATCGCGTTTGTCACAGGAAAGATGAAAGATGAAGATAAATTAGGGGAAAATGAAATGGGATATGATTAACTTAGGAATTTTTAAGAGAACCAGTGCGGTGCTTCTGAATACTTGTAACTACATATATCTCGAGGTGGGTGACACATTTACATTGTAGATGTCTATGGGCTCCAGTAATCGAAGCAATAAAAAAAAAATGTCGGACATATCTATCTATCTACTCTTCAATTTGGAATGTACAATTCGGTTCGCTAAATAAAAGTTATTAAAATTATACATGTTTTTCAATAATTCATGATATTTTAAGTCTCAAAGAACTTATTTATGAAAGACGAATACAAAAGAACTTTTTTTTAATTGCTTTGATGGGTGGACGAACTCACAGCCCACCTGGTGTTAAGTCGTTACTGGAGCCCATAGACATCTACAACGTAAATGCGCCACCCGTCTTGAGATATAAGTTTTATGGTCTCAGTATAGTTACAACGGCAGCCCCATCCTTCAAACCGAAACGCATTATTGCTTCACGGCAAAAATAGGCAGGGTGGTGGTACCTACCGTGCGGACTCACAAGAGGTCCTACCACCAGTAAAAAATAAGATAGATATATAGATAGATAATGTCTAAGAAATATTCGAATAATTAACTCTAACGTCTTTAAAGGAACTCTTCAGAGGAGCATAAAGGCGAACTTTTCACTTCGACGGATGGCTCGTCGGGGAAGCTTTCGGATATCGACGGCCCTACCAGTGATATTGTACTATTCACTTAATATATAATAGTTTTAAATAATCACATAGATGCTTAACACATATTAGTTTTTGCTTCTATTAATCTAGCTTCAAATAGAAAAAAAAAGCGTGCAACTATTTGTTATTTAGATTGTTCTGATTTATATTAAAATAAAACAGTAACAGCCTAAAATGTTCGTATGTAATTTAGACTCTACATAAATTATTTATTTTTTCCTAAAGCTTATTTAGTTTTTAGTAAGGACATATTTGGTGTCTTCGATCACAATCAAAAGAAATTAATCCTGTAAATAAAGCCCAACACTTTAGTCGATATCTTACAGAATATGACTCTAGGTTGCGATTATAGTAACTGAATGAAGATCTCACTAATGTATGAAGAATACTTGACGCCCACTAACGCTAACAGCTTTTAACGATGTATTTGTGCACTGTGAAGTTTTAATGATCAAGCTCTGATTGATAGGTGAAGTCTAAATATTATGATGATCTCAGTATTAAATAAATCGCAGTTTTCCTTTTTGGTATAACTAAATATACAGTGTGGCCACAAATACTGTTATAATATATAAATAAAGATATTATATTTGAATTTAGAACGTGACTTTCTCTTATATTCATTACTACCTTATCTCATTTTCGTAGAAATCTGTGTTAAAGACTCTTGTGTGATTAAAATAAGCTAGGTAATAAAGAGAACCGAATTAATGTGAAAATATTACAATATTACACATTTGAAATTTTTGTAACACTATCCGCAATACTAATTGTTGTCAACCGAATGTTTGTGTATATAACTATTTTATGTATTTAAGTAGGTCGTATGAAACGTCCTCTGTTTATGTGAATTTTGCGTTCTGTAGTAAAAGTGGGTTTCGACATCTCGGATCCTCCCGACCCACTAACGGTGCTTTTAAGTACCCCAAGCACCGGTCATCGTTCTCGTCGAACCCATCGCTGGCGACGAAGGGCTCGGCAAGTAAATTAACCCACAGACACAGCCCACTGAGTTTCTCCAAGAATCTTCTCAGTGGGTCGCGTTTCCGATACGATGGTAGATTCTGCGAAGCACTGCTCTTGCTATGGTTCGTGTTAGCAACTACGTCAGGCTTGAGATCTGTGAGCTCACCTACTCGCCCGGTGACGCTGATATGGTCTATGAAGACCATCACCTTTGGTTGGAAAAAAGTGTACATATCAAAGTGGAATAAACTGTTGTTTTATGAGGATGAATTTATATAGTTCGTATCAAATATTTTTTTCATATCATTATCAATGTGTAACTAAGAAATGGTTTATACAAAATATATCTTCTGTCCTGCGCATTATTCTCGTTTCGTATATTCCGATGATTATACATATGTATGGATGTATGTAGTCTTTGGGCGCCACAGTCCAATTCTGTTGTTGAATGAAAATAAAATATCCATTATTTTATATAGGTACTTTAAAACTTTATTATAATGTAACGCTGGCAAGAGTATCGCCATCGATCGTGAAACAGCAGAAACGAATATCAAAAATCTAGTAAAATCGAGAATGATCGAGGAGTTCATCGCCATCTATTTTCAAATAGCGCAAACACATATCGAACGGCTCGACTTAACGGGAATATTCTCGATGATTGTAGAGATGTCGTATCGACTATAAAAGCGTTGCAGAGATAATACGAAGGCAGTAAGTAATTGGATCTATTCGAGCGAAACAGCGAAAGGATCACCTGAAGCGAAGCGAAAGAAATGAATTACGAATAGCCCCCTTAGGCTAGGAGCGAATAGGTAGGAAAAAAACATTCACTTCTGCCTACAATGGCAATAATTTTTTTTAACTCGTGCGAAGGTAGTGTGTGTGTGTGCGTTTCTCGTTTTTCTCTTGAACCTTTTTGAGTAAGAAGAACCTGCTTGATAGGCCGGTCGCACTATCGCATTTACTGCGTTTTCGTCTAACTTTCAACTTCCGTAAACAATCCGAAGATGTAGGGTTTTTAACTATAATAGGTATTCTTACGTGCGTTAAACTTGGTTTGAAGACATAAACCTTTATGTGTGTGTAATCTTAAGTGATTTTATTCATATGCGATTTTGAAACTGTAATGATATATGATGTAAACTTCATAGTTGAAATTATCAGCCATAAGTTGACGTCATTGTCAATCTGTTTTATTCGTTATTTGTCAATGTACCTAATGTAATCAAAGCAAATTTTACTGTTAATTTTAGCTTATTAAAACCTTATATTCAGTAAAGGTTTTCTCTTATTACAATTTAATAAGCTAAATAAATAAAAAATGGATAGATATCTCCGCCCTGAAAGGTTTGATATCGACCCGTCAGATAGCTCTAGTACGAAAGCTTGGATACATTGGCGTAAAACTTTCGAAAACTTCATTTTCGTGCAGAAGCCGACCGCTTCAGAAACAGATGCACAGTCGGTTCGTCCGCCAGAAAAATGGGACAGCATAAAGTTTCAACTTTTGGTAAACCATATATCACCAAATATCTACACATATATAAGCGAAGCTACGAACTACGAAGAAGCGATCACAATACTGCAAAAACTGTATGTAAAACCAAAAAATCTGATTTTTGCTAGACACATGTTAGCAATAAGGAAACAACGACCAGAAGAAAGTATTGACACATATTTACAAGCTTTGAAACTACTTTCTAAAGATTGTGATTTTGTGGCTGTTGATGCAGAAACAAACAAAAACGATAGCGTACGTGATGCTTTCATATCCGGTATATCATCGCATAAAATCAGACAAAGGCTTTTAGAAAACTTAACTCTAGCACTTGATCAAGCTTACAACCAAGCACTCTCTCTAGAAACTGCAGATATCACCTCTCAAAACTTCAATACTGTCTCTTTAAATGCTGTTGCTCCAAAAGAACCAACATTAGTCTCTTCGAAATCACAAACTCTGCACAACGAGACCTGCTCTTCTGTTAATAATCCTCGACGACAAATATGTTTCTTTTGTGGGGGTCAAATACATCCTCGTAAGAACTGCCCTGCATTTGAAAATACTTGTCAGCTCTGCAACAAGAAGGGGCACTTTGCCACTGTTTGTAGAAGCTCTTCTAAATCTACAAATTCTGTGGTAGTTGGTAGTGAAGATCTTTCCGCTTGTATCACAGCAGCGTCACCTTCTTCATTATGTAAAGTTACTGTACCCGCTTATATTCGAGGAATAAGAGCAGAAGCACTTCTCGACACCGGCAGCTCCATCAGTTTTATAAATGACAACTTTGCAAGACTATGCGCGTTTAAAAGAAAATCCTGCAATCAGACTATTTCTATGGCCTCTCTTAATTATACTTCACAAGTAGAAGGTCAAACTTGGCAAACCTTGAAAATCGGAAATCATAGATATGATAATGTAAATCTTCTTATCGTGAAAAATCTTTGTGCTGATATAATTATCGGCCATGATGTCCTCGAAGAACATTCATCGCTAGAGTTCTCTTTCGGTGGGCCAAAACATCCACTTCAAGTATGTAACGTAGCTGAAGCATCAGTACCAGCTGTACCGCTTTTTGCGAATGTATCTCCCAACTGCAAACCTATTGCTATAAAGTCTCGAAGGCACAACAAAGAGGATAGTGAATTTATTAAAGAAGAAATCAGAAATCTTATAGCAGAGGGCGTGATTGAAGAAAGTAAATCACCGTGGAGGGCCCAAGTACTAATAACAAAAAGCGAAACTCATAAAAAACGCCTTGTAATTGATTACTCTCAGACAATTAATCGTTACACAGAACTCGACGCGTATCCTTTACCAAACATTGAGGACTTAGTTTCGAAAGTGGCAAAGAATATATTTTTCAGCCTAATAGACNCAAGGTAACGGTCAAGTAGAAAAATTGAATTCTACTCTTTGGAGAACGATTCTTTTGGCGCTGAAGACGAAAAATCTTTCGGTAGAAAATTGGGAACAAGTATTACCACAAGCCTTACATTTAATCCGATCATTACTTTGTACAACCATAAATTATACTCCACATGAAAGAATGTTTAGACATCCTCGAAGATCTACAAACGGCACTTCTGTTCCATCGTGGCTTATAAATTCTGGACAAGTCTTGATGAAGAAATTTAATCGTACAAATAAATATCAGCCATTAGTAGAAGAGGTTGAATTGATACACAGCAATCCTGACTTTTCATACATTCGGCTTCCAGATAGCCGAGAAACAACAGTGTCGAATCGTCATCTAGCACCATTGGGTTCAGAAAGGGTAGATCTGCGAATAGATAATGAACACACTATTGATTATCATAACGTCGCAGAACCACTTCCGGAAACAGAAGACCAAAACTTGGAGATTCCTTCATCTAATGAAACGGGACCTGTGGTACTTGATAATAACAGAGAGCTAGAGACAGAATTACCATCATCACCACCGCCGGAGCCAACACTTCGTAGATCTGGTCGCGTCCATAAAACGCCAGGATTTTTAAAAGATTATGTTTTAAAATAGTGCGGGAGAATGATGTAAACTTCTTAGTTAAAATTATCAGCCATAAGTTGACGTCATTGTCAATCTGTTTTATTCGTTATTTGTCAATGTATGTACCTAATGTAATAAAAGCAAATTTTACTGTTAATTTTAGCTTATTAAAACCTTATATTCAGTAAAGGTTTTCTCTTATTACAATATATTTTATTTTCCATTTTGGATATGTGCAAGACGCGTCATGCTAAGAGGTTAATAATCCATCAATATTACATATTTAAACAGAAACAATAAAATAACAAAACAATTTGACACTGGGTGTTGCCGCCAAATGCTCCCAACCAAAGATATTACAAACGCTACGATAAAGATCAACGAACTAACTACACCACTGAACTACTATAGTATATATTATTAGAACAAACGAAAGTAAGCCTGTCAAATGTCATTTCGACAAAATTCAGTGTATTATCTATGTTTCGCCACTTGAACTTGAACCAAAATCATAGATTAAACGACTAATAAAATGGCATGTGATAATACAAAAAATGGTGGTGAAAATGAAAATGGATCTAATAAAAACATAGAACCTCCAGAAGATGATAACAATGAAGATATAACAGAAGGTAAATTGAAGTAAATTTCTAGCGTCACGCGTATTCCCCAGCACTAAAGATCAACAATAGCAAAACTGTTTTAAATTTCAATTAATTGTAAACCTTTGTGTATCTATTACTATCTATTCACATGACATTGGTATTGGTACTATCCCCAGATTTGTTCAATTAATTAAAAAATATATGAATCAAACTTTAAAATTAATGCCATTACCAATTTTTTCAAATAAATAAGTTTCAGATGATGTTACGGTGTTAGTAAAATTTTAATTATTATGAACAAAATTATAAATGTTGATGTTTTAAAATTTGATTTCGTTTTTTATTTATTTTTGTTGCTTGTAGCACTTTCATTCCTATATTTAAACACACTTTTACTATCATGTTCTGTGACTATCAGTGTAATGGGATTATTTAAAGTAATTAAATATTTCTAAAATAGCAGTGAAAATGATATTATTATGCATAAGTTCATAATATCCAATGTGTATCCTTATACCATTCTGCTGCTGGTCATTTTATTCTCTGAATAAGTCTTCAGGAATTTTTGGTTCGTATTGTTTTCGTGGCATTGTTGTGTTCTTTGTAATTTTGGGTTAGCATTCCATTACAAATTACTTGTAACTCATACAGGGATGAGCCATTTGACCAGACATTCTCATGTCACATATATCTGGTAATACTGGGTCTCCTAAGGAATGGATTATTTTGTATACTGTATTGTCTCTTCCACAAGTTTTTTTTTAACAGAAATGATGGTATCGTTACCTATCATTCAATCATTCTACTCACGAAAAAGTCTTAGGTTCTGGTGAAAGGATTCTTTGTCAGCTCACATTACTAATAACCTAGAAGTTAATGATATGATGATGATCACACTATTATGGGAGCTGCATATTCATCTGCCAAAGACAGCAATGACTAATACTGACATAATTACAATTTAATGAAAATCTCTTTCATAACCTGTTTGGATCTTAATCCAGCTTTTAAATGAGTAAATTATTTCTTTATTTTAATATAAAAACAATCCAGAAGGATAAAATATTATGAAAATAATAAACCTATGAGAATATATAATTTTAAATAACTTATCAAATCCTTTACAGAGTATGAATTATTAGAATCTACATTAGATGAACTTAATTCTGCATTGGATTTCTTGGAGCGTAAAAATGATGATATTCACCAACAATTGAAAGAGCTTTTGCAATCCAATATTGCAATTAGACAAGAAATGCGTGAAGAAAATAAGGAAGTCAGCAACAGTAATTGAAGAAATGCAAATACAGCACTATTTTAAATTTAATTGTGCAAATATACATGTTACCTAGTGTAATTTGTTTGTCTCAAAAGTGTAAAATAGAAATTGTTAATCTTAATATTACCATTTATCAATATTGTGACCAATACCACAAAGTGAGCGTGAGTTTTAAATAATGTATTATCATACATTTACAATATTTAAGTATGAATAATTATTTATCTTGTTTGCACCATTTAAATGTTATAAGTTGCATATTTATGTCAGTAGGAATGAACAATAACATTTAGTTGAGCATTGTTCACAGAAAAAAATGGGTCAATAAAACATAATATAACATAAAACAATCTTTAATTTACTCATAACTACAAATTATCCAGGTAAAACATTTAAAAGATGACTTGGACAGTTCAAACTTTAATGACCAGTTTTTTTTATGAATCTTAATCCACAGTATCCACATGAATGGTCACCTGGTTTATCCTGAAAACATATAAGAATTAATGATTTCCATTACCACATCTGTACCAAGAAACCTATAGAAATGCATTTTATTTGATCGCTACTTCTTGTTTTTGCAGAAAAAAACATGTCTTCTAGCCTTTTCTGCCAAACTTCCAAATGTTCACCCCTAATTTCTGTCCAGTTCTCTGGTGGTAGGTACTCTGTTGTAACTCAGCTCAGGCTATTATAATTGTCCTCATGTAACAGTCATGAGTTTCAGTTAGAAGGTTAGGACACAAAGAGCAAACAATGAGACATGAGATAGAGTGGATGGTAGAAAACAGATTATAAACCCCAGTAATCACTAAACACCAGGTAAGCTGTGACCTTGTCTAGCCATTATTGTTTTATTACAGTTCACAAAACTTTCCATTGGATGAAGAATTAGCTATTAGCATACTTGCTTTGTGGATGATGACACATATAATGCACAATAAATTGGAAGGTTTTTTATAAATTGACGATATGAATTTGTCATTGCCTTAAGGATAACACATCCAGTACATTCATATCTAGCCATGCACCGGTGTTCGAATCCCTCAGGTATGTACCAATTTTTCCAATGAAATATGTACTTAAAAAATGTTCATGATTGACTACCACAGTGAAGGAATAACGATTGTGTAATAAAAATGAAACCCACAAAATTAATTAATAAATTTTCGTAATTACTGGAGGTAGGACCTCTTGTTAGTCGGCGCGGGTAGGTACCACCATCCTGCCCATTTCTGCCATGAAGCAGTAATGCATTTCGTTTTGAAGGAGCAGTCAGAATTCTAACTATACTGAGACATTAGAACTTATATCTCAAGGTGGGTGGCGCATTTACGTTGTAGATGTCTGTGGGCTCCAGTAATCACTTAACACCAGGTGGGATGTGAGCTAGTCCACCCATTGAACAAAAAAAAAATTACTTTCAGAGCATAGTTCTAATAAAGCAAATTATCATTTATCTTTGAAATGGACAATCATCTGGGATCTCTTTTGGCTGAAGTAATTGAAAGCAGTTGATTTTAAATGATTATATTGACACAGGCTGTTACCGCCTTAAACATGTATTTGCTCACAATGTTTTTCCAGAACTAATTTCTACATCTCTATTCCTTGAATGGGGGACTCTTCTTCTCTTCAACATAATAATAACCAGGAGCTTAGCTGTACCTCAGGAATTACTAATATCTACAAATGATAATGACTACTCACTGTCAAGTTTGTCATCTGCCTTCATAAACAATAAAAAAGGACTGTAGGTTTAGTCTTATGAATTGAAACCAAGCCTTACAATTTACGATATATTAAGCATACTATATGTTATTTATTTGAGTTACTTACTAAATTAATATACACTCGTGGATGACCCTCTGGGCCACTACCTCCATCACACCAAACAACTCTTTCAGTTACTTCTTTAGGAGGTATTTCCGCAATTAAATTTACGGCCCAATTCGGATTTACTTGTTTTGGCGCATTAGTAAATCTTACCAGCCTGTAGTCATCAGAATCCCATTTCTATTAAAACAGAAAATATAATGAGGAATATTGTTGCCTTGAGCGATTGACTTTTTCCCAAATTTATTATGTAAGATCACTATTATTTTAAATCATTTGCAATGAAATGTACTGGTATAATAAAAATGAGTAAATGATACATTTTCACGTTACGAGATGTTTTTGCAATTCCAGCAGGTACCTGGCCTGTATGAGTAGAAATATCTTCAATCTTGTTCGTCAAAGTTCGACATAATACTGGTGTACTTCTTAGCATCTTTAATTTCGAACATGAAGTCATAATTAGAGATTTATTCATGACGAATTAATTTTATTATCTGAGATTTAAGTATGTAGGTACCTATTTACAAGGAATTAATTTAACTTTAAAGAAAAAGTCTGAAGATTTTGTATTGTTAAATTAGATAGGCAAAGGGAACACAGCTTTGCAGACAAATTTTTTTAAAAGGATTTTTGGACCTGGTATCTAAAACCTTTAAGTCGTCTTATTTTAATTTTATTGAAAACTTTTTTATATGAAAAACGCTTTTCGCTATCCGTCAAAAGTTAACATTTTTTTTTATCATGGCTACACATATTAAATGACTTGACTGCAATGCAAAGGGACTTTTTGACGGGAACGTGAGGAATGAAGTTGTATGATTTGTTTTATTTTGTCTATTTAGTGTTTCTTCAGGTATAAAAGAGTAATAGTTTAAATATGTAATAACGGTGGTTTATTAACTGTTTAATATCTGTGAAAATGCACAAATGTGGGAAAATGAAACAAAGCCGCTGTATGTAACTTCTCGGGATCCTCTAAAAAGTCCACTGAAAAAATCTTAGTAACTGACCACCATTTTACTGAGATTATATTTCATCTCATATCATCTTACTTCATTTCATTTAATTTCATCATATTATCATTTTTCATAAAAATAAAAATATAAATTAAAAAAAGACATGACTTAAAAATCTTAGTTACCAGGTCATAAAATCCATAAAAAAAATACATATAATAAGTGTATTATCTATGGTTTCCTATAAGTAGATAGTAGTGATGCGCAAGATGTATCACTGAGCTGAAAAGATAGATACATATCATTTCGCTCTAAAGATATATATTACTCATTTAGCTCACTAGCTCAGTGCTCCAATTCAATTGATTGGTCTCACAATTGATTCATTTCTTCGTCTAGATCATTAAGCTCAGTTTACATATATCACTCACCTTGTATTGGAATTTACAATAGTCAGTTCAGTTTGTAAATGTCAAGGCCTATATATACACTAACTAACACCCAATATAGTTTATTTACACTTTTATAATTAAACATTGAATATTTACAACATGCAGCTTACCATAGAACCAAACACATTAAGAATCTTTTTTAAATATATTTTTTTGATATAGCATCCCATTATTCGTAATATTAACTTCGCAAATTAATAGCTACCTTTTTATATAAGAATAAAGCACAGACAATGGTAAGGAAAAGGAATATAAAGGAAAATAATTTTACATTGGACGAAATTTAGACTCCGTACCACGAGTCGTGTCTCGCAGACGGGGCGCTACAGGCGCGCCATGGAGTGTTGCCAGCTTGCACTATTAGATTCGCTATAATTTAATTTCCAAGAAATTTAAAATTAAACTGATTTTATAGTAATAGGTAATAGTATTTAAACACAATAAAAATTATATTTTTTTTATATCGGCCTAACCTATCTATATCTATACTAATATTACATTTCCAAGCGCTATAGTACTAAATAAAGAAAAAACATTTTAAATTTTAATTATATAATTATGGTCATCTATTGGGGTTATTCCAGACATACTGCAAGGACTATTCGGATCATATACATTCATATCACTATCATTATCAGATTCTGTTTCGCTATCACTTGCTGCAAATATTATAAATCGGTCCATTTTTTCGTCTATCAGAGCGTCGTTTTTAAAATATTCATCTTCTAGATGCTCCACATGCTTACATTGAATAGCCTAATCTTCTGATGTTACCCTTGCAAACGCATCTTCTGTAAGTTTCACAATGTTTTTTGGGTTTTGTCCCAAAATTTTCTCTGCCACACGTCTTTTAACAAGGCTCCATATCTTTTCAATTGGGTTTAGATCGCAATGATACGGTGGAAGTTTTAAAACTTCGTGATTGTGACTTTTTAAAAGTTCATTTACAGCATAAGTAGGCGGTCCTTTATTTTGTTTTATAAGTTTATATAATACGGATTTTGTCCAGCTTTCTTCAAACTAAATACCTCTTTCTCGCAACCACTTACGCATTTCATCTTTTAAAGTTGACATGGTTGGAGCTTTATTTATTTGGGTACAGTGGTATGGAGCATTATCCATAACCACAAGAGACCTTGCTGGCAAATTTGGAATTAATTTTTCATTCATCCACTTGAGGAAATTGGTTGAATTCATGTCATCATGGTAATCAGAAGAATTTGATTGAGATTTAAAAATAAGTAAAGCATTACTAATAAAACCATTTTCTGTACCAGCATGTGCAATTATCCATCTACTCCCAACAGGATCTGAAGTGAAAAGTCCTGGATCTTCCTCGCTTTGCCAACAACTTTTAGAATGGTATGTGCTGTGGATATAAGTCTCATCTAAGAAAACGACGGGTCTTTTTTCGGTGGTTCGATTCTTGCGCATTTTTTCTATATATTTAGCGCGCCAAGCAATTATGTCAGAGCGCTCCATTAATATTTTTCTTTTGGACTGGCACCGTTTGTATTTAAATCCTTTTTTTTTGCAATGTGGTACGACTTTCCTGAAAATTAATGTCTTGTTTCATCACTGCAAGTAATTTGTTTAATGTCGGCAGTTCCTTTTTTACAGCATAAAATTGGTGAATTTTATAGCGAATAGCACAAATATCTAAGTCATCTATAATTATCTTATTTGGACGTGGACGACTCTTCCCTGGTATGACAATCTTTTTTTAAAGTACTTGCAGCAGTCTTTCCTTCTTGTATTATTCTTGATACGGTTTTCTCAGACACACCTGGATTTTTTTTTAAACCATGTTAGTCTTAATTTAGTAACCTAAACTTAGTTTTTATCAGTGGTAGTTAGCTGTATATGTCGTTTTTATGTCATGTATATCGTTGGCTCATTTGTCTTTCTTTGCTCAATAAAAAGTCTAGTGTCCTAGATTATTGATAAAACTTAAGAAACAAATGATAGATTTTAAAATAAATAAAACCCTAATGTCGTTACTTGTGTAGTAAAATAGTATACAAAGTGTTGATTGTAATAGCAAGAAATCAAAATTTCAAAAATCAAAATTTAAATTTTCTTACAAAATAAAATCCAAATCAAATGGCAAAAAATATTAGCTAGCAACACTAAATATGTACCTGTAATGGCAGCAACTCTCTTGCCTACATTGTCTAATGGTATCAAAAGTCCTTCATTTTGCTGTTCTGCTTTACAAAACGCCATTACTTGCAGTATCATTTCTTCGCGACCACTTTTTATCAATTTAGATATTATATACTTAGTCTGGCCATAAATACTGTTACAAAGGAAAACAAAAAAAAATCTATGGCAAATAACATTTATTACTTTTACAGTGTGTTAGTTAAATATATAAATATAAAACAATTTAAAGTATAAAAAGCTTATTCGAAGTGGCTGCAATACAGTCCTTTAAACGTTGAGGCCAGTTATCAATAGAAGCACGCACTCTTTCCATGGGAAAATTATTCACTGTCAATCGTACGGATTGTTTTAGGGACTCCAAATTATCATGGCGTTTCGAGCAAGCCGAACTCTCTAAAACTGATCATAAATCATAATCCAGCGAAATAAGATCGGGATGAAGTCCGAAACGTTCGTTTCCAACCAAGACTGCGTAGACCGAGCTTTATGACCTGGCGCCGAGTCTTGCTGGAAGGACCATTCTTGATTATTGAACATGGTGTTGTTAAGGGGCTTCACTACCTTCTCAAGAATGGTATCTTGATACACTTGTGCCGATGTTTTGATACCCTTTTCACAAAAGTATGGTCCAGTCACTCCTTCATAGCTAATACGCCACCAAACCATCACTGAAGTCGGATAGTGCCCACGTTGCACTCTGTCGACTAATTGGGAAGCTTCCTTAGAGCTTTGAGCATAAATACGGTCATTTTGTTTGTTAAAATGTTGCTTAATTGTAAAAAAATTCTCATAATTAATTGTAAACAAAATTTTTCTATGACCTCCCTTTGCGTACCGCTTCAGTAGTTGTTTCGATTTTACCACCCTATTCTCTTTAAAATTATCAGTTAAGAAATGACCAGTACGTCTCTTATAGGCTGCAAGTTCTAAGTCATCTTTTAAAATACGCAACATAGTTCTAGGTGCTATCTTCATCTCCCGAGATAAGATCTTTTGCTTTCGGACAGGATTTCTTCGAATTCTTTCCCTTACTGCTTTGACCACCTTTTTCGTATGAACACTACGTGGACGGCCAGATCTTTTTCTGTCACAAACAGAGGAGGTCTCATTGCACGTATTAATGGCCCGGTACACAAACATTTTACTAATACCAAGCGTATGGAGAGTTTTAAAAATTGCATTTGGCTCCATACCTACTTTGTGTAGTGCAATCACAGCGATTCGGTTCTCTTTATCACCTTACTCCTGAGCTTTATGATTGCTCATTGAGTTTTCTCATTTTGGCGCAAATACATTGTACAAAATTTTGGATCGCTGTGATTGCACTACACAAAGTAGGTATGGAGCCAAATGCCAATTCACAAAAATTTTGTACAATGTATTGGCGCCAAAATGAGAAGACTCAATGAGCAATCATATAAAAATGACAGATTCCAAATTAAAATGTAATATTTTGTTTATTTTTAATTGTAATAGTATTTATGGCCAGACTAAGTATTTATAATAGCAGCAATAATTGAAAAATCATTATTGTAAGAAGGAATAGGAAAGTGAGAAAAAGGAAGATGATGTTTGACTAGTAAGGCAACCCCGCCATACACGTCAATACGATCTTCCCGGAGACAGGTATATCCAGAGTACCTAAAAGGAGCACCTGGTTTTAGCCAAGTCTCCTTTAGAGCAAAGATAAAAGATTTATATTTATTTATAAGATAAATTATATCACTTTTCTTAGACGAAGCACTTATATAGTTCCACTGTAAAGCTTTGGCTTGCTTGTCCATTATTAATATAATTTGGTAAGTTAACGATAGTGTCAATTAAAGGGGCAGCGTTGGACGGCTGAAGAATATTAGACTGTGATGAAGTGTTAATAATAATTTTAATGAGGTCTGCAATTGATTGTAATGTCAATTCATTATGGTTATTTGAGTTTAATGCACAACCATTTCTGGGTGAGGGCATATTATAGTCCTTAATTAATTCTTGTTATGGTTTTTTGTCATAACCTTTAGATAGCTTAGGAACAGATTTTGGTTTAAGAAAAACAGTCTTTTTGTAAGAGTTACTGAAAGGTTGTTTATGAGGCTGTTCATATTGAGGAGTAGAAATAGTAGAAGCCCCGGCATTGGAAGAAGAAAGTAAAGCATCAGCATAAGATATTTTAGAAATGGGTGCATGAATTTTAGATGCTTCAGCGTACTAAATACAGCTCTTGGCCATAGTTTCTTTGATGGCTATTTGGCGCTCAAATTCTAGACATCTTTTACTTCTGGCAAAATGGGAACCTTGGCATAAACAACAGTATGCATCTTCCTCTAGGATATAGCACTGGTCAGCAGTATGGTCTTGGCCATACTTGAAACACTTTGGTTTTGACCTGCATAATGCTTTTACATGATCAAATCTGCAACAATTGTAACACTGTATTGTGGGTAAAATTTAAAGATCAACTGGAAGAGCAGTGTAGCAAATAAAAATTCGCTTAGGTAGAATTTGCCCATAAAATGTGAGAACCACAATTTCAGTAGCCTTAAATTCACAGCCATTACTAATAATGATACGCCGTCTCATTCTTCTTACTTTTAAAATTGGACCGCATCCAACAGGTAAATTAATATTTCCCATAAATTCTTCATCTGACCACTCAGCAGATATGCCTCTTACAACACCCATACGGGTCACAGTAAATGTTGGGATAAAAACCTTATACTCGGCTGATTGCAAAGCAGGGCTGTTTAGGAAATAATTTTCGTCCTGGTAATTATTAAAAGACAGAGTCAGTCTATTACGGCCAATTCGTTTTAAGCTTCCGTTAACAGTGTTGTGGATAGAATTCCTTTTTAAAAAACGACCAAAAGCAATAGGATCAACAGTAACATTGTCATTAGGAGTTTGCTGTATTCTTTGCACATGAACAACATATGGTGCTGCATCACTTGCCTGATAAGTTAATCGAGCTACCGATTCAGATTTTTTGTACTGATTGGACTGATTGGAATTCAGTTGCGAGTCAGTGAACTGGGGAGGAGTACTACTTTGGGTGTTAGTGTTATTATTAAACAAAGGTATGCAATCACATTCGTTTTGTTTCAATTCTTTGCCCTCATTTCGTTTCCGATTTCGTCTTTTTTTATTGCAATTAGAGCAATGCTTATTGACAGTGGCTCTACGTTTTCGAGCACCACTGTTAGATTTTACAGATCCATCGGTTTCCGTTCCAGATTCCTCATTTGAGATTGTTACATTATAACCGACCCCAGGGACTTCTCCGCCCCCAGGCGGCTCCATAAGGAGCAAAAGTTAAGAAAAAAAAACTTACCAATAAAACTCCTAATTCAACTCTTAAATAAAATTTAAACAAATAAAACTTAAAAAAAACAAATATAGATCAAACGGCACTAAACTACTGATCCAAATAAAAAAAATAAAATAAAATTATATAAAAGTCGAAAAACGCGTACGTCTGCAATCGAGTTTCCCGCGCTTCTCTGCTGTATTCTTTGCACATGAACAACACATGGTGCTGCATCACTTGCCTGATAAATTAATCGAGCTACAGATTCAGGTTTTTTGTATTGATTGAACGAATTCAGTTGCGAGTCAGTGAACACGGGAGCAGTACTAGTTTGGATATTGGTATTATTATTAAATAATGGAATGCAATTACATTCATTTTGTTTTAATTCTTTGCCCTCATGTCGTTTCCGATTTCGTCTCTTTTTATTGCACATAAAGCAACAATGTTTATTGACAGTGGCTCTACGTTTCCAAGCACCACAGCTAGATTTTACAGATCCGTCGGTTTCCATTCGAGATTCTTCATTGGAGATTGTTATATTATAACCGACCCCAGGAACTTCTCCGCCCCCAAGGTCATCAGGCGGCTCCATAAAGAGCAAAATTCAAGAAAAACAAAACTTACCAATAAATCTTCTAATTGAACTCTTAAATAAAATTTAAAAAACAATTGTAAAAAATTATATACAATCAAACCTGGATAAGCGAGAGTTCAAGGGAGCACAATCTCATTCTCGCTTATAGAGATTTCTCACTAACCCAAGTTTCTCGCTAATGCACCCTCTGAATTTCATTTCGCGATTTTCCGGATTCAAACGTATTCACTATTTTAAGTTTATCACTTAATGACAGTACTTTAATTTTCCGTTTTGACATGATGCAGAACAAAGCTTTCCTTCGCAATTGATTAACGATAAACTGAGTAAGTCCGACAAACAGGACGGTACACAGGGACACGTGTCCATTCGAAAAGATTGCGATAAAATAACAAGGTTATTTAGTTCAACGAAACAGAATAGGTTCAATATTGACGAGAAAACAATGGTAGGAAGCTCCACGAAAGTTAAGAATGAGTCATAAAATAGCAGATGTTAAATTTATAATTTGTTTTGTCATTTGCTCCTCCTAAACAATATAAAGAAATAAAGCTCGACTGTCGCTTATAGAAGTATAGATACGTAGCAGTTTCACTTACGGAGGTCCATGAGGGAGAAACGACTCTCTCTTACAGAGGTTTCTGTTTCTCGCTAATAGAGGTTTTGGGAGCTTAAAATGACGGGTCCTGGTTATTATTCTCACTTATAGTTTTCTCACTTATCCAGTTCTCACTTACCCAAGTTTGACTGTATATATATTTACATTTGATTGTGTGTTGTTGTGTAAATATATATATTTTAAATTATAGTTTGTGTATATATATATATATAAAATTGACAAGTGTTTTTTCTTTAAGTTGGCATTGATCGAAATTTTGTTTATATTATCGTTGAGCACTATGCCGCATAATGCGCTCTTGTGCTGTAATTGGAAAACAGGGATTGTGTGTTAGTGATACATTTTATCGGTGTAAGTGATATGTATCTTTTATATCACTCACTCAGGTGCTGCACATCTCTAGTAGGTAGGTACTACTCATAATAACAACTGCAGTTTATATTCAGCTGGATATAGTTAAATGACTTTATTATTGAAGCCATCATAAACTAGAAATTCAAATTGCTGCGTAAGATAACTCGTTTGTTTTAATATCCTAATATCTCGATAAATTATATTTTATGCAACAAAAATTAGACAGCACGACATTGTTTCACTTGCAAATTTCAACACCACAATTAAATTATACTATTAGTAGGTAGGTATCGTTACATTCCGTTCGAAGATTAAATACAATTATGGAGTTCATATCAGAAAGGAATAATTTCAATTACAAAAAGATTTATCCCCAATGTAGTGAGTGACTCATACCTGTACTTTTCACATCGATTTCATTGCTTGTTCTGTGATAGACGTACATTTATTTACGACTCAATTCTTTTTCTTTGTGACACATACACTGTATATAAAACAATTATTTTTGCATTGATGTGATTTTTAAACTATGCCGACTTATGATATGATTTGATTTGATTGTTAAAATGTGAAAAATATTGCAGATCCGAAGCTAGAATATATTCATTAGCAACAATATTCTACGCCTACAATTAACATTTTGTGAAAAATACTAACTGGTGAGTATTGAAAACATTATGTATTCAAATTAAATTTTAATCCAAAAAAATCAAAACTTTGCTATTACATATATGTGTAAAAACATGTAAATGTCAAAAATAATAAGTGTGCCTATTAGTAAAATAGATATTATTTGTTTTAGACATTGTAGGTATGGTAATTAATTTTTTAGCTCTATCTGTTTGTTGATTGCAATTACACTGTCATTGTAAGACAATGGATCTCATTGTTAAAGTCAACCATTTAAATTAAGATATTTGAAATCATAATATAACAATTGACTTTGTGACCTAAAATAGTACAATCTCATCTCTCCATGACTAAGGAAATTGGAATTAATTTTTGAATCAACAATTTTAGATTAAATTTAATACCCACTTAATACATGTTTAAAATGGTTTTCCAAATTGAGTATAATACATCATATTATATCAACTTTAAAGGTTTATATCAACATTCATCAACATTATATCAACATTAAATAAGGTCTCATAATAATTATTTTAAATTGAATATTTGTTATTACTGTTTAAGTTAATTGTCTGTGTTCTTTTATCAGTGTACTATTATTATATCCTATAGCTCTTTAGCTCTATTAGAAGGCAATTACTACAAAGCAATTGTTATGGTCCTTTGAGGCCCTATGTGGACGGTTGATATTCCCAGATAACAAAATAACACAGAAGATTGAAAATAAAATGAACTTAGAATTTGTTACATATTTTTTTCTTAAAAGTATTTCCAAAGCTGTGTTGGAATGACATAAAATTAACATATCAATACCAGTTATTTGAATATTATGTTAATAAAAAAACGAAAATATAAAATAACTCACTAAATTAAACTAAAACTAAGTTTAAGTTTCAGCATTTATTAAAGTAAAAAGCAGCTTCAAAAATAATTTTACCGTTTATTATAACTACACACATATAACACACTCGTTGGTAGGGGTGGATTTAAAGGCCTAAGGCAATTACTACTAAACAAACCAAAGGTGATACTGAAGTACATGCATTGGTGAAAAAGACCACAAAAGTAGAATATTTCAAAAATATGTTTTTAAAGACAGTAAAAATAAAAATAATTAAATAATATAAAATTAAAAAATTTAAAATTAATATGGATTTTGGTAATTTATTACAGAATTATAGATCAACTGACACAATAATACTGCCATTCACCAGATGCACTGTTTTCTTTATATTCTTCAAATAAAAGTAGTCTAACCATTGTTTATTGTACATGTTTATGTACTATATTATTCCCATATCAGCTCTGGAAACTATTCATTACAATTTTAGAATGTCGAGGTTCAATGAGAAATATATTAGTCCTAAATGATACAAGACTCGGTTAAGGATTAAGAATAGTTAATTTGGAATTTAAAAAAACCTATCAAATACAAAAGTCAATCTATACAAATATTTTGTTTCAGTTATTCAAGATGACTTCAGGACCCTATAACTACTCATACATATTTAAGTATATAATAATTGGAGATATGGGAGTTGGTAAATCATGCCTCTTGCATCAATTCACTGATAAAAAATGTTAGTATTTACTTGCACCATTGCATTTGTTAATTGTATAACATGTTTTCCTGCACTTTAGCCCTTGGTCCCAAGACTAACTTAACACTAAACTATATGTCTAATACTTGTGGACTCTGAACCTCAAAGGGTTAAAATACCCAATCATTTTTTCATATTATTGAGATGGATGGATGAGTTGTTCACTTGAGGTCTTCACAGTATTATATTGTAGCAGCCCACCCTATGTTATTATTACAGGAATCTATAGACATTACAATACATGAAGCACTATCCATCATTATTCAAAAATTAAAATTCTCATTTTATTGTAGAACATCTAGTACATCTTGCAAAACTGGAAAATATGACTACTTATTGGGAGGAATAAGCAGGATAGCAATAATATGCTTATGTAAATTTATAAATTTATCAATAATTAACAGCATCATTTATGATGCTATTCATTTATTATAGTAATTTTAGGCAGCGGCTTGGCTCTGCCTTTGGCATTGCTGAAGTCCATGGGCGACGGTAACCACTCACCATCAGGTGGGCCGAATGCTCGTCTGCCTATACGGGCAATAAAAAAAAGTCTATGAGCACAACAAACTATTATTTTTAGCAGATTTTTTTATCACAATAGAATAATAGTTAACCCATGTTTCTCACTTAACTAACTTATTTTATAACACATTTATGAAAAACACAAACGAATTTTCTATTGTGGTAACGCTATGCCCAACATAGTCAAACATCAGATTATGCATTTATTTTGGTATGAAAAAAATGTTATAATATTTATTACATACCTGTTTACAGTCATGGCTGATTGTCCTCACACTATTGGTGTTGAGTTTGGAACGCGTATAATCGAAGTTGCTGGACAAAAAATCAAGCTACAGATTTGGGACACAGCTGGACAAGAAAGGTTTCGTGCTGTCACTCGATCTTACTACAGAGGTGCAGCTGGAGCTCTTATGGTTTATGACATAACAAGAAGGTATTCCAACCCTTTATAAATATACTAGCTTTTGCCCGCAACTTCGTCCGCGTGGAATAGTTTGGCATAATGCTAAATTTTACCCGCCTCTTCGTTTACGCAGAATCTAAAAAATAAAAATAAAAATTTTGGGGTGGACCCTTAACATTTAGGGGGATGAAAAATAGATGTTGTTTGATTCTCAAACCTGGCCGATATGGATGCTAAGATTCACGAAAATCGGTCGAGCCGTTTCGGAGGAGTTCAATTACGCATCCCATGACACGAGAATTTTATATATTAGTGATAATACTGTAAATTTTTATTTAGAAATATTCTAACGTGCGTAATCTATGCTTTTAATTTATTTCAAGGATAGAGGTGTTTTTTGAGGGTGTCTTGTATCTTTATAAAAACGCATTCACAAATAATGCTTTATTTTAGACAAATTTGGTTAGCATAAAAAACGTTATAGAGAGCCAACCTTAACATATAAACATGCTGTCGCGGACCTTTTTTTAGATCTTTTAAAGGGGAACAATTCTCGAATACATTATTTTAGCGAAACTTTAATCGTTTCCGCAGCGCACGCAGTGGAAGCTCTCAAAAGGGAAAAAACCCGATTTTGAAACATTCTTTAATGGTGCTTCGTTTGCATTGGTCTTAGGGTGATGTTATAGAACCTATAGCCTTCCTCGATAAACGGGCTATCTAACACTGAAAGAATTTTTCAAATCGGACCAGTAGTTCCTGAGATTAGCGCGTTCAAACAAACAAACTCTTCAGCTTTATAATAATAGTATAGATACGTAATTCATTTTCGCTGCATGTTTACTTAATTACAAATGTTAATAATAGATGTCATTTTCCAAATCAATTAGCTGACTTTATCAATAATTGTGCAAAATGTTTACAAAAATTTGAGAAAATGCTTTAATTTCAGATCCACATATAATCACCTTAGCAGCTGGCTGACAGATACTCGTAATCTGACTAATCCTAGCACTGTGATATTTTTAATTGGCAATAAATCCGATTTAGATGCCCAAAGAGATGTTACTTATGAGGAAGCTAAACAATTTGCCGATGAAAATGGCTTGATGTTTGTTGAAGCAAGTGCTAAAACGTAAGTTTAAGATAAGTTAAATACATAAGGTAAATATATAGTATTAATCGCCTATAATTTCTGAAAAGGTCTTGTATATTACATATACATTTAAGTATAAATTCTTATTTTACTGGTTTACACATTCAGTGGTGGTCGTATAATTAGAAACTGGTGGTAGGACCTCATGTGAGTCATCGCGGGTAGGTACCACCACCCTGCCTATCTCGGCCGTGAAGCAGTAATGCGTTTCGGTTTAAAAGGTGGGGCAGCCGTTGTAACTATACTGAGACCTTAGAACTGATATTTCAAGGTGGGTGACGCATTTACGTCGTAGATGTCTATGGGCTCCAGTAACCACTTAACACCAGATGGGCTGTGAACTCATCCACCTATCTAAGGAAAAAAAAAAAAACACATTCAACAACAGACAACAGTCCTTGATATTATGTAAGATACTTCACCGCAATCGTTTTTAATTTGAAGTTAAACAATAAATAGGACAACCATATGTTCAACGACTTATCATTTATTAGAAAAAACATTTTTTTTTTAAGTATTAGTGATTAGTATTGTTATTTACGAAATAGATACTATTCACAGCCTTTTTTTTATAATTATAGATGTAATTAATATTTAGTGGCGTATTCCTTATTTTTAATAACAGCACTGCAACGACGTGGCATCGATTCCACAATTTCATACATTTTTCAAAGGGGATTGAATTCCATGCTTCAACAAATGCTTCATATAGTTCGTTTTGACTGGTGTTACGTTTGTTTGAGACTTTCTTTTAACAATATAACAGATTTTCTATCGGGTTTCAATCCGGACTATTTGCTGGCCAGTTTAAAACGGATATACGTTGTTCACTAAGGAAACATTTGACGCTATTCGCCTTGTGTTTAGGGTCAAATTTATTAGTTATAATAGTTGAAGCGAACGTATGAAACATTTAAAGATTTAATCCAACGTTGAATTTTTAATTTTTTTTTTGGGAATGTTCACTACAAAAAAGTGATTAATTAATAATTTCCCAAAAACAATATTATTGTACAGATTTTAATCATCTGTCATCATGCAATGCTACTGAAATTTCGACCTCATTTTTGCTGTTTGTTCTCTCCTTTAATCGTTGTATTAATGTCGGATTTCAGAGGGCAGAATGTCGAGGAAGCATTTTTGGAGACCGCCAAAAAAATATACCAGAGCATACAAGATGGCCGGCTGGACTTGAACGCGGCGGAGTCGGGCGTCCAGCACAAGCCCGCGTCCCCGGGCCGCCCGCTCGCCGCGCCGCCCTCCTCGCGCGACAACTGCGCGTGCTAACTGACGACCATCATCACGCTTGCACCGTGAGCTATGTTAACATTGTTTTGTTCACAACGGAATACCTATGAAATATGATCGCGACATCAGTGTAATTAAGCTACCGTAAATGTTCTCAAATATTTGTTCAAAGACCGTTTGTTCATTTACACCTAGACGATAAGTACATCAATGCTAAAATAGATGTGGAGTCTGTGTCAGCATATATTACGCTGCGGCGTAATCGTGTCGGCGAATGAAAAAACACACTACAAAAAAAAAAAAACTGCAATTGCACATTATTTGCAATGCAACAATGACTTAACTTACACCTGATATTTATCAAAATACCTAATTTCGAGGCATATTTTATCTGTATTTCCTAGAAAATATTATATTAGTGTACATTCCATAATATCATGTATGTTTGAAGTAATATATAAGCGCAGCGTTGTAAGTTTCCAAACCTAAAATGAAATTAATATTATTTATAAATAATGAATTGTTTATACTCAAGAAGATAGAAAAACATATAGAAAAAATAATTTAAAACGTTCAAGTAACAATAGATGTACACTTTATGTAATTCAGAAAAAGCACACACCACTTTATTGATTTATAAAAAAAAGTGTCAACTGTTGTAAACATGGCGAAAACTATTCCATAATAAACCAATTGTTATGGTTTAGTGGGAGTTCCCACTGTAAATATTATCGAAAATATCAAAACATGTGTGGATTCTTAATAAAGTGTTTGGTCCTGTTTTCGTTAAGAGCTAATTTGAGTATATAAATTAAATTCTTAGTGAACATAGATTTCTTCTTGTCTACACGTATTTATTTATGATTTAAGAAGAATTTATTAAATGTTGCATTGTCACTGTCGTGTATTTAGGTTGATAAAAATCTATTATTGTTATATTCTAAAAAAAATATACCTTTGAAATGGTATTGACCATTTAATTTTTACTATCGAATAAGTTACGTAAAAAATATTCTGATAAATGTTTTTAATATAACGGGCGTAAGGGAACCTTTCGATTAATGATCCCTAATTATAACTGAAACATTATGACGCGTAGCAATTAAACATTGTTTCCGTTTATGTCGAAATATTTCTTTTATATAAATATATAACTGAAACAGTTATAGTTTCCAATTTGACAAAGTTCCCTTAGATAACACGTGAAATCTGGTATCAGTTAAGTCTGTGATCTTGATTATGGTAAAAGTGGTACCCGAGGAAGAAGGAATGTGAATGAGGAAGGAGAATATTACACGATCGGATTTTTATTTATTTATTGCATAGATGGGTGGACGAGCTCATAGCCAATCTGGTGTTAAGTGGTTACTGGAGCCCATAAACGTCTACAACGTAAATGCCGCTACCCACCTTGAGATATCAGTTCTAAGGTCTCCGTATAGTTACAACGGCTGCCCCACCCTTCAAACCGAAACGCATTACTGCTTCACGGCAGAAACGGTGGTGGTGGTACCTACCCGTGCGGACTCACAAGAGGTTCTACCACCAGTCATGACGCAAATTATAATTTTGTGGGGTTGATTTTTATTACACAATGTTATTCCTTCACTGTGGAAGTCAATCGTGAACATTTGTTAAGTACGTATTTCAATAGAAAAATTGGTGTCCACCTGCGGGATTCGAACACCGTTGTATCGCTCGACACGAATGCACCGGACGTCTTATCCTTTAGGCCACGACGACTTCAAACGATGGCTATATTGATCATCAGCCCACACGTGAACTCTGTATATAACATGCATTATGGATTTTAACAAGAAATAAAGCGTGTGTTGCTCTAATATCAGCTTTATCTACAAGAAATATTATGTATTAAGTATTTTTATAGCGTCGTTTACTTCGTATTTAGTCGTTTTTGTGACCTACAAATAAATGTTAATACATTATCAGATCATCCAATCTACAGTTATGATTAATGTAATTATATTAGAATACTAGCTGTACCCGTCCGCTTCGTTGGACATTTAAAATTAACATTATTATTTCTCACCCCCACAAAGATTCTCATCATTAACGCCCCCGCAACTGATGCAGGGAGTCCAACACTCATATAAATATTAGCATATCCATTAAGTACATGTATTTTCTACATGGATACCAAGTTTCAAGTCAATCGGATGCATGGTTCAGTAGTTATAACGGAACATCCGTAAAAACCACTGTAGATTTATATATTAGTATAGATTGCTAGTGCCCTTTTTCCCAGAGTACAGCCAATGTTTCTTAACTTATTATGCAATCTTTCTTCGGTTCTGACGGTTCCACTGACCATGACGCTAATCAGTGACTACCGCAACAATGAAGTATACATTTAAAATTGTTTAAAAATGGTGTTGATTGACAAAAAATATAAAAAATCCACGAATTCACACGTCACATAAAAAATCTGTTACCAATCAGGGACTAAACTGATGCCAGACTTTACATATAACCTCCGTCTTACACGTTCTTTACCTACCTAATAAGTATTGTCATTTATATCTAATATGTAAAATTCAACTTGTGAAATTAAGGATGTACTTAGTAATTAATCAATAAATGAAATTTAATAATTTTAAATACACAGAACTTGTGCTAATATCCGTACAATAGAAATTCATTGAAGTTTTCTTATGCTTAAAATAGTAATGGAGGAGAATGCAAAATTATCATATGGTGACTATGAAACTTCACAAAAAAAAACATCGCCCTAACAAATATGGACATATTTTAGTGGGTTAAGCGCTTTGATGTTAAGAGTAAAGGAATCTACAATAAAATTATCCTTAATTAGTATTGCCACGAGTCATGTGCGCCATTTTGTGAAATTATCGATACGTGTTTTAATGCATCCAGAATTTTTTTGTAAGTTTGTTTTTCCCGTGTTCCCTTTAGATTACCTACCTAGAAACATTGTATTCTACGTTGATGTAAGCTTTTGTCGAAACTTTCATCGAGCTTACCGTACCTATTCCCTAAGATTTCAGTGGATCTCTAGCTATTTGGATGGACATAGCGTTGCTGATAAGACCGTTTTTGATGGTGGTCTATAAGGTTTAGTGCTACCTCACACCATAACGCATATTAATGAAATACTGCCCTTTAATGGCATGCACTGGTATGTTGATGATAGCCGGGGAATTGGGTAACTGTTTCTTTAATGAGTTATTTTATGGTTAAAGAAAGAGTTTTGATTGCGATTAAGTCTACGGGCACGAAACTTGCGATGGCTGAGCGATGGCGGCAGCGGGGCGACGCGACGCGAGGCGGTCAGGCAACGATATCTCGCGCGGACATAAAACAAGATGGCGGACAGTCGCGCTCGAGCAGTGTTGTGCGAAATATGAGCTTAAGTCGAAGAGAACTATTGGAACCTAGTCTCATAATGAGGGAATTATTATTACCTAGAGATGATGTTTCATCCAATAAATCAACGAAGACGCAATTTGTGAGAATTTTCTACGCTTTATTACGAGCCAAGGTGTCATTCAATGACATTGTACAACTATACAAGAAGGTATAGAATAATCCCAAAATGACATTTTCTTTCTTCCCAACACTTCAATACAACCTTTTTGTTTTTATGGTATACGTTTTTACTATCCTATAGAGCAGGTTTTGATAAATACAAGATATAAATTCCTCATTATCATTTCCATTACTAATATAATAATTCAATACAACACCGTGTACCCGCGCAAGCGACGAAATCAAACTAAGTAGTTTGTTCTCGTCGCTTCCGCGTCGCCGTCGCTCCACCGTCGCCCGTACATCGCTCGATCGCCCCGCTCCGCCTTCGTCCGTTTCGTGCCCGTCGCTATACTGTGCAATGCTTTTGTATACATCGCAGTCGCGCCGCCCCGCCATCGTTAGGCCGTCGCAAGTTTCGTGCCCGCAGACTAAGAACCCATATATCGTTCTTGTTGAAATGTAAAATTTTTGAGATGACCACGTTATCACCGTTCTTTCGTTGAACTACCCACGACCCAAGAGAGTTCAAGTTTTCTACCACTGCGAGCGTTGCCGCCTACCATTTCAGTTTTGAATGACATGTTTTATAATTACGACGCCTCACTTTTTATGAGTACCTATCTTGGTTTCGCATCCTCTTCTGTTGTCATTTATGATCGTGTGTCAGGAAAATCTCAACCTTAGTTTATTTAAAGATAACATTTGAAGTGTAATCATTTAATTTTGTTGGATGTTCGTTACTGAGGCGTTAATGTTACAAGCATTTAAATAATACTTATTTCCAAGAACAGGAAGCAAAATTTATGAATATACTGAATAGTTGTGCTTATCTACTTCGCGTGATGGATTATCATATATAAAAGATATATTTGACATGTTTTATAGTCATAATAAATTATTATAACACATTTTAAATCTATGTGATAGTCATTATTTAATTTCCTTTCCACAAGCTTGTTCTGTTCGGATGGTGTTGGAAAGCAGTGTGTGAGGTAAGTGGTGGGCGGCGGGGGCGCGAGCATCGCGTGAATTATATGAAACTAAACCAACCGAGCGATTTTTATGCGTTATAAAATATGGGACAAAATTGTGGATCGATAACGTGGGAGTGTATAAAATCGGTATAACCCCGATTTCAAGAACCGATACGGTTTTATTTTTTACGTAATATGGGTGTTACACACTATAGCGGAATTGCAAAGCAGAGGCTTTGAAAACCATTATGAATAAATAATTTTATCGAAAGTTCGATAGACTTGTGACGTTTTATCTGATGTCGGTTTTTGCTTCCGATAAGTTTTTTTATTATGAACAAGAGAAACATTAGTTTGTCATACATCATTACATCTTGGTTACAGTAAAAAGTATATTAATGTGATTTCATCTTGGATTAGCTATGAATTTCGGCTGCTAAAAATTAGTTTAAGATAAAAGTTATTGTAGCTATCACAAAAAAGCGTCTACATTAAACGGTAGGAAAATAGTTCATTTGATAAAGAGGCGTATGTAGGTATTTTAGGAGAAAATAGTATGAATAATTAGTCATAGCACATAAATGATAACTTAATTAATAATTTAGTATAGTTATTCAAATCTGCAAATAATCAGATCAGTATTTCGTCGGTACATTGTAATTTATGATAATGACATAACAATATGTCACGTCTATCTTTGTCATAAACGCTACTTTCAGCCGATTACCTTATTTTTACATTCCCTATAGTTGAAACGTCCTTGATGTTTGTCGATGCCGGATTATACTAGGGTTATAGCAAAATTACAATTCTTCAGTAATTGAAGACACGAGTGGATGAAGGGGTTCAGTATCATTTTTGAGATATTGAATTTTTACATCGAATGAAGGTGTTATGTGCCCATAAACCATATTAGACAAAACTCCGGGTTTAAAGGCTATTTTCAGAAATTGCATGTGATGAAGAAGTTATGTACGAAGAAACTACAAGTACCAAAAGTTTGTTGTTGCCCGTTTTCTCAAAATTAACAAATTGTATCGTATCCCCTTCGTCCTTCAATTATAATTTGAAGTAAAATGTTCTTGTTCAAAATAAAATACTTAGAATAAATTAAGTGTCGTTAGATCAATTGATCAACCTTAAATTAGTTCAGACGGTAATCTAAAAAGTTTTTGCAATTCCACCCCTTTATTGCTTGCGGTAGTAGCCGCTTCGCGTTTTTTATTTAGATGCCGCAGGCCGTATTCATAATTAAAATGCCCTATAAAAATTAGTTTATTTTTATAACTAAAAATAAATAAAAAATGTTGGAGAATTACCACAGCGACAATCACTACCAACATCGAATAATTTTTGAACTGCCTGGTCAAACATACATAATTATCTCTTATATTTACTCTTATATTATTATGTGTTACAGTTTCAGTAAGACTGGTGACATGGGTTTACTTCTAACATTTTCTATTGTATTCTGTCTCTATTCGTAATAGATCCTTATTGACCAAGAACAATAATTTTTCGCATTAATCGCTGCCTCAAAATAAGTACCTATGTAACAGTAATGAGTGGGAAATCAAAAGAACACTAGTTATCCAAATATATGGGTTGTAAAATGTCTTAATATTTAAGTATATCTGTTAAATTAGACATATCAATAAGTTAAAAATCTAAACAAGACACCATGTGGTATAAAACATAAGTTACTCGGATATTTCGAATTTTTTTTTCATTGATCTTGTAATACAAAATCATTCGGTGTAACTTGCTTTATTCATAATCGGGCAGACTATTTGGTGATGGTTTTATTAATGGCTTATATTTAATTTTATGATTAATAACGCACTTTATTACTGGATAAAAAATTTATTGTATAACAAATGTAAATATGAATTTTTTTGTTAGCACCACGTTATACATAGTTATTGACATTTACAAAAAAGAATGATTGTTATCCATTTATTTTTCCCCATTTGTTTTTAATTAAAATTGGCCCCTCACCGCAATAATGTATTATCGTTTTAAGCGAAATAAAATATTTAATTATGAGTATTTATCACAATAAACAAAAACTAAACACATATTTATTTTAGATAATAATTATTTGTTTCAATAAATGTTTGTACAGTTAAATTATTATTTTAATAGCATTAAAACAATTGACTTGAAAAACATATGAATAGTAAGAATTAAAACATTGAGAATTGAGTTTTAGAAATCATCCCAAATGTGATTGATAATTTAATTTACTATTTGGCATTTTATGCCTTATAAACCTTTCTTTGAAAATATACAACTTGTGATGTAGAATTATTATGAAATCCTAATGTCATAGTAATTACTTTTCAGATAGTGCTAATATTTTTTCAATATTCTTACCCAAAGTTATTGAAATGATTGGACAATCATGACAGTAAAATAATTGCCCTTCTGACATACAACCCAGCAAATTTCACTCTGCTTAAAACCGCTATTAATATATTCATACACTTTTTCAACTTGTCCCCTAAACAAGATGGTGCTCCTTAGTTCTATCTTCCATGCTGTAGAAATAATCTTGGACGACCAAAGTAAAGCTAGCCCACACATTGTTCTACCGCGATATAAGATTCACTAGATGGGATAAATAATGTGAATCTATTTAAGCGGTGACTTGGTTGTGCCTCTGGCGTTGCTGATTCCGGAGCGACGGGGACTGCTTACTGTCGGTCCACAGTCTACTTCGTCTACGTCAAACATGACGTATTGATGTTAATAGCATCTAGAATTGACTGTGTATAATAATTAAAAAAATCAAAATACTATGAATTCAGTCTTTGATTATTCGTAAAAATACCGATGGTATAATAGTACGTAAAATACAATCAATATATAATACAAAGCGAAATATAAAGCAACACAATCCATACAAATTTACAGCGCCAACTCTTTCCACGTCTAATTTGGGTGTAGTACATACTTTGTTATAGAGAACGATGTGGAGTGTGTGTGTTATAAATATCGATGTATGGGTTACTTACAGTTAAATTTCAAACGAATTCATTTCAAAGCTCAGCTGCCTCCGCTACAAGATCTCTAGGTAAACTTGTAAAATTAAATAAAATGGTTGGGCCATTAGATCTGAATATCGATATCGGTAGTCAAGTGATTCTGATTCAAAAATTATTCGGGAGGAATGCACATTACTATCAAATCCTTAATTTGTGTTATAAGTCTTTTTTTTTATAATGGACGTAATGGAAAGTTAACACTGTAATAATAACTACTCTTATCTCATAAGCCGATTGTTTACATTTCATACATATCATATTAGAGCTTAGATTTGGTTACTTTAAGAAGTAAATCATGCATGTCCTGTAGTGACTGCTCCAAAGCTTGCCTGTATTTGTCACAGCTGGTAGCGGGATTTTCGACGAATGCGGAGGTTGCGAAGTTGACGTCGTTGTCTCGTGGGTTATAGCAAGTGGCGTAGCCGTCCGGCACGAGGGGCCCGTAACACATGAACCCATCGCACTTGCACGCCACCTATACAAGTTATGTCTAGTAATATAATTAAAAACAATTGACCGATGTTCCCAAGTCCAATCTCGACTCTTTTTTTTTATTGCCCTTGTAGGCAGACGAGCATACGGCCCACCTGATGGTGAGTGGTTACCGTCGCCCATGGACTTCAGCAATGCCAGAGACAGAGCCAAGTCGCTGACTGCCTCGTCATAATACTGGCGATACGGCATCATAACACCTATAACTTTTAGCATAATCATTGTCTATGTAAAAGCATGTAGGAGCTTGACTATTCCCTGGCATTGCTGACGTCTGTGAGCGATGGTGGTAACTTATTATCAACCGTTACTCGTATGCCTATAGTGACGATAAGAACATCTGCATTTTGATTGTTTTGTCTTTGTCGGTAGATACATAATATATCCTCTAATAATTAGTCCTAGTAGGTAAGAAGCTTAGTAGACTGTGCCAGTCGGTTTTTTTATTTTTCTACAATTCATGAATAGTCCTTCCTAAGCCATACGTCTTTCTTGTAGGCTACTTAATAAAACCATAAATTACCTGGCTTGTTGAAATTCTCATATGCGCACTTCTAGTATAACCTGGGTCTGTGTACAGCTTGGGTAGTTCGATACCATTTTCAAGTGCGATAAGCTTCAAACCAAGTAGATGTCTGTCCACACCAAATCCTTGAAGAGCCTGTAAACCACATTTTTATTCCAAATTATTACTATGGTTGTATTATTTGTTCTTTATGTTCCTGTAGAATACTGCAGATGGTCGGACAAGTTTACGGTCCGCTTTGTATTTAAGTGGTTATGAGAACCCATGGACGTATAATGTAAAAGCCGCTACACACCTCGACCTACAAGGTCGAAATCTCAATTTTATTATGATAACTTTGTGGAAAACACCAACCATTACCACCATTTACCAAGTACATATTACTGAATCGTTTTTATCACGTAATTGTATTCCGTCACCGTGAAATACAATTGTATTGGGTTCGAAAAATTAGTACATACTTGCAATAGGATTTGAATCCCAGCATAGTTGCAGTACTTTTTACTGGTGGTAGGACCTCTTGTGAGTCCGCACGAGTAGGTACCACCACCCTGCCTATTTCTACCGTGAAGCAGTAATCCGTTTCGGTTTGAAGGGTGAGTTAGCCGTTGTAACTATACTGAGAACTTAGAACTTATATCTCAAGGTGGGTGGCGCATTTACGTTGTAGACGTCTATGGGCTCCAGTAACCACTTAACACCAGGTGGGCTGTGAGCTCGTCCAACCATCTATGCAATAAATAAAAAAGAGTGCAGTGGGGATATTAATAAAAAAATAAAAATCGGTTGTCTGTAAATTCTGTTTACTGACGATAGTTGAACGTGACAACGTCATAAGAAAATACTGATAGAATGGTTTCATTTTTCAATTATCGCAATTACCGTTGCTATAAACAATTGACACCACATTCACTTTTCACTGAACTTCATACTTGAGGAAAACATGTAAATGTATTATTGTATAGCAGCTGTCCACGCGGATGCATCGCTCACTCAAGTAGGAGAGAGAGATGTCGAACGCTGCCGAACGCGGAGGCCGATTGTGCCTCTTTGTCGCTCGTTGCGCGCTCTCGCTTGCACTTCAAGCCTTAAATGGAACGCAATCAATGAGTCATGTTTTTTTGTGCGTGCAGCCGGCTCCATCGAATTATAGGACGTTGTCACGTCAAATACAGAGTAGACCATTATCATCACAAGATCTTCAATAATAATACTGAGTTATATTATTATCACAAGTCTCGCGATGTTGTTTATTATACCTAGTCATGTGTCATGATGACAGCAACCTTTTAAAGACATAAAAGGATAATTTGAAGCCTGAGGTTTTTTAGACCTGGCCCATGACATAACTATGCGGCATGTCAGTTCTACCATCACGTTTGAATAGTTGTGTTGATATTGAACAGCTCCGATTAACACTAAGAACTTTTTGCTAGGTTAAGGGCGATAGAGAGTGGTCATTTTTGTCAAGGCCCGCATTTAATGTGGGATCACAAACGGCTCGTGTCGTAGTCCTCACCTGCACAGTGTAATCTTTATGTCCGTTGATAGCGTTTTGTAGTTTAGTTAATTTCTCTTTCGGTGCAATTTGTGGATTCAGCATAGCTTTCGCAAACTCTATAGATTCAATCGAACAAGATCTTATGGTTTCAGTTCGCCCTCCCGCGTACATCCTTGTTGCTGCTGACTCGTAGTGCGCGCCGGGCGTGTTGTGTAGTCTATCGACGGAAACATTCATAAATTATTGACGAGAATATTTATTGAGCACTATTTTGATTTGATACTCGATGAAACGATTAGGCTATATTAAAAAGAGACAAACATCTACGGCATTTAGCCCGCAAGAGAATGAGATAAAATATTTCCGAAAGCCTCAAATTTAACGCGTGTAAATTTTTATTTATTAATCAAACTCATTTTACTCCAATACATAGTATTAGTATATTTCACCTTTGCATCTGCATTTATAAGCGTCTGTTCTATTTTTACAGTAATTTATTATCCAACATACTTTCACGCCTGGTTAGAGACTAATGCAAATAAAATTTAATTTAGTCTTCACTTGACATTACTTTGTTTTACTGACTTGAGCATTATTACTTCATAATGCTTTCTTTGGATGTGAAAGTAGCCCCGGTAATTAACAAATTGAAGAGCGGACATGTCACGCGTAAAGAGAACATGCATGTGACTAGGAGATGTATGGAAATGGTAGTGCAAGGTAGAGGGGGCAGAGGTCGACCGAAAGAGATATGGATGGAGTGTGTGAATGACGATATGAGAGAGAGAGAGGAGTGAGTGTTGAGATGACGGCTGATAAGGAGAATGGAAGAGAAAAATTAGCTGTGCCGACCCCATATAGTGGGATAAGGTGGAGAAAAAGAAGAAACTTTCTTTAGGCCAGAACTCGTAAGTACAAACTAATTCCGTTTGATTCCACACGCAGGGGTGTTCGTATTGCGGATAGTTCGGCGAAGGGAGACTTGGTCTTGTGTTTTGTGTCGTAAGTTCCATGAAGAGTACTCAAATGTTTGAGATGATCCCGCACCACGGCCATTATAATTGGCTATATTCACGACATCGCCAAGGTTCGTGAGTGACGGTAAACACTTAACACCAGGTGATATGTATCTAATGCGAACTCGTTCACCCACATAATATGCATTAAGCTATTATTTTACAAGAACAAATCGATTATTACTCTGATCCTAAAAGTAAGTTATGCAATAAATACTAACCTGTAGAAAGCCAGTTGCATCGCCATTTGCAAATAACTGTCCGGACTGAGCTTTTGAGATTTTATGAAATTTTTACCGTATTTGTCATATTGGAAACAGTTCAACTCGAGATTAGCTACTAATCTGAAAAAAAATAATATTGGTAGGAATATCCGAAATTGGTATGAAGACTGAGGAAGATTTTTTACAATAATGTCAAACCTGTCGAGATGTGTTTGTGAAGCTTTAATCATTTCTTTTACTTCAGGCTTCACGTTAAATCTCAAATGTTTCGGTTCACTGGGCTTAGCTGATGGTTTCTTGTTACCTTTACCTTGATCTCTGTAATGATTTTTTAAAGTGTTTTTAAAAGTTTATAAATATACTATAAAATTAAGAAAAGGTGCGATAAATGTTTCATAATATATTGTTACTTCCTTTCATTAACTAGTGAAAGTTGAAGTAAGCGCCGAATCCCATTACCTACACCGTAGTGGACAGTATATATTTAGTAATTTTTAATAAGTTGCAGTAATTACATGTAGTTGACGATGTAATCGGTCATGACCGCGATTGGTTGACCTTCCGCCGGGGAATGCTCGTAGGTTAGTCCTGTCACTCCATCGGCACCAACAATGAACTAAAAAGTTAAAAAGTAATTATGGTACCCACCCGGACACACTCATAATGTCAATCTATATATGTATATAAAAATGAATTGCTGTTCGTTACTCTCGCTAAAACTCGAGAACGGCTGGACCGATTTGGCTGATTTTGGTCTTGAATTATTTGTGGTAGTCCAGAGAAGGCTCAAAAGATAAATATAGAAAACTTCGGAATTAAATTTGCTTTCCCTTTGATGTATCCCCCGTCGGACGAATTCCTTTTGTTTGTTTTAAGTTTATTTTATACAAAAGTTTAAGTCTTTTATAATATCGATTGAGGCACTACGAACTCTGCCGGGTCAGCTTGTAATACATAAAATAATAAAATTTGGTTTGATAATAATAAAACATGTTTGAATTTCAATAAATGATCATCGCACTAAGATTTTAAATCCATTGTTATGATACCAGGTTTATTACATTCATTGACGTAACTTCGACAAATAGTTCACTGGAGTACTTAAAAATAATCTTATCTTGTCATGATAAGTTTTTCTTTCATCATTTCAAAACGTTAAACATTATTAGAGTTAAATTCAATTTTAGTTATCTCTACATATTTATTGTGAACTTGTATTACATAAAAAAAATCTATGAATTATAGATAACAACAAAACGCACCTGTACTGTTTTGTCAAACCATCTATTCCCGCCATTAGCTTTGGAGCCACCGCCATGGATTGTCTGAGCACCTGCTAGATTCCTACGGGCATTTGGATCGGCGCACTTCCACAATCCTACAGGAGCATCTAGACACAGTACTGCCAAACTCTTCTCAATATCGATAAGTGAATCCTCGTTCGTTTTATCTGAAAATTTTTCTTGGAATAACGCTATTGAAGTCGTCGTAGCCTAAAGGATAAGACGTTCGGTGTATTCATATCTTGCGATGCACTGGTGGTCGAATTCCGGTGGCAAGTATCAATTTTTCTAATGAAATACGTACTTAACAAATGTTTAAGATTGACTTCCACGATGAAGGAATAACATCGTGTACCTAATAAAAATCAAACCAGCAAAATTATAATTTGCGTAATTACTTTAATTAATTTGGTAGGACGTCTTGTGAATCTGCACGGGTAGGTACCACCGTCCTGCCTATTTCTGCCGTGAAGCAGTAACGCGTTTCGGTTTGAAGGGTGGGGCAGCCATTGTAACTATACAGAGACCTTAGAGCTCATATCTCAAGGTGGGTGGCGGCATTTACGTTGTAGATGTCTATGGGCTCCACTAACCACGTAAAAACACCAGGTGGGCTGTGAGCTCGTCCACCCGTCTAAGAAATAAAAAATAAAAAAAAGAACAAAATTACATATTTTTTTATTGCACTCGAAGGGTAACCGAGATCTCGTCCCACCTGGTGTTAGTGTTCACCGAAGACCTTAGATATTATAACGTGGTTGCCCAGCGCCTATATAGACTAACGCTCTCACAATACGCCCTAACTAGTAGTGCTAGTAATTACTCCTCGATTTTCATTCTACGATGTTACTCTTTAACTGTGTAGTCGTTTTTGGACAAGTGTTAGGTATGCATTTCCTTAAAAAAATTGATATCTACCCGCGGAATCACAACTCTAGGTTGTTTACATTTCTCGACGATGTCCGTCTTATCTTTTAGGCGATGACAGCTTCTAGACTTTTTCAAAGAAATTTCAAAGATACTGTAAAATGAACTTTGTACTGTAATCAATTGACATTTAACACAATCAAATTTATATTTATTAACAAACTGTTCGTTTTGAGCCTCATTTTCATTATAAAAAGAAGTTGATAAACTTCTATCTAAAATAGATAAGATGCAAGATTATTCTATTAGGTACGATTTAAATAAATATGAAGGCTTTTCAAATGAGAATCATGAGAGCCTTTAATTTGGCATCACCTTTTATTAGAATCTGATACGCTTTAGCCCATGTATCTCGATTTTCGGATGTGAGAATACCAATACCATCCTCCGTCGGCGTTGAGGACAGCTCCATTACTTTTTCTAAGCTTTGCACAAGTTGATCTTCACTTAATAATATATCATCTTCACCCCAAACATCTACATGGAATATCTGAGAAATAAAAATAGATGTTCAATAAAAATAGCACTTTCTTAATAAAAACAATTATATTTTGTATTAACATTGTTCTCTTATAATTTCATGTTATTATTTATACAGTATTTTCTAAAAAAAATGCTAAGAGCAAACAAGACAACCATTGCGACGAAAGCTGCGCTTAGTGCAGATCCACTGAGACATTGTATTTATATCATAAATTTGTTGTAACATAAACTCTTTTATGTGAAAACTTCTGCGCACTTACTAAAGGCGCATGATGGGAAGTAGCAACAGTAGCTCTAGGAGGTCATGCTCGCAAATCCGTATCTTTTGATTAAAAGTACATACTCTTACAGATAATTCGACGTAAATGTACGCGTGGCGCTCTAAATGCGATAAGCCTGTATGAATATAATAATAGTTTTGGGTACGAGACAAAAAGTACAGTCAATTACACAAATGATCTCCGCTTTTTTATAAAATGTATGTAGAAATTAATATTGTATTTCTAATTTGTTCTAAATAATATATCAACTTTATTTGGTATTGTATGTTTACTGAAAATATTATTTTTTTGTGTGCGCGATTATTTCGTTGGGTATGCAATTTGTTTCGCAATCACAACGACGATGACATGACACGAAGTTTGTCGATCGTATTAATCCCATTTTTTTTTCTCAACCCATGGACATCCACTGCTGGACATAGGCCTCCCCAAGCCTCGCCACAAAGACGGTCCTGCGCTGTCTGCATCCAGCGGAACCCCGCGAACCTCAATAAATCGTCGGCCCATTTTGTGGGAGGCCTACCGACGCTACGTCTTCCAGTACGCGGTCGCCACTCAAGAACTTTCTGGCCCCAACGGCCATCTGTTGAGCAATTTGTCCTGCCCACTGCCATTTCAATGCCGCAATCCTTTGGGCTATGTCGGTTACCATGGTTTTCCTGCGAATCTCCTCATTTCTGATTTGATTTCGCAGGGAAACTCCATAGCCCTCTCCATTGCTCTTTGTGTGACCTTGAGCCTTCTCATAAGGCCCATTGTGAGCGACCACGTCTCAGTGCCATATGTCATCACTGGCAACACACACTGGTCAAAACTTTCATCTTGAGACACTGTGGTATTTGTAATAAGAAGATTTTACGTAGCTTTCCAAACGCTGCCCATCCGAGCTGGATTCGACCAATACTGATGACCAATGTCACAATATTGCGGATTTGAGGTTATCATTAGATTAGCGGTTGTCAATTGTTATTGTTTTAAATTGGGCGTATTTGAATCGCCATTCAAATATATAAGAAATACGACGGCGTTATTTAAAAGAAGCATCTGAGTGTTGTCGTAGAAACTTTAACGGAGCCGTCATTATCAACGAATAAAATGCTTCGGCGTATCTCACTACAGAGTTAGGTCAATAAGCAAATATAAAAAATGTTAAATTTCATTTACTTTATTCTAGTTAACAGGGACTCGAATCACAGGAATATCAACTGTAGATAACTAAAGTCGTGGTAACCAGAATTACCGCACTTAAAGATTTGTTGAACTATATCCTATTTCTATCCTACGTTTACACCAATTATTATTAACTGGTTACATAAGATAATACACTTAAGATATTCAGCTTGGCGCAATCTTTTATCAGTTACCAATCTTATAATGTAGTTATTTAATCGATACTCCAGCGTAGAAATATCACCTTGCATTCGGTACATTCACATGGCAAGGATACCAAAAATAAAACAATGTAAAACTAGTCAAACAGGATTTTAACTTTAAGCGACTATTCAATTTTGTTTCTGAAATTTATTTAAATTAAATAGAAGGAGACCCGATTGATGAGTATCTCAGTGCTACGCAGCACACAAACACAAACTTTGATTGAGTAAATCTTGTCAGTCAATATAGTTGTTTACAGACTTAATTCAATTTTATAAAGAAAATATTATCTTGTAACGCGCATGTCTATTACTATAAGTTGAGTTAATAAATTAACCCCAAAACGCATATAAGCGGAGAACAGCATATCGCTTCAGTATATTGTAGTCGGCGGCCCCAAACTATTTTAATAATGCTGCACTTTCTACCGATTAGTATATGTAGTTGCGCATAATAAATCAAAGAGCTTTCTATGCCACAATCATTTTATCCTAATATTTACATAAAATGATGAAAATACATTTTAAGTCATGGGCCTTATGGGTCAAAGTGGATGGCAGCATTCACATTGACGTGTCTCAGGTGTACTCTATGGACGATTTAACGACGGGCTCTAGGCTTATCTGTCCACATAGAACCAATAAACAAAAACACAATTTTGCCGCAACGGTGTCTTGGGTGACTGAATCTTCTGTTCGAGGGGTGAAATGCTATTTGGTTTAGGCAACCCGGTTAAAGATCTTGGTTGCTTAAACCGAACAGCTTTTCAACCCTCGTATTATATTGATTTCCTTTGTTTACAAACTATGGTCTATATTCCTGTTTTTAATGACAACACATACGCCTTGCCCTTAATAAAGCATAACTCACAAATTTGTACAATTAAATAATAACTTACATGATTATTATGGATGACAGTGACATGCTTGCTATTGTTATATGACAATTTATCACGTTTTTCCCAAGGTATTCTGCATGTTCCGAAAATTTTCTTATATTGAGACATGTCTAGAGGATTTTTTCCCATCATTTCTACTGGTATTTTATCACTAAAAGATAAAAAGAACCTGTTTCTATATACGTTAACTTTTTAAGACGACGAATTTATACTTTGCTTTTATATGAAATGTGTTTATTCAAAAGACTGAGTATTCGGAAGTGACGCAAGCTCGTAGTGAATTTTTGAAAATGGGAAAAAATCGGCATTGTGGTAATTTAACTGCGAATGAACTCGAACGCGTTAGATTATTTTAAAAGGTATTAATAATCTGAGACCTAGAAAAAAATAGTTCTTGCTTTTCAGATTTTTTTCATAAAACTAACTTTAAAGCACAAAAAGCCCGAGCGACGAGCATATACTTGAACGCGTTGTTTACTTCAGCTGCTAACTCTCATCTTCATAGAAATATTTTATTAGTCATCCTTTTTTTATTGCTTAGATGGTTGGGCGAGCTCACGGCCCACCTGGTGTTAAGTGGTTATCGGAGCCCATAAGTCTCTACGACGTAAATGCCGCCACCTACCTCGAGACATAAGTTCTAAGTCTCAGTTTTAACAGTACAACGGCTGCCCTATCCTTCAAACTGAAACGCATTATTGCTTCATGGTAGAAATAGGCAGGGTGGTGGTACCTACCCGTGCGGCTCAAGACATCCTACCACCACTAATTACGCAAATTATAATTTTGCCGGTTTGATTTTTACTATACGATGTTATTCCTTCACCGTGGAAGTCAATCGTGAACAATTGTTAAGAATGTATATTAATAGAAAAATTGCATCGCTTGATACGATTGCACCGGGCGTCTTATCCTTTAAGCCACGAGGACTTCAAAATCCTTCATCGTGTATGTCATTCGTGATCGTGAGGCAACTGAACTATTTCATTAAAAAAAATGATATCTGCGGGATTTTAACACCAGCATAGTCGCATTGTTCGATATAATTACACCTGTCGCCTGTATTCTTTAGACCACGACGACTTTAAAATGCAAGTCTTGATCGTTAAGTTTTGATATTCTCTTTTGGCAAAAACTTACCCATCAATCAGTGCTTTGTAATCAGCAGCTGCCAACAATGTTTTAGCTGCATACAATAACTGTTCCTTTCTTGTATTGAACTGTCTGAATGGAAAGACTAGACCAGGACTTGAAAAAATAACAACAGGGTCTCGGTATTCTAAGTAAGCAGTATTCAGCCACCATTGTTCAAGCCAGTTTGAATGATGTTCTGCTCTATTTTCCAATAAACTCTATAAATAAAATTATGTGGTTAATACATAGTTGAACATGTTTTTTAAAATTAAATGCCATGAAATATACGGTGATCATATAATTAGAAACACTTCTTATGAATAAAGAAAGTAGGTATAACTTCTACGTACAAATTTTCGTAAAAAATATACACGTTTAATAATTAATAATCATGCAATAATATAGCCACTCTAACAAAAAACTCATTAAATGCATAAAATATAAAACATATCTTAATTTTAAGTACAAAATGAGTCTTACACATGTAGGAGTTTATTTTCTGTTACTGGCCGCTTGAACGCCTAATTACAAACATTTAAAAAAAGCATCCATAGCTCGTTCTTTTTTTTAAATTGGAGAATAAAATTTCTTTCTTAGCCTTTTCTATTATTTTGGCGGCAATTCAAAATTTAATCTGAATTTTATTTTGTTCAAAATGGGCAAAATCAAAAGTTGTGACGCGTCAAATAAGCAAATAATTGTTAATTTATATATAGATCATAAGTGGGCGTATAGAAGAATAGCTGAGCACTTAAAATGATATGTTAAGAAAGTTTTAATGCAACTGATCATTTTATAACAAATGGAACTGTCGAAAATGTTCCAAGAAAGGCTCGGCCAAGAAAAACCTCTCCAAGAGAAGATACGCTAATTGTTCTTATTGCTAAAAAATACCCATTTAAAGGCTCCAACCAGATTAAAAATGAAATTTTTTCGCCTGATGACCCAAGAAACATGTCATCAAGACTGATACGCCGAAGATTAGTGGAAGCTAAATTGTTTGGAAGAGTCTCTCGAAAGGTACCGCTTCTTATCAAGCAACACCGAGAGAAGCGATTATTATTCTAAAAAAATATGTTAATTGGACGGTACAAGAACGGAAAAAAGTGTTATTTTCAGATGAATCAAAGATATATTTTTTTTATTGCCCTTGTAGCCAGACGAGCATACGGCCCACCTGATGGCGAGTGGTTACCGTCGCCCATGGACTTCAGCAATGCCAGGGGCAGAGCCAAACCGCTGCCTAATATGGTAAATTCCGATGGAAAGCGCTATGTTAAAGGTTTTTTCCGGATGTGGAGTTGAACCCGTTCGGAAGATTGAAGGTATCTTAGAGCAGCACAACAACATATCTTAGAGCACACAATGATTCCCTACTCGGACGATCATTTGCATGTAACCTGGATCCTAGATCTTTCAGCACGACAATGACCCTAAGCACACGGCTAATAGTGTCAAATGTTTCCTTAGCGAACAGCGTACCTATATCCGTTTTAGACTGGCCAGCAAATAGTCCGGATTTAAACCCGAAAAAAAATCTCTGGTATATTGTTAAAAAGAAAGTCTCAAACAAACATAACACCAGTCAAAACGAACTATATCAAGCATTTGTTGAAGCATGAAATTCAATCCCCCTATAAAAATGAATGAAATTGATTGAATCAATGCCACGTCGTTGCAGTGCTGTTATTGAAAATAAGGGATACACCACTAAATATTAATTATAACTATTGGTAGACTGTGGATAGTAGCTATTTCGTAAATAACAATACTAATTACTAATACTTAAAAAAATATTGTTTTTATACATTTTTGTTGCTGTTTCTGATAATAATTAGTGGACCATTATTGTTCATAACTTAGAACTGTTTAAATATTTGTCGGTAATGTAATATTGAAATTGAACTTGTATAGTGGGATTTATATTGTTTTTCTAATAAATGATAAATCGTTGAATATATTGTCCTATTTATTGTTTAATATCAAAATAAAAACGATTGCGATGAAATATCTTACATATCTCAAATACCTTTGGTGGTGTTTCTAATTATATCTACGACCACTAGGTTACTGTTTAAAGACATATAATATGTAATTCAATAGAGAATGAGAATTTGTCGTAAATATAGATTTTTACATTAGATTTGATATTTTTCTTAGTGTTAATTTTGATATTTCATTGCATTTTTGTTTTTTATTCCATTGATCTATTTACCTGTAATTTTTGTCCAGTACTCCCTTCTGAGATAAAGTCTTTGACAAGTGATTTAGTTATTTCATATTCTTGATCGTTTAAGTGAGGCCTAACTGTTTTCAAATATTTATTTAATGTAGTCTCTAGCTTTGGCACAGGTAGACGGGGTAAATTTTGGACGTTTGTAGAATATTTGGCAGAAACATAGTTGCTTGTTATTTGATGGCAACAGGTATAAGGTTCTAATAAATATCCTTTGTAGGCATTCTGAAATTTTACAAATTAAATTAGAAGATTCATAAAAAAATTAAATAAAATAACACACTATCAACCTTTGTTTCTTATTATTAATGTAAATCAACATTAAACTTAATGTTTAATTTATTAATACTAGTTCAGGATCCCAGGTACACTTTTCATCATTTATTACTAACAAGCTGATTTTTCGTGAGTAGCTTCCTTTTGACTAGACGCCCAACTTTTTTCCTTACAGTAACGTTGGTAAATGGTAGCTTACTAGAGGTATCAAGGATAAAATATGTTGATTTCACGAATTTTAAAAAATTATTACTAACCGAATTTTTCATTGTTAATTATCGAGATCATTATCTAAATAACGTGAAAAAACATTTGTCCTACAAAATATAAGGTTTTGTTAGGGAGTCCCCCCTCTCCAACATGTATCACAAACAAGGTCATGAAAAATAATTACTAACCAGCTGATTTTTTTGTATTGGTTAGGTAACATTTGCATAGTTTACCACCCACATTGTCCTACAAACTGCGTGGTATGTCATCTTGGTCCTTCGCTCAAAAGTTGTAGAACTAATACTTAATGTAAAAATAATTACTATCAAGCTGAATGTTCGAGAATAGCTTCGTTTCAATGAGACGCCCAACTAATTCTTGTACGAAAATTTTAGATTGTGGTTTATAACTAAGATGATAGGGATGAAATATGTTGATTTCACGATTTTTTTTTTATTACTAACCGAATTTTTATTTGTTAATAATCGAGATAATTATCTAAATAACGTGAAAAAATATTTGTCCTACAAAATATAAGGTTTTGTTAGGGAGTCCCCCCTCTCCAACGTGTATCATAAATAAGGTCATGAAAAATAATTACAACTAGCTGTTTTTTTTTTATTGGCTTGCTAACATTTGCATACTTTACCACCCCCACATTGTCCTACAAATTGCGTGGTACGTTTTTTTTTAATTTTTTTTATTTCTTTTATGGGTGAACGAGCTCACAGCCCACCTGATATTAAGTGGTTACTGGAGCCCATAGACATCTACAACGCAAATGCGCCACCCACCTTGAGATATAAGTTCTAAGGTCTCAGTATAGTTACAGCGGCTGCCCCACCCTTCAAACCGAAACGCATTACTGCTTCACGGCAGAAATAGGCGGGGCGGTGGTACCTACCCGTGCGGACTCACTACATTTTGACTACATTTTGTATACTAAAAAATTACAAATCTTGTAGGACTAATAAAGGATACCTTTTTTTTTGTAGGACATTTTTTTATATGGACGAAAAATATATCAACCTATCACGTGATACCTTTGTCCTACAGTTACTAATAAAAAAAAAGTCCTGCGGTATTGACAAGTTTTGAGCGTAGGACCAAGATATACCACGCAATTTGTAGGACAATGTGGGTGGTAAACTATGCAAATGTTAGCTAACCAATAAATAAAAAATCAGCTGGTTAGTAATTATTTTTCATGACCTTGTTTGTGATACATGTTGGAGAGGGGGGACTCCCTAACAAAACCTTATATTTTGTAGGACNCGTGGTACGTTTTTTTTTAATTTTTTTTATTTCTTTTATGGGTGAACGAGCTCACAGCCCACCTGATATTAAGTGGTTACTGGAGCCCATAGACATCTACAACGCAAATGCGCCACCCACCTTGAGATATAAGTTCTAAGGTCTCAGTATAGTTACAGCGGCTGCCCCACCCTTCAAACCGAAACGCATTACTGCTTCACGGCAGAAATAGGCGGGGCGGTGGTACCTACCCGTGCGGACTCACTACATTTTGACTACATTTTGTATACTAAAAAATTACAAATCTTGTAGGACTAATAAAGGATACCTTTTTTTTTGTAGGACATTTTTTTATATGGACGAAAAATATATCAACCTATCACGTGATACCTTTGTCCTACAGTTACTAATAAAAAAAAAGTCCTGCGGTATTGACAAGTTTTGAGCGTAGGACCAAGATATACCACGCAATTTGTAGGACAATGTGGGTGGTAAACTATGCAAATGTTAGCTAACCAATAAATAAAAAATCAGCTGGTTAGTAATTATTTTTCATGACCTTGTTTGTGATACATGTTGGAGAGGGGGGACTCCCTAACAAAACCTTATATTTTGTAGGACAAATGTTTTTTCACGTTATTTAGATAATGATCTCGATAATTAACAATGAAAAATTCGGTTAGTAATAATTTTTTTAAATTCGTGAAATCAACATATTTTCTCCTTGATACCCNTGTCCTACAGTTACTAATAAAAAAAAAGTCCTGCGGTATTGACAAGTTTTGAGCGTAGGACCAAGATATACCACGCAATTTGTAGGACAATGTGGGTGGTAAACTATGCAAATGTTAGCTAACCAATAAATAAAAAATCAGCTGGTTAGTAATTATTTTTCATGACCTTGTTTGTGATACATGTTGGAGAGGGGGGACTCCCTAACAAAACCTTATATTTTGTAGGACAAATGTTTTTTCACGTTATTTAGATAATGATCTCGATAATTAACAATGAAAAATTCGGTTAGTAATAATTTTTTTAAATTCGTGAAATCAACATATTTTCTCCTTGATACCCCTAGTAAGCTACCTTTTACCAACGTTACTGTAAGGAAAAAAGTTGGGCGTCTAGTCAAAAGGAAGCTACTCACGAAAAATCAGCTTGTTAGTAATAAATGATGTAAAATGTACCAGGGATCCTGTACTATACAAATTATCACTAAATTTGTTGTTTTATCTCCCTTCTAATTTTGACATATAGTTATTTCACTGTTACCTTAAAAAGTATGAACCATATTAAGCTATTTTTAATAATAATTATATTACATTATAATAACATAGTTATAAAAACTATAAAGCTAAAAACACATAATAATATATAGTTATATTGGGGTGCTTGTATAATTGTCAACACTTACCATTATATTTATTCTACGCAACATTGGAATTATCTGCAAATAACACGTTCAATTAACATAACCTTTTTTATTTAACATAAAAAATTTACTCAGCAATTAATATAATTCAACAATTTGCTCAGATTTATAGTTTTAAAATAATGATATCAACTTCATTTGGTATGCATATAAGGCCATTTATGGGGCGAGCTGCATGCCAATGCCTCAAATACTATGCCCCAATCCATCATGACGTACCCTCTAATGACTGTCAACTAATGAATTCTTATAGACCGAAGATGAATTCTTATAGATTCTGAAGAGACCGAAACTGGTGGAAATATGAAAGTCCAAGGTCAGGACTATACGGCGGATGCATTAACTCCTCCCAGCCAAGCTCTCTTGATTTTTGCTGAGTGGCTAAAGAGGTGTGAGGTCTAGCGTTAAAAAAAAAGAGGAAAAATAGGTTGGTTATTTTTCCTCTTTTTTTTTCGGGCCGGAGTCCGGTCCTCCTACGAGGTACCCGTGCCTAATGGGCACGCGGGGTATGTGGGACTTGACGATCCGCAAGGTATTGGGAGCAGACCGCTGGCCTAAAGAATTTTAGGGCCCTACCGCACTAAACGACTCCCCTGCACTCTTACACCTGACGTCTGATCTCCGTCCTGCAGTCAACACTACAACCAGAAACGCGGTGCCACCCCGAGGACGTCCGACCGACGGGTTGAGGCCATAGTTGATGACCAACGACGCCGGTTTCCGCGGTACGGCGGCCCTACCAGGCCGCCCGGGTAATGTCGCGGGTGTTCCGGGATATCCCGCTGGGCCAGAACCAGCCTGCCAGGTCGGAACGCGATACACCGCTGATCGGGTTGCTCTTCCACAGTATGTACGGCGACGACAGCGACGACGATAATGCGGACCGCATCACAGTCCGCATCGGCCGACGCGTCGTCCCGTCCTCCTGCTGCTAGCGTGCTAGAGTGACGGTACCGTGCGGCGCAGCCTCAACCCTTTTAGGTCGCCCCGTGACCATCACCGGGAGGATACTGCCTCCTCATAGGGGCCGGAGTTGGACAAACGCCCTCCTCAGACAACCGGCTCGGCGGCGGCGACACGGCACCGAGAGGGAAGAAGAGCTCTCCCCTGTCCCGTTCCGCCACCTCCTTCTGCGAGATGGTGGACTCGCAGTAGTCGAGCATCGCCTGTCAGGACTCATCGCTGCCGAGCATCGTAGCCACGACGGTCAGAAGCGACAAGTCCGGTCCTATTTTTGCAACGAGGACGCGGCGCTGCTCCTTGAAATCGAGGCAGTACGTGAGCGTGTGCTCAGTCCGGAAGGTAAGACGTCCTCGGTCATGACTCACCCAGTCTGAGAGAACCGGGCGGATCGTCTCGACGGTCCGTCGCCCACAGTCGGCTAGACCACGCTTCGAGTACAGCACGCCGAGATTGGAGCTTCCACGCCCGAACTTCCGCCGCACCGGGACGCGGCTCCCCCCTGGAGCGGAGAACGCATCGTCACGCGTAATCCGCAGCAACAAACCGCCCTGACTGCAATCGCGCGCTGCGGACGTCGCAAAGCCGCAACGTTGTTGAGGGTTAGGGCGTGGCACCACACGGGAGCCCTGTACAGTTTCATCGACCGCACCACCCAAGTGTAGAGGCGGCGCACCACCACGTCGGGTCCCCCGTCGTTCGGCAACAGCAGACTCAACGAGCCGGCGGCCACCATCAGTCGGGGACCTAATCTTTCAAAGTGAGCGCGGAAGCTCAAATGACCGTCCAGTACGGGACCGAGGTACCGCAATCCGGTCGCCTCGATCTCGACGCGAACGCCTCCGATTACGAGGCGGGCCCCCTGAGGTGATCGAGTGCCACCTCCAGACCCAGCCTTCGAATCCTGCCGATGACGAAAGCCACCCCCGCGCAGGACAGACAGGCAGACTCGCGAACTCTCTCGAATCCTGATTTAAGTTGAAAATGCTGCAAAACAATGTTTTAAATTCTACAGAGTAGATGTAAATTCTTTTGTGATGTGGTAGTAATTTTTGACAGGTTAAGGATCAGAGCGGTCCCTGTGGGTGGATATACTATTACTTTGCCAAAACAAAATTTGCAGTCCCTTGGGACCACCGCAACTCACCTAGCTAGAATACCCCTGACTGCAAGTTTTTTATTGAATATGTAAGAAACGCGGACCACCATGGGTCATCTAGGCTAGTAGCTATAACATATTGAAAGGAGGCTTGAAAATTCTAAAAGAAATATGTATTTATTAAACTTTGAAAGTAATTACAATAAAAATGACAGTCAAGTTAGTTTTAAATCAAACTTTATTAGAAATAATTCGTTATATAACATAAAAAAGTATCACAACTTAAATGAGATCCATATAATCATATACCATATTAGTAAAAACAATTACTTTATCGTAAAAAAAAAGATCAAAATTTAGCTGAGAGTCATAAACATTTAGTCATGTTCGTTGAAACGTCCAGACAAAAATGAGGTTGCCCTTCACATGTAAGGCAATAAGTTACCACTTTTTCACATTGTTTTTAGATATTATTTTATTTTGTTTTTTTTTGGTAACAACCTTTACAGTATTTCCTCGGTTTATGGGAAGGTCCTCTTTTCTACCCAGTTTATGTATTAGTTGCCTTCTAGTCGCAGCTATTTTTTTTTTTTTTGTTGCTTAGATGAGTGGACGAGCTTACAGCCCACCTGGTGTTAAGTGGTTACTGGAGCCCATAGACATCTACATTTATATTTTCATATATAGCTATATTTCGTCCGTCAAGCATCTAGTGCGAAATAGCACAGGGAAGGGACTACACGCTTTCGTTTTCCCGCCATTTCTGAGGATCGGAATGGACCTCCAACAAAAAAACCTTTTTATTCGACGATATAATTGCATAATCAAAAAATTAAAAGTAGGTATAGCTTATTTGAGTAATTCTTTATCCTTATGCAATTAATTAATTTTGGCAAAAATCGATAATAAATCTCGGTCCGTAACCTGTTAATAATAAACAATTTATTGTAACTATCTCTAGTCTCTTTGCTAAATGTATTCAAAAAACAAATGAAATTAAGCAAATTAACCACTGGGTCTATTGTAAGAGTATCTATAACATGATTCTCGATTTGATTAACATCTGTCTCGGATTGTACATAGCTATATACCTGGGTGTAGTATTGTCTGGGTATATATTGTGTATTAGGGCTCTTGCCTCAAAGAGCAATACATGGCCAAATATTCTTAATTTTTTTCTAATATTGTGCTACTTTAGTGTAAAATAAAGCATTCTTAATTACCACTCTGTTTGCTTTGCTGTTATTTATACAATACAGTAATAAAAAATAATTTACTTGTAATGTACTTACTTCATTGCTATTAATTTTCAATACAATACAATAAGTTTGAGGAAATCGTAATTAATAGCGATATGATCTTACCCGTATTAAACACATTTCTTAAACATGAATCTCGAAACAATGAACTTTGAACGTTCAACAATAGAATCGGTATCAGACCCAAAAAGTCAGATATATATTTAAACTTTTATTGAACTTAGACGACGAGTAGGATTTAAATGAATGATGTTTATTAAGTAATATGCCCAATTTTAAGTAACGGATTTAAATTAATTGAGGTAAAATTTATCTATAAAACCAGCTTAAAGATTAAAAAAAAGCACTTACAAAAGAAACAAATTCGTGATTATTTTTAATTGATTTCCTTTTATTTTCGTCCCTGCCGACCACAATCAGCCTGCACAGACTACTCAAGACTGCATTATTATGTTGGTGCTGGTATAGAAAGTTGTAGGACGACTTCGTATGTAGTATTACGTGGGACCATAGAGTTAGTATATTTATAGGCTTATTACACTTGGCTGAATTCAGACGACTGAAGTCAGTCAAGTGTAATAGCATTAAGTAAGTTAGTCTACTGAATTCAGTAGCAAGGATGGTTTCTGATTGACTGAATCATTTAGAAGCCTAATTAGAAACGCATTTAGGAAGGTGGAATCGCATTTAGTTACTTAATGATTTCACTTAATTTTAACTGAAATTTTCAGTCGTCCCATAGCTCTCCGTGCGTAAGGACGTTTTACTTTGTTTTTTACTTCCGAATAAAAAGTATTTATTTCTGTCACCTTTATTTAATGTGCCAGAGATTTATAAATAGCCCGACATGTTTCAGGCACAATTTTTGTCATCAGGGGTTGGGATATTGAAGAACTAAATTTTAAATCTTAATACGAATTTCCTGTTGCAAGAAATCTTAATGTTACAACCAATCTTTCTTTTGGACTTATACTATCGTAGGATTAGATATGTAATAGTTATATAATAGATATATAGTAGACTATCGTAGGACAGTATCCTGCTTTCGAATAAACGGTGTTGGTTTAATATTAGGTCAAACGATCTCGAATCCATTCCATAATTTCTGAAGTCTGCTGGTTATAATTATATCACTCATAATCTTCATATTTGCTAACTTTCCGCGCAGCAATAAATATTTCTTTAACCATATTAATCTTTTTCTTTTTTTTTGTTTCAATTGAGCCGATAGCGAGGGTTACGCCAAGACCAATTTTGTGTTGTCTAGACCATAGATTATACACTTAATGTCTAGACAATAGTGGGGCCATCCTCTTACACACACGACACGCCCAACTTCGTCGCGCTTAAACTAACAATTGATTCAGTAACTGAATTTAGAACAGTGTAATCGAAAGCTTCTAACTTGCTTATAAATTTGCTTCTGAATTCAGTCGATTTTTGGGGGTCGATTGCTTCCCGCTTCCGTAGGCTTAACCCGCGATTCCCTATAAATGACCCCTGGGTGGTGCTAAACGGGAGTCGAAAACATAATCGTGGTAGGACTAGTCCGACTGGCTGGCGACCGCCCTCCATAGTTGAGTGAGTCCGCCGCCAAATAGCCTAGCTGTGTTCCGGCGTGTGGGTTGGAGAGCCAGTTTTATTCCTTTTCTTTCCTCTTCCTTGTTGGGGGTGAATCTTGATGATACCTGGAACATGCGGAGCAGACGTGCGTGCGAGCTTGCGGGACGTGATTGTTTGACGGGGATCTGTGGAAGTGCACAAACGTGGGAAAATGCAACAAAGCTGCTGGACCTAACTTCTCGGGATCCTCCAAAAAGTCCACTGAAAAAATCTCTGTAAATGACCACCATTTTACTGAGATTATATTTCACCCCAAATAATCTCATCTCATTTCATATCATCTCATCCCATTTCATTTAATTTCATCCCAGTTGATTAATGACTCAATTAATTATCTTCTGTTTATTTCATTTTACTCCACACTACCAATCATTTTTCATAAAAATAAGAATATAAATTGAAATAAGAATTGTCCTAAAGGACTTAGTTACCAGGTCGTAAAATCCCTTAAAAAAAAACAAGATTTCGATAAGATTTACATTTTACATGCAATAAATGCAATAATTCAATTTAACTTTGGTTCGGAGATGATCAATTAAGATTATTTTTCTTTTAATCGATATAATTGTTTTTTGTACCCTTTAAATTCGTCTTCTGCCGTATTTGCATAACAACAAATCTTGAAATTAACGCAAAAAAAATTAAGTCGATTTATTGAGATTTTAAGTTTACTCACTAAATTGCACTGTTCGTCTCTGGAAATGATTTTAGGAAGATATCGTCTTATTTATATGTCCTGTATATCATTCGGGACGAGATTTGACGACATTTGAAAAAAATATCTAAAGGTTAAAATGTTGCCGCCGGATTATCCACGAACTCGCCCGAAATCTAAATTGGTTTGTTTAAAAAAATGTAAAGCACAGTGAAATGCTGAATGCACCACCAATTTACCACATGAATAGTTGAATCTGCTACAGAAGAAAGAAGGTTTATATAATTAGGTACATTCAAAAAGGTAACAGCAAAACAATGTAGTAACAAGTATGGAGAGTAGGAATAGTCCTGCCTACAGGATTCACTTGGAAGTACAAAATTCAGTTAATATTGGTGATATAGTAAAATGCATTTGCCTTTCATTATTGAAAGTTAACTTTGAATAAGACCACCATTCTTGGGTTCTAAATAGGAGGAGATTTGAACCACTTCGATCATAGTCAAACACTTGAACTATGTGGGTTTTTTTGGCAAAAATTAAATATGGAGCTAAAAGAGGTGAAGCTGCAATGGAGGATATGCAAAATATGCTCTGAAATCATGGACATTATATTTTGAAATAGGTTGGTGAAGGTTTATAATGCAATGGAGAACGCTTTCAATATATATAGATTGTTTTATTGATGGTTTATGCAAAAAACTTAGTGTACCTTAAATAATAAGATAATGAAGAAATATGAATTAAAAGAAAACTATAAACTAATTATTTTATTTTACTCATCATAGCCACAGAATAGACATAATAATAATTATTTCCTATCCATTAGTTTCTGTTGCACAATTATGTATTATATTTTAAAAACACGGAATAATAAAGTCACAAAATTGTTTATCAATTGACTTAGCCACTATAGTAATAAACTACTTATCTGAGGGTTTTCTAATAGAAAAATGAGATGATGTCTTTTATTGACTATTTTAAATAATAGATATTATCTTCTGAAGTAGGTTTATATATTAGATGAACTCAGTGCCTCCTGATAGAGATCTTTTCTAACAATTTCCTTTGTTTTCACCTTTCGCAACTCCTTCAGTTATGATTCTTCTTGATCTCCCTTTTCCTTCTTCCAACATTAGAATAAGTGTGTTGGGATCTTGCTCTTTTTTTTTTATTGGACCAATTGCTTCTCCAGTTTGTTGGTCTGCCCTAGGGTTTAGTATAACTCTTGCCTTGGCTCTTATTGATGTTTCATTTTCTGAACTGATTTTCATCAAAGGCGTAGTGGTAAATGGTTATCAATACTCATGAATTTCAACAAACCCATGAGCATAGCCACAAGCCGCCACATACCAAATTCAATATAATGTAACACAGGCCAAAAGACTGAATGAGTATGGTTCTACTTTATGGACATACCAAAGACCAGTTTCACAGTAAATTTTCTTCAGTATCTAGATTTTATCTTCATTCCCTATATTATTATGCTTCATAGATTTACTACATATTTTATCTATATCCATGGACAACCCTATTTTAATTGTGTACCAAACACAACCTGTGTCCTGTTTTAATACATATTGTCTTTTTATACTTTTAGATATTATAGTTTATTGGGTTCAATACAAAAAGGTCATAGTGTCTAAGTGACTTTTATTGTATGCATCCACATAAACAACTATTTACTAATCTAAGAGTAAGAGCATAATATTAAACCTCATTTTTAATAAAACAAATAGTATTTTTTTGTTTATGACACTTACTACATAACTTAGGTTTATAAATGGTCAAAAAAGTAATACATTACAATATACATTAAAATTGATTAGGTACTTGGAGGAATTATTCAAAGTATTGGTCTACTTTTTCTATATAAAGAATTAAACATCATCAATTGTGGGTAACCAGAATGCCATATTTGTACATGCTGATGCCAGCATCATGAACTTAGGATTGAACTGTACGCATTGTATAGGTGCTGGATGATCACCATTCAAGACACATACTTTGTAACCAGTATCAGCATTCCAGACATGAACACGACCATCTGTTGAACCACTGAAGATGTACTGGGAATCAGGACTAAAAGATGCTTCTATAGGTATCCCTTTGTTGTTTAAGTGTCCAGTGAAGGTTTGAAGTGGAGTTCCATGATATGCATCCACCAAACGAATTATTGACCCATTGGTACTTATTAACATAGTTTTGCCATCACGGGAAAATTTCAAACCTGTCCAATCACATTCCTTTTCTTGGTTTAATTTAAATGTGACAAAGGGGCCCTTGTCAAAAGACCTCAAATCATAAAGCTTGATGCTCTCGGAATTAACGCCAGCTGCAAATATGAGACCTTCAGGGTCATAAGCTGCAACAGGTCTTCCAGATAAATGCATTAGTCCCTGACAATTAGGCGACCGAAGATCCCACAGTCGTAATGTTTTGTCTAATGATCCAGATAAAAATGTGTCTTCAACCGGGGATAAACACATTGTCACAACTTTTTTTGTATGCCCTGGGAAATATCTAATGTACTTGTTATCGTGAAGGGATAAATACCGTATTGTGTCGTCTACTTTGGTGGAACTGTGAATTGCAGTGTTTTTGGCATGTGTAAAATGTATCAAATCGACCCCGTATTTTTTACTGTTGACCGTAATCATTTGTGTTCCTTTTTCACAATCGTATATAACGATTTGATCATCTTCGCTACATGAAATCAATGTCTCCCCATTAGGAGAAAAATCTATACTGTTAATTTTGTCTGTATTTTCACGGAATACTTTGGCAACTTTAAAGCTTCGGACAACTTGATCAACGAGTTTCATCATTTTTATGCATATAACCGATGTTTTTGTTCTTTAATTTTCACACTTAATAAATTACAAAGACAGCCTCGTACAATAATTGAAGTGTAGCTTTATAGTAATATTAGGCGGTATGCACATATGTACCTACATAATATAAGTATAATTTTATTTAGCTCTATGGTATAATCTATGACGCATAATGACACGCACCAGAGACACTTTTCTAGCCAGAAACCAAAGTCTGCAAAGAACTCGATTGATACCTCACAATAAAAATGATGAAATTACTTTTTGGCTGAAACGCCAAGAGTGAAATTGTGTAGATTATATTATTTGCAAATTTAATGCCTCTTTGGGTGAGCTACGGATTTGGTTGCAGTGGACCACGGTAAACTCTTCCTCTACCTCTCTTGGGTTCTGTTTTGAACGCGTATCGGACGTTCGGGCCAGTGTGCAAGGGACTCGCTTAGTAGGTGCCCATCCCATCTAGCAGTCCCATAACCCTCGCAACTCCTTGGCGCGGGGATTTCGTGTGGGAGTACGCCCACCCACTAGCCCAAAAAAATAATCATAATTCATAATCAAGAATAGAGGAATCCTGATTTTCAGATACTTTTAACGGTTGGGGAAAAAAAAATTGTTCGTGTTCAATTTAATGTTCCACAGCACGTTCAAGAACAAGTGAGAACATAATTCTAAATGGAAATTTATGAATCTTTGAGTATTTTCGACCGCGCATGAAACGTTCGGTAGACATTTCAATGTATATCACAATGTTGTATAGCGATCACTTACATACGAAAACCTGTATCCTTTTTATTTGTCAGAAGATTGTTCATGAAATTCATCCGCAAAACAACACAACCCCTCTTATTCTCTTTTTCACGGGTTGTCACTAAATTCCTGACAGATTTTGTATAATTCCTATCCAAATTTAATTTTTAATCTTCCATCGAAAACATAATATGCTTCTGCAACGGACATTGACTATTTTTAATGAAAAATAATGTTTTTTACCGTTACATAATTTTAATATAATATATTTGACCTTTGCTTGTACTGAAATAACGTCATCATTAACTTTATTCAAACAGAGAATTAGTCGATTGTGGAATGCACTGCCAGCTGCAGTTGGAAGTGCTCCAAATATTAAACGCTTCAAAATCCCAATACTACTGCTAGTATCTCGTTACAAAATTAGGCGCGGTAACTTAATTCCCGACATAAAAATCTTTGGCTAGCCCATACTGTGAGCTTCGAAGGCTACGGAATTAGGCGTCACTCTCGACAGGGAGATGGCATTCGGACCCCACATTAAGTCAGTACGCGACCGAACCGCGTTCCTACCCGGTCGTTTTTTTTTTTTTTTTATGTTTGAAAGATTGCTGGTGGCCCGGAGGCCTTTCCAGCTTCGCCAGGACAGGTGGGCGAGCAAAGACTCAGCCAGGTACTCGGTCGTCTCGACCCCATGATCTGCAAGCGAAGTGAATTGTCCCTTCATAACAAGGTGACACTCTACTACTACTAGCTTCCATACATTCTGTCATGATCTATGCAAGTCTAGTGTTCGCTCACGCGGCCCGTACACACATTAGCTCTCTATAGGTCATCCAATCCCGTTTCTGCAGGATAGCCTACGGAGCACCGTGATATGAGGAATGCAATTTTCACGCCGACCTAAATCTAGTACCTATCGATACGTAAGTATCTTAAAGATGCATCAGAACGCTATTTTGATAAAGCGGCGTGACACGAAAACCCTATTATCGTGGCCGCCGCTAGTTACTTAACAGACCGCGACGCACGGGGCAACGCAAAGCCGTCGTCGCCCGAAACACGTCTTGTTGGATTCCCCGGATTCACTTTTGTTGCTTTTCGGACCCACAAGCACCGGGCACTCTCACGAGCGAACGAACCGGCAGATACGCCGGATCTTCTCAGTGGGTCGCAATTCCATTCCGGTAGCAGATTCAGCAAAACACTGCTCTTGCTAAGGCTAATGCTAGCAAATTATCTCAAGTTGAGCTTGTGAGCTCAACTACCCATCCGGACGTAGCTGAAATAGCCTCTTAGTCTACCAGCGAATAGACAGAGAAATAAAATGCTTTATAAGAATGATGAAGGAACATTACTTGTCTGCTTTACTGCTTAGTGTTATTTGTTTGTATATGCTTTATCATTTCCATGTTGTTGATTCAATATGTGTACTAGTTTGTAAGTATATTGGTATATAAATCTTTAAATATTTTTCAATTTACTTTATGTATGTATTTTCTATAGTAATGTATTTGTTAATAGAACACCGTAACATACCTGTTCTATATTTATCTGTTCAAAATTTCTGTAAATAAATCTGTTGTCTGGAAGAAATCGTTTTTAGCGATAAAACCGCTTATTATGCAAATACATCCACTTGTTGACTGCTTTTTTTAAAAGTTAATTGTGTGCAAATTGCAATGAAATATATGATCTCTCTTTTTCACTCTGATAAGCTCAAAACGTTTTTCTAATTTCAACTTTGAAAAACAATAACTTTTTCAATTAATTAGTAAAAATAGCTTCAGATCCCTGGATGCAAGCAGCGTAGAACTGATCGCTGTGACGAGGTTTGGAAAAGGCCTATTCCTATTAATGGACATCTGTGGGCTGAAAGATAGACGGAAACAACTACAGTAAATATTTGAAAATATTTAAATTAGTTTCTTAAATCAATCTATATTTAATAAATAAAATGAAAAATAAAAAATATATATATATATATTTATGAATGCCAACCATCTACATCTACAACTACATCTGTTTTTTTTAACGCTGGAATCCATTTACGATTTACTAGATCTGCCTAAGAAAATCTAACTTGTATCATTCTTTCAAAACAACAAATTAGCGTTTTTAAACCGCAGGGTGCTCTAGTTTAATGGATCTAATTCTGCGTGGTCTCGTTATATTAAGTGTATTATCTATGGTCTGACTTTTTGGCGGGAACGCGAGAAGTGACGTTGTGTGTTTTGTTTTATTTTGTCTATTTAGTGTTTCTTCAGGTTTAAATGTGTAATAACGGTGGTTTATTAACTGTTCAATATCTGTGTGAAAGTGCACAAATGTGGAAAAATGAAACAAAGCCGCTGGACGTAACTTCTCGAGATCCTCCAAAAAGTCAACTGAAAAAGTCTCAGTAAATGACGACCACTTTACTGAAATTATATTCCATCCCAAATCATCTCATCTCATTTAATTTCGTTTTAATTTCATTGCATTTTATGCCATGTTTCATATTAATCAACTTCATTTCATAATATCATTTTACGTATAAAAAATATATATAAAAGATTAGGCTGTATCGTATGATACCTTTGCCTTTCCAATTGCAAAAATAAAACTACTACTACCTATGGTCTCGATTAGTGTGACCATATGTGGCAAGATCCTGCCATTTTGGCAGGATTGGACTCATTTTAGCTTTTGGCAGTTTTTTGGCAGTATTGGGATAAAGAAAATAAACAAACGAAACAAACGATTAATATTAAGCACCAATTTTTTTATAACTACTTGTAAAATGTTACGTGCTCCGTGCGTGAAATTTAATTTAAGATAGGCTTTATGGTCTTGTAACCATTGGCCATAAATAAATAAATAAAGGTTATTATGTGACAGCTGTCCCGATTAAAACAATAGTCTTTACCATAGATTATACACATAATATATTGAATTATGCTATCTTTACCAACTCTTTCTTCAATTTATCATTTCAAAGAAATGTAAGTACTGAAAAAATTATAAGAAAAAATTAATTATTCAAACTACATATAAGTACTAGTAAGTACTCATTATAATATGTTCTTGTTTCAGCTTAAATCAATGATTATAACACACTATTATTTACCACAAATTTTTTTTAGGTATTTTTGATAATAAAGAACATTAATTGTTTAAAGTTTGCTACTTCTACATACGTTAATGTTTGCCTCGTCTTTTTCACGTACGTTTCGTATAGCTTTTAAATAGCGTAGTCTTTTAAGTCGTTCGGGAATTGACTTGTTTTCGGAACGTTCAGATCCCCATTTGCTCAGTTCTATTGAATAGCAGCTATTAACGAACTTTAGTATCAGCCTCATATATTTCTAAGCAAAAGAAAACAAACGTAATACTTGAATTAAAATAATAAAATCTTGAGGTGTTGACCAGACTGGGTGGCCGTTTGCGCATCGTACACTTAATTCCTCTAAACAACACTAGGTAGATGTGGTGTGTCACTGATGGTGATTCTGAAGTCATAAAATAATTATTCAGAAATAACCCTAAGTAATAAGGAATCACTATTAGCAGGTGTGCATGAATCAAATTACTTAGCTTGCTACCAAATCTGTATGCTGCTGGATGGATATAGAATTCAGTTTACAATATAAATTTCATAACAATGCAAAACGTTTCAGATAATAATCCAAAAATGACCTACGACTTCAAGGAATTTGAAAAAAATTCTTCTGATGATGAAAGTATCTCTAGTGATGGCACAGAAGAGGATTTTAACATGTCTGATGGTATAACTAAGTATTAGTAACTATAGATATTAAATCCGCATCTCTCTAATGATCTAATTTGATCAAATCAAAGTATAAAAGACGACTGTTCTGAAAAGTAAGGCACAACAAATAGTGAGACACAAGCATGCGGCTTTTGAAGAGCTGCTGTATTAGGTTAAGTTAGGTCGTTTCTATGTCTACCAGAACCATGAGGGTTTATGTTTAATGCTAAAGATTAATTAATATTGCTTACCAGTAAGTTTCATACTTCCTGTAAGTAAATAAATATTGTTTTTCATTAACAAAGAGCAGTACTGCATGATATACATATTTGCACATATATATACGTATATAATTACAGTTTTCTTAAATCCCTGTTTGTGTAAAATGAAACAGAGAATCTTGGACCGAGTTTGTTTTTGCTCAGTCTATATATTGTAGTTTTTAACTTTTATGCAAACTTATATTAAAAATGTGCCCTCGTATTACCCCTTTTAGTTTTACTGTTTTTAATTTTTTATTGTGTATTTAAGATGGGGATGATGACAGCCCTATTGAAGAATCTGTAGTTGAAGACGACATTGAGGAAGAAGATGAGGATGAAGTGGTAAAAGCAATTAAAGCTGAAAAAAAAAGAGAAAGAGATCACCCTCCATCTATTACATGTGATGAATTCATTGTTGATATATCATTGAGTCCCGCTAAGAATATAATTGCTGTAGCTGATATTGTTGGTGATATTCATCTATATGAATTCAATACAGAAGAAACAAAACTTGTCAACACACTAGAGGTACATCTGAAAGCTTGTAGAGATATTGAATTCAACAGTGATGGGAATATAATTTTCTCTACAGCCAAGGTTAGTCATTCATGTAAATATTTTTGTTTAAATATTGGACATAGTTTTATAGTTTAATTTACACATAGTGATGCTCCACATTCTCAACTTCATATCTCCACTTAAGCAATCAAAATTTTTATAGATACTGTACCTTTTACAGAAAATTGTATGTTGATGATATGGAAAAGAGTTGATGTACAATCGTTGTAATGTGTATGCGCTCCGGTGATCACTTAATAACAAGTGGGCAGTGAACGCCTTCATTCATCTCTGCAATAAATTTCAAATGTTTATGAAGTACTTTTGCGCCACATTTCGTGCATTGATGGTAATAAAATATACTATGTCAGAAACCATTTACTAAATGTACAAAGTTTCAATTCAATTATTTAAACTCTGGAAACCTGCTAGGAACAGATATTTGTTGCTCGCAAAACAGTCTAAATTACATTTGAAGAGTTAATTTTAGTGATGGATTAAAGAATTATGTAAAGTCTAATTACTACAAATAATGATTTTATTTGATTTTAGGACAAATCTATAATGGCTACAGATGTTGAAACGGGAAAGCTAAAACGGTGTTATGAGAATGCACACCAGGATCCAGTTTATCGTTTACTTTGTTTAGAAAATAACAAAATTGTAACAGGTAAAAATCATGCAACAGAATAAAACAAAACATATCACTCATTATATTTCTGTTCAAATGTCGAATTCAAAAGGTTTTTTAAATTTTTTATTGCTTGATTGGGTGGACTAGCTCACAGCCCACCTGATGTTAAGTGGTTACCAGAGCCCATAGACATCTACAACATAAATGCCGCCACCTACCTTGAGATATAAGTTCTTAGGTCTCAGTATAGTTATAATGGCTGCCCCACCCTTCAAACTAAAACGCATTACTGCTTCACGGCAGAAATAGACAGGGTGGTGGTACCTACCCGTGCGGACTCACAAGAGGTCCTACTACTACTAATTACGCAAATTATAATTTTGCGGGTTTCATTTTTACTACACCATGGAAGTCAATCGTGAACATTTGTTGAGTATGTATTTCATTAGAAAAATTGGCACTTTCCAGTGGAATTCGAACACCGGTGCATTACTAGATACAAATGCACTGGACGTCTTATCCTTTAGGCTACGACAAAGTCAGACTTAAAAAAGTTACAGATTATCATTCAAGAGGGTACCTGTTTTTATTAAAAAACAGAAAATACTAGACTAGGATCTAGGAAGTAACATTGAACACTTAATATGAATTCCTTTTATTGCATAAAAATGGCATTGGACCACATAAAATATGAATTTGTTTCCTTGACTTATTTTGGTAGTCACCTGAAGCTCAGAATTATGTTAATTCATATGCAAAAAGTAATTTTAGTTAATTTCATCATCAAATTTAGATCGATTCAATGAAAAAGAGCTGTAAGAAGCCAAAAAGCTTAGGTTATTAATCGATATGTTTCATAAAATGAAATAATTAAAGTTTGGTATTGTGTATGCTCTCTTGCTAAAATAATGATGCAATGTTGTTCATTCAGTGGGAATTGTAGGTAGACAAACTGATAACCGCTACCATCCGCCGCCCCTCTATAAAGGAGGTCAAAACTATTAGCAACCTTTTCTGATAGAATGAGTGAGTTATAGTAACAAGATTTTTACGTCTGTAGCACCTCATATGATGCCACCCACTTCGATAAAGCGGCATGACACGAGAACCCTCTCATCGTGGCCGCCGGTAACTACATTCCCGATCCTGCGGACAGAATGGAAAGCAGTCGACGTCGCCCCAAACACGTCATTTCGGATCCTCCCGATCCACTAACGGTGCTTTTAGGTACCTCAAGCACCGGTTATCGTTCTCGTCGAATCCGTCGCTTGCGACGAAGGGCTCGACGAGTAAATTAACCCTCAGCCCACTGAGTTTCTCCCGGATTTTCACAGTGGGTCGCATTTCCGATCCAGTGGTAGATTCTGCGAAGCACGGCTCTTGCTAGGGTTCGTGTTAGCAACGTCGTCAGGTTCGAGCCCCGTGAGCTCACCTACTAGTTATGGTTACGCTGATATAGCCTCTCAAGGCTCTCGGCTCAGGTAGGAAAAAAAGAAGATGCCAGGTACATTATATTATAATACATGAAGTCGTCGTGGCCTAAAGGATAAGACGTCCGGTGCATTCGTATCTAGCGATGCACCGGTGTTCCAATCCCGCAGGCGGGTACCAATTTTTCTAATGAAATACGTACTCAACAAATGTTCACGATTGACTTTCACGGTGAAGGAATAACATCGTGCAATAAAAACCAAACCCGCAAAATTATAATTTGCGTAATCACTGGTGGCAGGACCTCTTGTGAGTCCACACGGGTAGGTACCACCACCCCGCCTATTTCCGCCGTGAAGCAGTAATGCGTTTCGGTTCGAAGGGTGGTGTAGCCGTTGTAAGTATACTGAGACCTTAGAACTTATATCTCGAGGTGGGTAGCGCATTTACGTTGTAGATGTCTATGGGCTCCAGAAACCACTTAACACCAGGTGGGCTGTGAGCTCGTCCATCCATCTAAGCAATAAAAAATAAATACATAAAACCTTTTTTATATCGTTATTCTCACGGATAGAGAAAAAAACAAAAGTGCGCTTATGTTATAAAGCGTTTCACTTTATAATCGCCTTATCCATTGTTTTTTTTTTGTTATTCATTACAGGAGATGATTGTGGTACAGTAAAATTATGGGATGTACGTAAACCGGATCCTGTATTTTCAATAAAAATTGGCGAAGAGTATATTTCTGACATGATAACAAATGACGCACAAAAATATTTAGTATGTTCGGATGGAAGTGGTATTTTAACATCTATTGATCTCAAAGCTAGGTAAGTCAATTCAATTACACTCAATTTTAAAAGATAAAAAGTATTAAACACTGTAACTTTCGAATAACTTTCACGGTGAAGGAAGATCGCGTAAGCCAGATTTCATAAAAATTGCAAAAATCTAACGTGTGTTTACAATTTAAATTAAGCTCATAAATATCTAATGATTCTAATTATATTAACTATAGGGTTGCGAATTCAAAATAAAGTAAAATACTAAATAAATCCCTTTTACAAAGTATTTGTTGAATAATGTATTTAATTTGTATTTTGTATGTTTTAAACATTAGGTATTTATACTAATATTATAAAGCTGAAGGGTTTGTTTGTTTGAACGCGCTAATCTCAGGAACTACTGGACCGATTTGTAATTATTTCAGTGTTAAATAGCCCATGTATTGAGGAAGGCTATATATAGGCTATATAACATCAAACTAAGACCAATACAAACGGAACACCAATAAAGAATGTTTCAAAATCGGGTTTTTCCTTTTTGAGAGCTTGCGCTGCGTGCGTTGCGGAAACGGCTAAAGTTTTGCTAAAATAATGTATGACAATATTGTTCCCCTTTAGATATAAAAAAAATCCGCGACAGCGTAGGTATGTCTATAATAGTCTATATGTTATGGTTGGCTCACTATAGTTTTTTATGCTAACCAAATTTGTTGTAAAATAAAGTATTATTTGTGAAGGTGTTTTTATGAAGATGATATTAATCCCTATCCAAATAAATTCGTTATTAATTTCAACTATTTAATTTTAAAGATTTTTAATAATGAGTATCTTGCTATGAGTATTTTAATGAATATTAGAAGATATCGCAGTTTTAAAATAACATCGCAAAAAAATAATGATCAAGTGCGCGGCGGCACAGATTAAGAACAATAACAAGAAACACCCAAATCTCTTCAAGATAGGCTTTGAAAATTATAGATTTTGAAAAAAATTGTTCTTAAACTTAAAATAAAAAATTGTTCTTAAAACTTCTTGAGATAAGCTTAATAATAATAGAAAAATATTTTTGACGTATTAATGGAAAATAAATGAAATTTCAGCAAAATTTATACAACATCAGAAGAATATGACTGCGAACTTACTTGCATGGGATTGTTTCGTTCAGACACAAAGTTGCTAGTTGGATCATCTACAGGAAAATTTTATTTATTCAACTGGAAGGAGTTTGGCCTTCACAGTGATGAATATCTCGGTCAAAAACATGCGATCAGTTGTATGGTACCTGTTACGCAGAACATAGTTGTCACTTCCGGAGAGGACGGCGTTCTAAGGGCAGCGCATATGTTTCCCCAACGACAACTCGGTATCGTTGGTCAGCATCGCCTACCTGTCGAACATCTTGATATAAGCCATGATGGGCGCTACATTGCTTCTTGTTCACATGACAATGATGTGAAGTTTTGGAATATATCCTATTTTGAATCAATTGACAATATTATTGATGAAAAGCATAACAAAAAACGGGATATGGTCAATAATTTGCCTTCAAGTAGTTTTAAAAATGCGTCAGATTTTTTTTCGGGTTTAGCATAATGTGTTCGACTTTATTAGCGCGCAGTTAAGGAGAAATAAATCCATTTTCTAAAAGGCAGTCTTTTTTATAAATTTAAATATAAAAAGTAAAAGAGATTACATTGTAAAGGACAACAAACAATAATGAACAATTTGTAATTATTTTCGTAAATCATTCAAATCTTATTTCAGGTTTATCTTTAGTTTTTCCTTAGACCAAGGTGGTCATGGTGGATCGTCTTCCCAACTTTTTAATTCAGTGGATGGATGAGTTTAGAACGAGCGTACGGCTCATCTAGTGTTAAAAGGTTACCACAGCCAAATATCACGTGTATGTGTTCATTCATTCATAATAATCTCATAAACACAGCAGTGGTTCTCGGTAGCAGGAATGCAAAAAACATATTTCCTTTATAAGTAGATACCTATTGAGCTAAATTTTCGAACACAGAAATAAAGAAAAAGTAAGCGATCACATTTTTATTACCTACACATGTTAAATATGTATGCACATATTGAGAAATATTAGATCTATGCAACTTATTTGTTTATACGTAACGTGACCATTTTTTATCGTGTCAAAGTGGGACGCCTACGGAATTTCGTACATAAATAAATACATATTATTATATAGGGTACGTCGGGGTAAGATGTAATATTTAAGTGCAAAATAAAAAATATGGTTTAAAAATGACTGGAAATAATTTATTATGGTATCTTACCCTCACTGTCATCTTAATTCTTACACCAACTTGCCCTTAAAATAATAAAAATAGTTTCACAACAAAAAAACTATTTTTCTACAGCAAAATTAGTTACTTTAGTATGTATTTTGTAATAAAATAAGCGTTTGGTATAAGGTCGGTAAGTTTCTAATAAACACATGCACAACAGATAAATGAAAGCGGGACATTTTTGTTCTCGTTGGGGACAGCTGGACGGACAGCCTGAAAGCGGGAAAATCCCGCCCAAAGCGGAACGTATGGCCACGTTATTTTTACGTCAACCCACATTATAATTATTTTATTTAGTTATGACAAATTATTTCCATGCATAGACTATAGTTCTTCATGTTTGTTTTTCTTTCGTTGTGGAAATGACCAAAATTCTGAAGGTAACCCTTTCATGTCACGTTCCCTTTTGACAAATGCTGAATATGACGATACACAATTTCCAATAAAATAATTTGCTTGTCCAAGAATAGCTAAATCCAAGTGTGGATTGGACGATGGCTGAAATTTTAAAATCTTTATTTCTGGACGACGCAGGCCAGCATTTAATTCTTCTATCATATGGTTAGAGTCGGACGCCACAAAAATATATTTAATGTCGCTAAGTTTCTTTATTACTCGTTTTATTTGCCTGGAAAATAAACGCTGTTACAAATTCTTGTAAAAACACAAATTCGAATCATGCCAAATTGAGTATGGAAACGGAAGCACATTTTATTGTCATAAGTATATCTTGATAATTAATATTGTAGTGGGTGCAAATAATCATTTCCGGAAACAAAAGTATTACCTAGCGATTCCGTATGGTCCTATTAATAATGAGTTATCGGAGTTTTATAAACCCGTTAAAGAATGTCAAAAGTGAAAATTATAATAGTTCGATGGAACTACTTAGTCTGGCCATAAATACTGTTACAAAGGAAAACAAAAAAAAAATATGGCAAATAACATTTATTACTTTTACCGTGTGTTAGTTTAATACATAGATATAAAACAATTAAAAGTATAAAAAGCTTATTCGAAGTGGTCTCCATTGGCTGCAATAGTCCTTTAAACATTGAGGCCAGTTATCAATAGAAACACGCATTCTTTCCATGGGAAAATTTTTCACTGCCAATCGTACGGATTGTTTTAGGGACTCCCAAATTATCATGGCGTTTAGAGCAAGCCGTACTCTCTAAAACTGACCATAAATCATAATCCAGTGGATTAAGATCGGGACTAGACGACGACCAGTCTTCAGGTCTGATGAAGTCCGAAACGTTCGTTTCCAACCAAGACTGCGTAGACCGAGCTTTATGACCTGGCGCCGAGTCTTGCTGGAAGGACCATTCTTGATTATTGAACATGGTGTTGTTAAGGGGCTTCACTACCTTCTCAAGAATGGTATCTTGATACATTTGTACCGATGTTTTGATACCATTTTCACAAAAGTATGGCTCAGTCACTCCTTCATAGCTAATACCCCACCAAACCATCACTGAAGTCGGATAGTGCCCACGTTGCACTCTGTCGAATAATTGGGAAGCTTCCTTAGAGCTTTGAGTATAAATATGGTCATTTCGTTTGTTAAAATGTTGCTCAATTGTAAAATTTTTATCATCCATAAACAAAATTTTTCTATGACCTCCCTTTGCGTACCGCTTCAGTAGTTGTTTCGATTTTACCACCCTATTCTCTTTTTAAATTATCAGTTAAGAAATGACCAGTACGTCTCTTATAGGCTGCAAGTCCTAAGTCATCTTTTAAAATACACGACATGGTTCTAGGTGCTATCTTCATCTCCCGAGATAAAATCTTTTGCTTTCGGACAGGATTTCTTCGAATTCTTTCCCTTACTGCTTTGACCACCTTTTTCGTACGAACACTATGTGGACGGCCAGATCTTTTTCTGTCACAAAAAGAGGTCTCATTGCACCTATTAATAGCCCGGTATACAAACATTTTATTAATACCAAGCGTATGGAGAGTTTTAAAATTTGCATTTGGCTCCATACCTACTTTGTGTAATGCAATCACAGCGATTCGGTTCTCTTTATCACCCCACTCCATTTTAATATCGCAAAATATTGTACAATGTATTGGCGCCAAAATGAGAAAACTCAATGAGCAATCATAGAAAAATGACAGATTTCAAATTCAAATGTAATATTTTGTTTATTTTTAATTGTAACAGTATTTATGGACAGACTAAGTATAACGTTCATTAGCTTTGCTTTAACGTTTTAAGACTTCTTATAATGGGCTCATTAAGGTTCTAGTTCATAGATCTCATAGGGTTCTGCAAGTTGGGGATGGTAGAGCGTAAATAAACCCTTGCCCTCTCCACCACCCTGGTTCAATAATTGATGGACTATATTGGAAATTTTAACCCTATTTTGACTAAATAGTCCTATTCTAACCGAAAAACATTAACCATGGACATCTTGATAACCATGGAGTTCCGCGGGATGGGGACGGTATAGGAGTAAGCCCTTATCCAGTCCCTCCTCCTCTCCGCCCTATAATGGAAAATTTTACCGACACACTAACACCTGCTAGGCCACCTAATTATAATAAAATGTTTATATTTTGTCCAATTAAAAAACATACTTACTTTAAGATCTCAGAAGGCTTAGGTAAACACATTGACATTGTTAATGGGCCTCTTTCATTTCTGTAGCCAACGCATTGTGGTGCTGCAAACAGCATTGGACTGTCTTTTACATGCTGGCATGCTTTTACCCAGTCTTGTCCATTTCTGAGATGAATTCCAAGAAAACCTCCTCCACTCATGTTCTTTTTTATAAAAAGTTTTGATCTGTGTTCAATATCATTACTCCATTTTAAATATTTCTGCATATCCACATTCTCTTTTTGTACTGGAAAACTAGCTGGAGCACCTAAAATTATTTAAATAATCCCAATTTTTTTATTTATTGCTTAGATGGATGGACGAGCTCACAACCCACCTAATGTTAAGTGGTTACTAGAGCCCATAGACACCTACAACATAAGTGCGCCACCCACCTCGAGATATAAGTTCTAAGGTCTCAGTATAGTTACAACGGCTACCCTACCCTTCGAACCGAAACACATTACTGCTTCACGGCAGAAATAGGCAGGGTGGTGGTACCTACCCGTGCGGACTCCCAAGCTAAAGATGTTTGTTCAAGTATAGACTTTACAGAAATTCTTGTTAAGCTTTTTAAGTAGGTTATAGGGAGATTTCACTAATATACCTCTCATTTTAATTTTGACTGCATATTAACTAGCCACATATCCATTTTTATAAGTACACATCTTTATTAATCATATTATAATGCATAGCTCATATAATGTAAAATAAATGTATGTGTTTGTTTTCTGTATTCAAATGTAGATCTTGAAATCTAGTAAGAGGTGATATTTGCAGTTAGCTTACTTATTTAGTTTTTCTGTATAATTTCTAATTATAGTTAGGCTTCAACCCCGCAGATGTAGGACTGTCTGTTTACATAACTAGACAATCTCATAATGACACCATGATGGTTTTTACACTCTCTAGTATTTTTCACTATATTTTATTTTACATTTTAATTTAAGCTGCTTAAGCATTACTCAAATAATTTGATTCCACAGTAAATATAAGGTAACAGTAAATCTAAGAGGTAACTGCAGAAAAAAATATATTTCTTGACTTACCAGTAAAGGCTAAAACAGGCCATTTATCAACTGGATACCTTATTTTCCACTGTTCCAAGATCTTTTCATTCTGAGCATCATAATTCAAAGGTGCATAAAACTCTGATCTGTTAAAGTCTATATTGTAAGTATCCCAAAAGGGTCCAAATGGATTACCAGATTTAGCATTACAACTGTTTTGTATTTCACCTGTCCTTTGAGTGTAGCAAAAAGAGACTCTCTTTTCTATCGGCCATACTGTTGGTGCAATTTCTCTCATGAAATCTTCCATTGTTATAACATTAGCAAATTCTAATAATTTATCTACATTAAAGTAGGTATCAAATGGTACTTGTATGGACCTAGGCTCACCGTACCTGTATTCAATCCAAGGTGGCAGAATTAAAGTTCTATTAACTGCTTTACTAAAAGCCAAAACACCCAGAAAGTGATCAGCTTGGTTCCCAAATCTGCCTGGAAATTACAGCAATATTCTTTTAATAAATTGACAAAAATATATTTGATCCAATTTATGATGTTCACAGTTAGATATATTTTTTTTTTTTTTTTTATTGCCCTTGTAGGCAGACGAGCATACGGCCCACCTGATGGTGAGTGGTTACCGTCGCCCATGGACTTCAGCAATGCCAGGGGCAGAGCCAAGCTGCTGCCTACCGTTTAATACTCTCCACAAGCCTCGTT